AAGTACAAATCATACATAAAAAAGTAGAGTTTAGTTCGCTTACATCAAACAAGTGATTTGGGGAAAATTTCAAACTCAACAATCATATGCATTTATATGCGTTGGTTTCAAGAACGAAAACAGGATTTTAATATTTCAGCTCCTCTTCCTGCTCTAGGAAGAAAGACTTCAATTTATCTAAAGAAGCGTCAGCAACATTCTCTAGTACAATTGGCTCATTCCCACCGTAAGCAAACAATTTACGCTCTCCGATCGTCAGACCAACACTTTGTAGTAAAGCAGCGTAGGTACCTAGAGGAAGCCAAACCTCGTTCTTAGACACTAAATAAAATCTTACAAAAATAGCTGACGGCACTTTTTCTAAATATATTTGCTCATCTCTTATACATGATCCCAATACCGTGATCAGTTTATCGTCGAGCCCCTCTAAAGCCACAAGGTCGTGGAGACATAATATGAAAGCGTCAAAACTGTAGTAATCATAGATGGAACGTGTACCGGTTTGAAACCTGTCTATTGCCGGTCTCACTTTTCAGTTCTCCTGCTTTTATCACAAACACTAATGCAAAGTTGTTATTGGCGGAACAATAATGTGCTTTTCAGGTAGTATTTCATTTCGACAGCTGATCCATTGTCGGTAGGTCGGTTCAGCCTGTCCAGACCAGTACCGGTACTGATCGTCGAAAAACTAGACCGGTTTCATTGATGGTGTCGAAGCATGAGATTTTGTTGATTATAAAAAATTTCTTAATAATAGCTCATGTTACCAGAAGGTGTAGACTGATTTCTAAACGTCAGCAATAAAATATTTAGTTGCTCCTTCTCAAACTCTCAAGTTTGAAAGAAAAACAGTTATTTTGTCATAAATGCACCTGTTCAGAAAATAAATTTCCGGTAAACAACAATATGGGCCCATAATTAACGGACTAAAATATTTAGTTACTACGTTATCTGCTATTTTTAGAATATTAGTAGTCTGTTAATACTTGACCATATCATCCTAAAAATGCTCAAAATCACCAACTGCATCTTCGAACCTCAGAAGTAAAGTAGATATTTCTTCACTTCGACCTCCATTACACATTCAAGGTTTCCAAAATTGCTTGCTCCGATCATTAACCCAGATATGGAAATCTTCTAAAGACTTTTCGATATGTTTTTCTTTCATTGCCCAGTTGTTCTTCTGTCCTTCATCAAGTTTCATCGAATCATCCTTTTCTAGCATTATTTGAAAGTCTATCATGGTATTTACTTTATTTTCTAGATGTTCTATGAGATATTTACAGTCTTTATCATTTGGTTTCTTCTTTTCATAAATTTGTTGTGCTGTTTTAATAACAATCGTAAACGTTATAACTAAACTCAACGGGTTCATCATTGATAGGCAGTACCTAAAAATGGCAAACATTAAAGTATCGTATAGTCTCAAAATTCAGCTGAAAACAAAAGCCCTGATCTTTCTCGAGAGTGAAAAATAAATGTAGAATAAACGATGCATAGTTCTACTATTCATCAGACATTGATCACTATCAATTAAGAATATATGTTCTACTACTTAATAAAAATAAGATACTACTATTGATATAGGGTTGTTGACTGATCGATTTTCAAGAATGTTCATGTAGCATGTGATAAAATCCTCAAAAATACAGTCAGGTGTAATTTTGTAGGAAGAATCCAAAAATTAAATCGTAAGCTCACGAAACCTGTAATGGTGAATGTTTTTCAAGTCGGTTTCCAAAAACAAAAACTTCCTTTTGATTGTTAAGATACTCTTTCAATTTATGAAAGTTTTCTCCACAAAATCTTATGGCAAAAGAAAATTAGAGATATATTTGGGATGAGTATAAGAAACTGAATCTCTCAATGCCAATTTTAGATTTAAAAGAAAGTACTCAAATTTCTGCACGTACTTGTTTCGTCAGTTTTTCAAATGAAAGTGTCTTTTAAAACAATGCAATCCAGGACTATTACGATGCATCTGACACATTTTGACTTAGATTGACTACAATTACGAGGAGGAATTTTTCTATTTGACACTGGAACTATTTGCCCGGCTTCGTGTTAAAAAGATATTCTGCAGAAGCAACTACTTGTGCATCAACATATATCGTTTTTATGCTTACTTGATTGAAAATTTTTGTTTTGGTGATTGTGTTTCGATGTTGACTAATGTAGACTATCCCAGGTCGAACATTCCGGCCACCGGATCCCATAAGATACTCCAAGGAATATGCGGGAAAGTCGCCATATCCTGCAAGAAAACACGGGAAATCGCTGGAACATGGAAGCAGTATTTCGGTCAAAAATACGGCCAGACTTTTCCGGCGAATTCCTGCCAAGTTCTGGTGCTTTTCGGCAGAAATTGATCAGAAATCGCCGGAAAAAATACGAAAAATATTTCCAACCGGAATACTTCTTTCCCAAAATCAACGGAACTACCCGGAACCGGCCGTTTTCAGGCTGGACTGTTCGACCTGGGATCGTAATTGAAAAGATCTAGAAAATTATTTATCAGTTACATTGATTTGAGAGACGAAAACTGATGAATCCATTGCAATATCTTATTAATGGTAGTTCTATATTTTTCATACGTATAGACACACCATTGGATGACAGAGATGAAATCGGTATTGATATGAATTTCAGACAAGCCAGTTTTTCCATAACTGGTCGATCTTGTTTACTGTCCTTATTTTATTATATATATATATATATATATATATATTGAATATGTGCCTTTACTTAATTTTGACCGTTACCTATTTAATTGTATTCATTTTCTACAGATCCTAGCTTTTGTAATATTCGATTTAATTTTAACTTTAATGTTGTTCAACGTTATATTAAAGTATTTTTCTAACATTTTAACTTTTTCTTGTTTTCTATTCATCGATGCTAGTAATAGATCTTACGAGTGTGAAAACACAACCAAAACAAGAATCAGACCCGATCCGATCCGATGATCAGAAGTCAAATGATCGTATGGGATTTGAACGCTAATAATTTTATTTTGAATAATAATACATCCACGTCAATTGAATGTATGATGACAAGCCGAAGGATGAAAAAACTCAATTAGTTCTGTAGCAGGTAATAGATTTTAATTTACCTGTACTGTGAACTATGTTTGTGCTCTTTGTACTGTGTTGGAAAAAACAAGTTCAAAACAGTTCAGTATTACATTATGATATGTTAAACGAAATTATGATAAAAATTTCATAAAAAACATCTATTATCACTTTAAGCATACAGCAATGGAAAGAGGAGTATACAAGTCACATATTGGAAGTCATTTGCTTTTCTTAAATATCATACTCGAAAGAGTTTTGGGAGTTAAATAAATTAACAGATAGCCTAAAGTCATATGAAAGATTTTTTCGATTTTTTTAATCAATCACTTTATGACTTGCAGTCTAAAGATGAAACTTTGCATGAGAAACAGTTCACTTTGAATCTCGTCTGGATAAAGGCAATAATTTCTATGCAAGCCCTACCATCAAAAGTCTATTTTATACAAAATTTATATATTACTAAATAATAAGCTTATTATAAGAATCTCTTGAAATGCTTTATTGTTCTCAGTTGAAAGAATAAATGAATATGACAATTTCAAGACAATGATTACTTTGAATATAATAGAAAATAAAAGAACAATGAACAAAACTTTCACATGATTTTCTCTCTTCATTGATCAATTCTATGATAAGATCATCAAACATGAGTTAACTCTATTAATGATGACAGTCATATTGATGCCAATCTGTTATCGTTTATTGTCGTCAGTATTTCTTAAAATCCTTTTCTCACGCGTGGTTTTATTTGGATACTCTCTGTAATGATGATGATACATAATGTAGTTTGATAAGCACCTAAGTCATCAGCTTGTTATAACATACAATCTCGTCGACCACAAATAAAGGGGTTTCTCATTTCCATAGAATGATATTTTTTCTATTTATCATAAACATAACTGCATATCGTGAATGCTATAGAAAACGTGTTAACCCTAAGGACTATTTGATCAGTTAGTTACTTCTCTTGCCGTTATCATTCTCTGATGACACTAATGAGAATTATATTAAGAAATGAAAATTAAGTTAAATGAATAAATGTATTATTAGATACAGTCATAAAAACAAGAACGCAAGATGAAAAATCTGCTATAGTCGAAAGCATAATGAATACATTTTATTTTTAATATGATTGATTTCTGGTTCTTCTCGTTTGCTATTTATCTAAGAAAAACAAAGCAAAGATGATGATTATTACTATATTTTTCTTCGTGTTTATTTCCGCATGCCTTACATTGATAAAACATAGCATCAATATTTTACATTGAAAAAGATATGATAACATATGCAGAAAAAAACCTTGCTCGTAGTTAATATAATGTATTTTTCTATGATTTTATGGTATGCCTAAGAGAATTACTTGTCATTCCTTTTCTCAATCAAACACACATAAGCACAGAATTAGATCAAATGTTAACAAAAAGAAAAAGAAAACTTTTACTAAGAATATGCCATTTGTTTATAGATATAACTACATTCCATTTTCGCCATCAAATATCAATTGCCTGCGATTTTTAAGATAAATATAAGCATATTAAGAGTTTCTTTCTGTCTGCTTGATTTTTGATATAGAGAAAAAATGACATCATCGACAAGTATTATTAGAGCATACGTGTATATGTATAACTTATTCACTAGTAAGAGTAGAAAATAGAAAGATTTTTTAGTCTCATTGAAGAAGATAAAGAAATTATATTTACTCAGAATGTGCATGTTCTCATCACAGGGGGAAAGAAAGACAGACGAAGAAGACGACGACATAAAGCAGTAACAACAATTCTATTGTCATTGATGAGAAGAAAAAACTAGCGAGAATAACACGATAGAAGTCAGAATATTTTTCTCTCATTCTTGTCAAAAAAATCATTATCATTTTTTTTCCTATAAGATATAGATTATGTTTTTTAAAGGAAATGGTTTAATCTAATGGATGTACTTGAATTACCTCGTCCTGTTATTAATTTTCTTCGGACAATGGCTAAAGAAGGCTGTCGTTATGTTCTATCGTGGGATATATTCGGTGGTACTGATAGCGTTACACTCACACTTACATGGAAATTAAGTAATCATGAACCTCAGCTAACAACGTCAAAATCTTTACAACATTATCAGCAACAAGTATATGATGACCTATTTATTCGGCATGATGATTTAACATCATCACAACGTCGTTCACGCCACGAGGACAATACTGTGGCATCAACTAGAATATGTTCATCTAGAGGCAAAAGTCTTGAAGGTAATAGTTTAACATCAAGCAAATCAGTATCTTCTCAGCAAAAACAAGCATCAAGTTTAGAACGATCTTCAATTACTAATCAACAAAAAAAACAACCAGTTCCAATATATGCTAATCTAAAAAAAATAAAGTATCGAACGAGTACTTCACCTTCACCTTCTACTCATACAGATCATCATCGAACTAGAAACCAATGTGAATGTCCAATACGACGAAAATTGATACCGTCAAAATCGATTGCTAATAATTTATCTTCAGAACTAACACGCAGAACGGCTATTACTATTCAAACTGACGATGATAATGATGACGATGAAGATATACTTGACCCATGGGTAAAAGATTTTGAATGCTCACTTGAAACCGGTACGAACAATAAACGTGAAAAATCGAAAATTGGCATGAACAAAAAAGGAAATATTTCAGGAAAAGTTAAATTCAAGAGAAAGCCAGATTATTTTTAAATGGAATAGAAGATTGTTATTTTCGTGTCATAATTTTCTTAGATAACAAACATTTTCACGCAAAAAAAAGAAAAATTATATGGATCACCATTTTGATAAACCTGTTTATTATGTCTTCATTATTGCAAAAACAAGATACATGATTATCATATTATATTACACCATAGTGCATCGTTTTGTTTTTGTTGCATAATTCGACTATGTTGCTTCTGTATAGTGTAGCATTTTCAGATCATTATATTTCTGCTTATTGTTAAATTTTACCATCAACTCAATTGAAACACATTCACGTGCTTCTGTTTTTATTTTTCTTGTTTATTATCGTATATGAACCGTTAAAGTACATAAATTCAGCACTGAAAAGATGTGGGCATGTTAGTCATTAGTTAATATCATAGGAATAACATCGATGAAAAATGCGTAATAGATCTTTTGTCATGTTTTATGATTTTATTGAAAAAATAAAGGAATCTTCCATTATTTTCAGTAATAATATACCATTAATTACTTTAAAAATAGTATCCGCCTGTTAAAATATCGATACTGGCAAAGCTCTAAACAAATATAGTTTTTTTTACAACTATTATAGGTACTCAGAAATGTTCGAAAAACATGTACGTATAGTAAACTGATCGCTCTGTTTATCTAGTCTGTACGTGAGAAGTATGTGTTAAATAAATATACTATGAAGAAGTACACTCAAATAGGACACAATTCAGTTTCAAAAACATCTCAACTTGAAATATTATTGCTTGTTATGCATTTGGTCTATTTCTATGTACTTTACAAGATAGAATTGAGCAAGTTTAATCAAATGAAACATTTGACTAAACTTCTGTCAAAACTTTTCCAGAAGGAATAACCTTATTTCATGGGGAAAGTAATATATCAATATGTATCTTTATCTGTAAACTTAATTTGGCTGCAAAAAATATGATAGTCATCAAAATCAATCATTTTCTTTGTTCACTTTGTCATAGAATCTAATTTGTTTACAAAAGCAAAAGCAAAAGACTCATGAGCGCTCTTCTTTGAATTCTCTTTTATGGCACAAGAAAAACACAGATTTTACTTCAATAGAATATTTGTGATCTGATTAAGGTGCAAAAAGTTATTTTTATATAAATCATTTCACTTCAATTTATAGAGGAAATGAAAGTAAATATCTTTTTTTCCTTCTCTGAAATGTTGCAACTATAGGGAGTCTAAAACATTGCTATTTTAAATTCTATGTAATACTATTCAATCGAATTGCATAGAAAAACGTCACTTAGTATCTAAATTATCTTTCATAATCATATCAATTTTTTCTTGTCTCTTATTCTAAATTGTTATGGTTAGCACAAAAATAGTGAAATTCTTACTTCTTTTTTTTTCATTATAAATCTCTATAAAACTGTGAATATAACCTTGCTGTTCAAGTCATTATGTATATAAATGCATAGTTTTTTCCTTCTACGTATATGCCCAACATACATAATTACAAAGAAACGAAGCAAAATTAGCTCGCAATGATACAATTTACTTTTCTCATCAACTCCATATTTAATGAGAAATTTCATGAACCGTATATGCGACAACATCATAATTACCATGTAAAGTAACAACAGCAACAACAACAAGACTACGTATAATAAGAGCAATTAATGAATATACATTACATCATCAAAAGTGACTATTCTTTCTTTTTTTTTATAGTTCATCAGTTAACAAATAAAAGCGTACAAAATATAGTGACAAAACAAAAATTGATCTACATATACATCTGTTCAATTCATATAAAACATATAGATGTATGCAATAAACGACAGATAAACTGATAGAATCGATGCACGATCATTTGCCTGAAGAATTTAAGTAAGTGTATGATACATTTATATCTTTATATCATTAACAACATTCATATTTTTTATGTGATTCATCATGAAGAAAAGAATTTACTCTAAAAAGAACTGCTCATTGAAATGTTCAACATGCGATCAAAGAGTAGATTAAAAAAGCTTTTTATTTCTTTTTCATTCATGAATGCTGTCGAAGTATACAGTCAAAAACATATTTATATATGCGTATCACGACACCTATTCAACTGTCATCACCTGTCTATCTCACGTCCCAATACTCTTTCTCTCTCTCTCTCTCTCTCTCTCTTTTATCCAGATGTCATTGATTTCTTCTCATTCTCTCTTTCTTTCTATATTTTTTTTGTCAATTGTAGGTTTGTTACAATTTGACCATTGTCGTTGACGTACCAACTGTTCCTCCCCCTTCTTCATTCGTCCTCAAATAATAATCACGTACATCTCATAATAACACGATTATCCATGATAGACGGTTTGACCATTGGTCTTCATGCATCCATAGATACATATATCAACATTGAGATCATTTCGTTATTCTCATTCTCATTTTCTATTTTTTTACACAATCATTATCATTATAGTTTCTTTCGCCTTACTCGGTGTCTTTGCTGTCCTAATTAATTCACCATCAATGTTCAATATATCAAGTGAGAAAACTGAAGAAAAGAAGAGAAGAGAAGAGGAAGAAATGATTGAACAGTTATCTTTTCTTCTCTCATGACCTGTACTCATTTCCTATTATCACATACAACTACTCATACAAGAACAAAGATATGGAACATTACAAAGCAGAAGCGTCTGACTCCACGAGGACAAATCCAAATAACAATAACAATTCTCATAGTCATCATCATAATCATCGACATAAAAAAGAAACAGTGAAGCAACAGCCGTTACGATCAATGCCATCATCCAAAAAGAGACACATCAAATCAATATCTATGATTAATCCTACTGCTTATCAAGAAAGTAATACTGTCGTTAGTAATCCACGACATCAGCAAAAATCATTCATGAAAGATTCAATATCATGGAAAAAACGATGGTCCTTATGGTTTTCATCATGCAGTTCAGAAAGAACAGCTTATGTTAAGTGTAATCCAATAACAATATCGATTGAGGTAAGTCGCTGTTTACTTTTCTTGTATATTCTTAACAACTACACCTGTTATTCATAAGTGATCGATTGTCTAATACAAAACCTCTCTTCTTTCTAACTATCGATCATCAAAATTTTTCTATTTTTCTTCACTTCTTATATATACAATCTGTTGTCTGAAGGACGTGATTGAGTACCGGTAAAAGAATAACACTATTATAATGTATGTAAAACGATCTGGCAATGTCCGGTCAATGAATTTTAGTAGCAGAACAAAGATAAAATTTCATTTTTACTATCGACATTATTAATAACATAGAAACTAATACTAATTTACAAACTAAATAGGATCGACTATCATGACCTTCCTATATGAATATTATACGTGTGTGTATTTTTTCATCAATTGGTCGTTTAACACTATGCAGATAGAAATCATGATACGGAAGGATAGAAATAAAGACAATGAGAAAAAATTGTTATGTTGACACATTATACATGAGTGATCGACTCGATATAAATTTTTTAAATTTTTATTATTTGAATTAGATAATAGAAGTATATAATATAATGTGATCGTCATATCAGACATTTCTACATTCATATTTATCTAATAGCTAAGAACGCCTTTTGTCTTGATCGTCTGATTGAAAAAATATTGAAAGTTGATTTTCTATTAATTCTTTAAAATAACCACTTCATAAGTTCTCTTTGTTTACATTTTAAAAGTTTTAAAGCTTCATTAAATAAAGAAGAAGACGAAGAAAAAAATTACAAAACACTTCATGTTGATTAAAAAAGAAAGAATTATAACTAGTCTTTTATGCACTGTAAGGACACACCTGATCCATACGTATAACTTTATTATATAATAGATTTATTTTTTATTAGACGGCTTCGCTGATCATGTCTTTAGATAGAAAAAAAGGGAACTCTTTCATCTATTTCGAATTCACAGATAGTAAAAATTGACATGACAATTTTCTAATTTATTTTATTCTCTTTTATTACTTACATATGATACGTTCATCGTTTTTTTTATCATGAATAAGTATATGTATGTAAATGAGCCATAAGTTTATGATGCACAAGAAGAAAAAATATAATTGTTGATGTTTTTAAATGTGGATATAGATATAGTATATTCATATATGACAGATTCATTGAACATTATTGCATTGAAAATTTTATATATTAATATGGATGATTGCATGCGTTATTGTCGTTTTTCTTTTTGTTTTCGAAGAATTCAATTGAATCATGATGAAAATTCCAAGAAAATCTTATTAGTACTATTGATCAAAATCGAAACTTGCTTAGAGATGATCTATTCATTTTTATAACTAAGTAGCTACCTCTTGAACATTTATCTGATAAGTACAACATATGCTATACTGACTAAGTTAGAACATGTTGAAGTTCTGTCATTTGTCTTTGTATTTTTAATAAAGACATACAAATGTTTATTGTATGTGTGTGACTATAAGAAAGTTGTTACGCAAAATCAGATAGATTGATTAATTGAAAAATTACAACGCACATGCACATTGCCATATCAACGTTATTATGTATTGATCGGAAATAATACTCAGTCACAAACATTTTTTTTCTGCTTTTCTCCTTTTATATAAAAAATAATCAACAGCAATATTGTGTCAGTTCTTTTATGAACGACAATCAACTTTATTAGGCTGGTTTATTCATTGGAGTTCGAGCATTGTGTAACGGCACACTCGAGGTATACTTGTGTGTTTTGGGAAAAAACATCTATAATCATTCTTAACCGCATTGCGGTAGTCGTTTTCTTTTTCCCTTTTTGTTGCCTGTTTTTTTCTTACGGCTTGAGTAGTTTTGGTGCAAACGCGTGTATATAATGGTTCGTGAGAGTTTTTTCATCAAAGTGCGTGTATAAGCACCATGTTATAAAAAAGAAGTTAAAAAAAGAAAAGAGAAAGAAAAAAATGTAACAAACAGGAAATCGTTCTTTTTCCTCTTTTGACTGTTTGTAATAGCATGATGACGATGAGCCGCTACTACTCCCGAGTGGACGCTTCATCCTGTCATATTATTGTTTTTGTACTAGTCGTTATTGTTATTATTATCATCCTGAGAGCATGGTATTGAAACAAAAATAATCGGACTGTTATTGATTCTTAATTCCACAGTGAAGACGAATGAAGCTCTTTCATGCTAAAGTAAGTTTTTCAAATATAAATGTGAAACATCACTTCAGACATATAACTTTAATTATAAGACAAAATTGAAAACATATGAAAGATAATCTGTTTTTTTCTTTTAATTTTTAGAAAACTGATCGAACTAAATCTGAAAATGACTTATCCAAACGTGGCAGCATTGATCAAGATGAAAAGGTAGGCACTAGAAATCTAGTTAATGTATTATTCATTTTTGACATTTTATTTTATTTTCATTAACAGAAGACAAAAAGATTCTGTCCCATAGAATGAATGAGTGTAACAGAATCCTATTTATCTGATTACTTTTTTTTTCGGGCAATCGTCATTACTTCTATCCTTTTTCTTTTATTGTCGATTCATCTTGTCTCTCAATGGCATCGTTAACAGAAAAAATATTCTTGTTCTCGGCTATAATTTAAGCGAATACATGTTGCTCTTTTTTCTTGTTCTCGTATCTACACATACTTCGGAAAATAATTCTTCTTTACTTTCCTTAGATTTTGATGGATAAAAAGGAATACGACTTTGTTTCAGTATAACGAATGTTTCTGTTTTATGTTGTTTATCAAGATTTGTACTCATCATCATTATATTAACGAAGACATCGTATTTTTCTTGAATGGCAGCCACAACTGGATAAGAATTCATAAATATATAAGATATATATTTGTCTCTTTTTCCTCGTTATTTCATCTAGTAGATCTATTTATCTTGTTACTTTGTTTAAAAGTAGTATCGCGTCTGATACAGGCAAGGTCTTATACATTGAAAGAAAGATACTTCAGCGAGATCCGAAGCTAACTAAAAACTGAATTGCCTTGAGTAGGCGAAACAATTAGAGAATACTTAGATTGACATAATTCAAGTAGATGAAAAAAAAGAAACTAGATTTCATCGAGACAATGAGCAGTGCACTGAGTCATGTTGTAATTTAGATAATTCTTTTTTTCATTTGTATCTCTGCAGCATCAAAAACAAAGCATGCATGGCTCTAATGCAATAGATGCATATTTCACTTTAAGATCTAGTGCATTGTAGGTCGTTGTACTCAGTTGAATTCGATTACAAGAAAAGTCGTTGTTCAATAACAACTAGAAAGCAAAAAAGCTAGTTTTTGCTCTGGTCTCTTTCATTTCTCTTTTCTCGCCTGATAAAATAAATCCAGCGAAATAAAACTAAAAACAACGGATGCTATTTTCTAGAGAAACAAAAATCCTATGTAGACAAGAAAAAAGTCATATGTCGAGGGAAAGACAAGAAAGACATGATGCTATCGTCATCACAATATTTTGCGCTTTTTGGTTTCTTCCCCTTCTGCTTCTTCTTTGTCTCTTTTTTTTTCTTATTGCGGTTTTTTTCCTGAGAAGATGTCTGACGAACGTTCGTCTTAATAACCTTCGATCTACAGTAGGTTCTCTCTTTACAATGAGCATATGCGACAGATCAATGCATAACAATATACATTTTGCAGGCATAATGTCTATCGAGAAGTAAAGACATTTGAAATCAAAATTGTACTAATTGTTTTCTCAGTTTCTTTTTTCTGTTTTTTTTTCTTTCGTGTACATCATGATTATTGATTAACATTTATTTACTTTTGACGGTTAGAATTCTTATCATACCCGGTCAAATAGCTATGTTAAAGAGTAGATACCAGCATAAATAATATTAATCATACAATTACAAGTAACATCAGACGACACGATCGTCGATGTCGATGTACTTATGATTGAGCGACGATGACTAGCAAATACGAAAATGCGCGCCTATGTATGCTTCGAGTGATGAGTTCACTCTTGTCATCTCCGGTTAACACTACATGTGCAAACAGAGAAGGAAAAGGAGAAGAATTTTTAACGCTACACCTTGGAGTCGCGTCGAGCGAGAAATCATTTAAATCAACTAAATTAACACCGACAGACGAGACGACAAACGACTAGGGTGTATGTAACGAGAAAGACAGAGAGAAAGAGAGACAAGTAATTGATATGCATATCAGGAGTCCTAATGGTCATTCTACTGTACATAATCATTATGCCAATATGTTATTGTTTATGGTTTGGTTCGAATTTTTGATTGATGCCGATCTACTAATCTAGTTAGTTGAGAACAACAAAAAAGACTGAGTCTATCTATATAAACAGGTAGATAAACGTTTTGTTTTTGCTAAAAGCGTGAAATATATAGATCCGTATAAAAAGATTATCGATTAGCGGTAGACTAGGTCTAGTTTGCCTGATGTAGTCCTGAAGGCGAGCAAAAAAAAAGTAAGAACACAACCATAAGGGAAAAAGAGAAAAAAGAATGATGTTATTTGCGTTTGTCACTGCCGTGTTCTTGCCTAGCACAGTAAACACACGTACACGTGCATGTCTAACTGTAATTTCTTATATATATATATATATGATCTTGACAGTTGCCAAGGAAAATACTACAAAGTAGTTAGAGATTTTCTTCCAGATAAGATTGAACCATTTCTCATGGTTTAGATATGTTTCCTTAGTTTTTCATCATGTTCATCACAATTTGTTAAAATAAAATGAGATAAAATAATTCTTCTATGTAGATATATTTGCAAATTTTTACTTGGCTACGGCATTCTTCTTTATTTTTAAGAACTTGATAGTGTATAATATTTAAACAAAAAAGAACCATATGCGCTACTAAGAAGTACTATGTAGATTGATGCTTGAACTGATTACCCTTTTGATTTTCACAATTACCGATGCGCAAATATCTGAAATCCGCTTCTTATTTCTTTCACTAGATCGGTTCATAAAAGAATCTTAACCAAGTAAATAGTATAGAAATAGTCGGAATGATAATGATAACAATATTAAAGATTTCAGTTGTCAATATTTTGCATGTGTATCCAACTTATGTCCGTAGAACTTTTTATTATTAAATGCTACAACATTGTACAAATAGCATATTATTTTTGTTTATTTTATTTAGAAACATTTATCAACAACTACTTCAACACTTGTCATTAGCCCAATTTCAAACGAAAATCAAGAAAAATTTTCATCGAAAATTTCTACTCATCAGCATCGACATCATCATCAGTCAATCGATAAAGTTAATAATTCAAATAGTGTTATTTATTGTGACACATCGAATCGTCATTCAAATACATTTTTTCCTTCAACACGCTACGAACAAGGAGGACAGCATCGAAGTGAAACATTGATAGCCGTTATACCATCAGCAACTGATACTTCTCAACAGGCTCATCATAAACAACAAGCACGACAATTGAGTCGTTCCGCTGATCGTCTCAATAGTAAATCAAGTCGTCGAGAATTACGTTATGAAGAACATAACGATTATATTTCTTCACCGCCATCATCATCACAACTACAACCGCCACCACTACTTAATTCAATTCAGTGTCATCCAACGATCGATCATTATGCACGAAGTTTAAATCAATCATCATATTTCTATTCAACACACCGTCGTAGTCAAATAGAAGTATATCAACTACCAACAGAAAAGAATCGCGTTGTATTACCGAGACCGTATTCGTCAAATTTCCCATTCACACATAATACAATATTAACAAATATACCAATTACTTATAGTCATACAGTAGATAATATACCGATAATGTCTCAAACATCACCCGATAATACTGCAACATATGAAAAATTATTTGAATGTCATTCACCATTAGTACCAGTAGAAAACTCATCTGTGAAACCACCACGTCGTATTGAATCACCGTATAGTCAATTTCCAACAACACAACAAGAGCCTGTTTATGCAAATACACAATCGCTTTATGATAATATTATTTATCCAGAAGGATCTTCATCATCGAAAATATCAAATCGAAATGAGAAAAAATGTCAAGAAAAGAAATCTTGTGCCTCACAAACACAATTAACATGGACAATGGCAACATTTTCATCGTTCGTTGATTTGGAAAATCAATCAATTGTTATTCAACAACCAGACCCAGCAACACTTTATTCTATTGTACAACATCATCATACAGAACCACCACCATCAGCGTCAGCTGCAACAATTGATCATATGAAAGTATCATCATCAAGTGTATGTTGGATGTTTTTTTTCTTCTATATATGTATTGTTTTCTGTTTTTTCTAGTTACAATACATAGACGATACTTCTTCTCCATCACATTTTCGACCTGAACGTACTCCAACTCCATCTAAAAGTTTGATGATTGAAAAACGTGATGGTTCCTTTCAAACACTTCTTACGATTGCGCCCATGCAAGGTGCTGATTCAAGTAAACAAATCGTGCTTCATGATACAACTCCATCACCACTATCAACTCATTCGTCGTCAACCAATGATCAGCATCATCATCATCATCATCATCACCATCATAATCGTCATCGACGAAATAAATCTCAGAGTAATACAAGTCGAAATAATATTAATACGCGTGATGTTGGCCTTCAAGTAAATATTCAAACGGTAAAAAAAATAACATTTCTATCACAAAAAAGTGATGATTCATCACTGACAACATCGGCACCATCACCACCAACAGTTATACCAGTACGCGAATTAAAACATGTCCAAACAAATACTGAACCGTCAACAGAAAAACATGATAAAAGTACGTCATATGAAAAAAGTACTCGTATGGTATCATCAGCGTCACAAACACTTGATTCTTCTACAATAGTGGCACAAAGTCAAGGGCAAGCTGCTCAAACATTGACAAAATCTTTACGTGATCAATCTATTGAAACGAATAATCGTGGCTTATTTGTTTGTGATCTTAGTTCATTCTTAAAAAATGGTATTGACGAAATATCTTCAACAAAACAAAAATCCTAATTACTTTTCTTCTGCTCTTCATCATGATTTATACGTGTGTTCCTCTTTCTTTTTATTTTGTATTCTTGTTTTTTCAAAACAGATGTCCATATTATTAAATCCTGTGTTTTAGCAGACAGATAAAAAATAATAACTTGAATTTCAGATTTGATGTATCATTATTTTACTACTATGATATTCACCGCGCACATTTAAAGGATCAATAGTTTACATACTATATCTAAAATTATGGATAAAATTTCAATGAAGACGTTGAAGAATATTGTGTTTCTCATTGATCATGATTAAGACGCTATATTATTCAGAAAATGTTCACAAGATACAATAGTTTGTATTCTAATTAATGCTAGTGATTATGGTTGAAAACATCATCAACCTAATGAAATTGCTCTCGAATGTACTCTCTACGATGAGGTCACCGTTAGGTAGGGTTACTACTGCTTTTTTCTTTCGTTAAACTTATCAATTTTATTTTATCGAAATTTCGTATGAATACAGATTTTCCTATACATTCATATAGCTAGGAGTAAGTTAGTTAAATGAATCAATTTCAATAAAATATCCTTGATATTATTATTATGTTTTCAATACAAGACTTACACATATTAATATACTTTTTTTTACTATTTGAATAGAAATCTAAATTATTTTATTTAATATGAACGCGCAAACTCTACATAATTTAATTAATAATAATAATAAGTAGAAGAATTGTCGAATGTAACTTGTTTATTTATAATTAAAAATTCATCGTTCTAGTCGCCTTATTCATTTCATCAAACAGAAAAATAATAGTAGAGACGAAAAATTATTTTTTCGTAGTTCAAATTTACACATTGATTCTTGTTGAACAATAATAAGTTAATTAACGAATCGATCGAGAACTCATCCGAAACGCTCCGCCTTGTCGACTTTGACAAATAATATCTTGTATAGTGAACAACTTTGATCGATCTGTCTTTTGTTTTTATTCAATAGCAGCTGTCTTTCATATCGAGCATTTGGTATCCAATATAATAGTGTTTGTGTTACAAATATCGAATAGTAATAATCGTTTTTTTTCTCTGAACATTAGCAACTAGTACTTAGTTTGAGTAGTTCACTCAAAAACGATCTTATCGTATATATTTTACTGTAGTTCGATGTTTTAGCCGTTGCATTAGACATAATGATTTAGATCATAAAGTTAATTTAAAACAACTTAAGCTTTGACAGGAAAACAAATGAACATTTAGTGACTTAGATGAACTATAGAGATACTAGATTCTTCCATGATCTGTAAATGAAACGTTGATGAGTCCGGGCAGTGTGGCCGAGTGGTCTAAGGCGCTGGTTTTAGGCACCAGTCGTAAAAGGCGTGGGTTCGAATCCCACCGCTGTCATTATATAATGAGTCAAGTTTACTTGACTCTCTTTTTTTTCTTTTTCCTAGCGTATTTGATGGATGCTAAAAGAATAAAAAAATCTTATAAAAGAGTAACTGAGTCTTTTTTTTTTATCTCCTTCTATTCGATTTTTAACTTGTTTACGTATCAATATAATGAAAGAAATAAGTCTTCATTTGTTTCTCATCACTTGATAAACATATCCGGTTAGTGTTGCTGCTGCTGTCTTGAAATAGCTTAATATGATTATTGTCGAAAAATATAATGAAGAATATGAAGCAGAATTTTTGCATCTTCTTACATTATATTAGTTTCATTTTCTCACCAAAATTCTCAATGGAATTAGCACAGACTAATCTTTTTGAAAACAAACTTCATATACTATACAATGAAGATAAAATAAAATTAGGACAAAGCTAATCTAGAAATAGAGATTTTACGCGCAAGTTTCTTTAATACTCATGTAAACCATTCGTAGAATGGTTAAATATGGATTGTTTTTAAGTGAAAGATGAAAATTTTTGGCTTGTTTTAGTTTTTTTGTCAACGATCATCGGATCATATTTTGATTGAATATTCTATAACTGATATATCATTTTGAAATTGATTAGGGTCTATTTCAATAATATAATGATTAAATCAAAAAATGATTTATAATAATTATTTGAATTATCTTTTCGATTGTTTTTCGCTATCATGATATGTGAAAACAATTACCTTTAATTTGAATACAATTACAATTAAATTCTATTCACTCATCATTGATGATAAGTGTAATATTTGCAATAGCATGTATATTGAATTGATTCAAGGCTCTATGTTAATCATACTTCTTAATCACTGTGACTGTGATATCTATAATCCTTATTACCGCCCTCTTGAATGTTTCCATTGGTAAACGTCAAAGTGATGACTTATAGGATGAATCATGGTCCGTGCAATTGGTTGAGAAAACTTGATAATGATCTTATTTATTAAAAAGAGATGCCAAAATAATCAATAAAAAATAAATAAAACTATGGGAAGTGCTTTTGGATCAATTTTTGGTAGAAAACGTTATCGAATATTAATGCTCGGACTTGGTATAATCTAAACAATGAAAAGAATAATACTCATTTAAATAATTTCATGCACTTGTTTCTATAGATAATGCAGGAAAAACATCAATTCTTTCTCGTCTTCATCTAAACGAAATGCGTTCAACAGTGCCAACGATTGGATTTACTGTTGAATCAGTTACTTTAGATCATGTTCAATTTACTGTCTGGGATGTTGGAGGGCAAGTAAGCAAAGAAAAAAAAACATGTGCATGATTCATAACATAAAATTCCGTACTGATAGCAGCGACGAACAGAAATGAATGATTAATTAATTAAATATAGTATATTGAATATTATAAGAAGTTAATCGAGATCTGAAACTATGAGAAGTATCCTGAAAATAGTTATAAAATATATTTATTTGTTTTTTAATGTATCCATTAAGTACTAAATAACTACACAATGTAAGGTCTATAATTGGTACTATGAATAAGTTTATCTAATTTTCCAATAATTGATATTGCCACCACAAAGAGTTCCTTTTAATAAACAGGCATGAAAGCAAAATTCATGAGAACTATAGTAAAAAAAAAATTGTTTTTCATAACTTACGGACATTTTGATGTATAAGAAACCTCAAGGGTTCATCAAACGAAAGATTACCCAGGCGAGAAAATAATATAATTGAACAGTTGCAAAATGATTTTGAAAAACTAATGGGTTAAATTAAACATTACTTTATTTCGACGAATGACAGACATGAATACAAAAAACTTTGTGCAAGTTACGATAATAATTAACATCAAAAACATTGACAACTTGACATTTGTTTTTCTTTCAGACAGTTATATTGTTTTAAAAATAATTTACAGTTAAGACGATCAAAAACATTGCAGCACTAATACATAATAGACTTGTCAGACTATATCGTTTACAGTGCAACCTACAGACATGCTACAAGAGTTTTGTTTTTGGTGGGTATGAGGATGGTGAAATCAATAATCATTTCAATACACGAGTACTGATCTATTGGTCACAATAGTTTTAGAGCTAACATGTTATTTTCTATTGATTCTATGCCATGTTTAGTTTAATAAATAATTGAATTCTTTGATTCTTCAATGAAATCAGTTTACATTTTCATACCATTTGCTGAAACATACATTAAATAGCCTGAGTTACTTTTTTACTCTTAAGGATAAAATCCGTCCATTATGGCGTCACTATTATACTGGATCTCAAGGTCTCATATTTGTTGTTGACTCATCTGATTATGAACGACTCGATGAAGCACGCCGCGAATTAGAAAGAGTCTTAATTGATCGTGAAATGCGGAACGTCAGCGTACTTGTACTATGCAACAAACAAGATATGCCGAATAGTATACAACCAGATGAAATTCGACAAGCATTACATTTAGACAATTTAACTCGTCCATATGCCATAGTGCCTTGTTCAGCGCTGAATGGAACTGGTTTAGACGAAGGTCTTAAATGGTTATCTAAACATTGTAAATAAAATACTGTTAACATTATATAAATATACATATATATATATATATATATATATATATATATTTGTAATAGCTCAGTAATGATATGTTGAAAGTTTTTCATTGTTAATGTTAGTAATTTTTTTATATGGTAAAAGAAAAATTCAATACATTTTCATGAAATTTATGTTTTCAATGTTAACTATCAAACAAAATGCAATCGAGAATATGTTGAATATATATATATATATATAGTTAGTTAAATTTTTAAACATCTGAATTATGTTAAATCTTGTAATGATTGTGAACGATAATGTTGAAATGGAGAATTTTGACTATGTTGTAATTGAATGTTCTGTTTTCGAATTAATCTATTAGATTCTTGTATTTGTGGCATTACTGATGTTTTGGAGACAAAAAATTTTCTACTTGATTGAGAAGTTTTCGTATGAGCACTCGATGATGACGACGATGATGATCTATCTGAATTATTCATTGAATTTTCTTTTATATTCTCCATGCGATAAATAACTGCTGGTGATTGATTTTGTTTTTGTTTATGTTCAAAATTAGCTTTTAATCTATACGCACGATTATTATTAGTTTTTATAGGTGGATTATGACGTGGAAATGTTAAATTCTGTTCAGCTAATGAATTATTACAATGAACTGGTTTAGTATTGAGTTTTGGATATACAGGTGATGCAAGGATATTAGCATTACTATAAATAAATAAAACAGAGATACGAAAATTAATCAAAATATATATGATAAAAACAGAAACAAGGTAAATAAGTAGCGAATGATGCCAAATATTTAGATTCAATCGGATTTATACAGAAATTTGATGTCGTCTTTTATTATGTAAATAATGATCTAGCCTAGACTATACTATCGGATATATTATGGCTAAATTTTATTAAGAGACAAGATCTAAACAGAAACGTATTTTTCTTTATATAGATCAAACTTCTCCTAACAATCAAAAATTTTCTGTAAAAAACTTTAATGCCTACTTCTCAAACTTTGACTCATTGAGTATACACCCAGGTAGAACTACAACTTCTGAAATCTTTGTTGGTTTGACTTTTGAAAATGAATGCGTAGCAAGGGGGAAAAAGCGATTTATGAGTTTCATGATTTTTCTGAGTTTAGCTGATTTAAAATGAGTTTGAGAAAACGAAAAATTTGCTAAACTAACTAAAAACTATTCCAAATCATAAATTATTACTGAAAATCATTCAAAGGCACCGAAACTCACGCAAACTCATTCCAATACAGTTAATTTATATTGATTGTAAGTTGAGTTTTACTGTGATTTAAATCAGCTTTTCCCCCCTTGATGCGTAGTCTCGCTGTAGCTATTTCTCTCGTTTTATCTTAATTAATCTTACTACCATGACTTGTTAAAATTGATTAAGTTACTGCTGTATATAGATACATAGATGAAATATTTTATAGACTTAAGTAAAAGTCATACTTGACTTAGTGAAAAACTTCTAATCCTCTAATATTTTACTACTGCAACACAGTCAAACTAGATATGCAAGGAAATATCATAGCTAGATAAAGCGGTCTTACTTTTCTTTCATACGAGGTTTTACACCTTGCAACTGTTCATCTTGATTAATTTTTATTGTTAAATTGGATAGTAATTTTAATAATAAACTACGTTCTCTTTTCATTTCATGAATTGTTTCCATCAGTATTGATTGATTTAATTTAGCTTTTAAATATTCATTTTCACGATGTAATATTTCACGTTCATCCATAAGTTGATTTACCATTGTAACAAGTCGTTCATGCTCATGATCAATCGTTCTTATTGACATGGTTTTAAGAAATCGCTGTTTAGTTTAACTATAAATCAAGAAATGTTGCCTTCCTTTAATATACGATATCGATATATACCATTGAAATAAAGACAAGAAAGAGAAAGAGAGAGAGAGAGAGAAACTTTACCATTATTCTCATACTCTTAATGGCTCTACGTGATCTGAAGGAAAAAGTGCTTACTCCGCCTACTTGAATAATAGTACATGAGGTAATACATGTTTTATTCCGTTTTTCAATATAGTTGAATCTTTGTAAATAGTATTGACCGGAATAGTAATTTTATCTTCGAAACATGTGCACAGACAAAAGAAAGAATATTTTATCGATTTCTTTTCACTTATACTCATGAGAATATTGTAATCCTGATGATAATAGGAAAAGTAATGAATCTTTGATGATAAAGTTAAATGAACTCTTCTAGGAAAAAGAACGAAACGGTACAGTCGATTTAATGAATTATAGTAGTTAGGAAGAAAAATTCATAATATATCCTATTACATTTTTCTACTGGTAATTCTCGTATCATGATTCATTTTAAAATATGTTTCATCGTATTTTATTGTCTTCAAATTTTACAGTAGTTAATTGGAAACGAATAAAATTAATATGAGACTGAATAGATTTGAGATCATTCAAAGAAATGTTTATTCTTGTTATTGAATGATAGAAGGAATAGATGATTGCAAATATTATTCTGCAGAGAATTTTGAATAAAGTGATTCAAACTGAAAATGATACTTTATTTTATAGAGCAGGTAAAATTAAATTTTTAACGAGCATTGTTAGACTTAGAAATTAATCTAAAGTATCCATTTCACTTTTGAACACTTTTATTATGGAATAATTACCAGAGACAACAATATTTTACGAGGAAATATGCTATTGAAAAAGTGAATGGACTCGATAAATGTATGAATCATTTAGAAATCAACTTAGATGTTTAGATACGCTGTTTATTTGCTATTCTTGAAAGTGATTTAACAATCAAATGTTTTAAGCTAGTCAAAGATTAACTTCTATTGACTAATATTTTCAAAGCGAAAATTCAACTCTCATGAATGATGTTACATATAAGTTTTTCTAATTATTATTAAGCCCTCCTCCTCCCCCCCTCCCTACAATCGACTTGCCACTTGGAACGAGCTGTTTGGGCTGAAAGTTACAGGAGCGAGTAGCCCTAGTGAGAAACGTGTGTGGTAAAAGTTTCAGCTTAATACACCTAACCAAAATAGACTTATGACTTGTTTTATGGCTTTCACGAGAATCGAAATAACTTCATGGATGTGAAATTTATCGAGGTCGGCTAGATTTCAAATTAAAGCTAGCCGCCATATGAAACGTTTCAACGGACGGAATTTTGAAATTCGCTTCTATTCATTTTTTATAATCATTTTATATGATATAACTGTCAAATTAGGTACAAAAAGCGCAGTAAATCGGACTTTTCTTAGTGCAGGAATCTAGTATAAAAAATCTATCCGATGAAAAGTTAGATCTCGTTGAGACCTTTAAAATGAAATAAAAACATAAGGCAAAGCTTGAGCCTAGCCAGAGTTATTTTAGCTTTACTGTTGGAAAACCATGTTTTGAGAAAGCCACGAAACAAAAAAAATAGGTATCCGCCTAAAACTGTGGTAGTAGGTTTGAAGAAATGATTTCGAAAGTATTGTTTAACCTGGATGTTTTTTAAAACCTTATTTATATTTGGATAAAGGCGAGTTGGGTATATCTTCCCATAGTAAAAAATTCATTTTCGTTTTTGTTTATAAAGTCAACATTTGTCAAGGGGGGGGTCCTTAAGTTTAAAATTTTATGTTCATGCAACAATTAAAAAATATCTTCAACATAGTAGCAAACATCAAAAATATTAACAGACAAGACATCAACTATAAAATGAAATCATTATTATTGTTTATTCTATTGCAAAAATACTCGTGAATAAGTAGCTAATAATTCAGTTGCTAAACCACTTTTATATGATAAACAATCTTTTCCTCATCTTTTGTTCAAACAATAGATGACGTTTTGTTTTACGATGAAATCAAATTGTTTCTGATGCATCACTTTAACAAGCATAATCTGGATGTTGCCATCCTAAGATTGTACGAAACCAATCGAGACGTATAAAATCTTCATAGCCAACAATTGAACAGGGTAATAATTGTTCAATAAATAAATCTTGATTAATATTATTAAGTAAATTAATTTTAGCATCTTGATATATATTTGCACAAAAGTAATCTTGAAAATAATTGAAATTTTCATTTGCTGTATCTTGATTTATACATCCAATATTTTTTGTCATTAGAAACCATAACAATTGATGTGTTTAACGATAATTTTCACCCATCGGCGATATCGTCATATTTCAACATGATTCACCAATAAAACATTTCCTTGAATTTAAGCGATCGCTTGAACCTAAAATGAACGTGAAATAGATTATTTAAAATCAGATGGGTTTCTCTTCTGTTCGAATTTACTAAGTAATTCAGCAAAACATTTATTTGATTTGTCTTCATCAAAATTTGAATCTTGTGTATCATGTTCAATTAAATATTTATTGATTCTTCTCGATTGATATTCAAGCACAAATGGATGGTAGACAATAAGAGCGAACCAATGTAAATATGTTGATTGTTCATATGCTATTTGATTTAAACTTATATTTGCTATGCGTTCAATTTTTTTCGATAATGAATTTGCCTATCGGTTGATGGTTTTAAAATTTGATCAAGTGCATTTAATTGATCTTGAGCTATGCGTAAACCATATAAACCATCGAGATTAAGATTATTCGAATCGGATTCAAAGAAATTAAGAAGACATTGGAGAGCATGTAAAGCATGGCCACCATATTATATGTAGAGCACATGGGAGGAGAAATTAGAACTATGTATAGTTTGGATAGGAGCATAGAAAATAAAGATAAAAAAAATAGAATTAGCATCTAAAAATAATCCAGAACATGTTTTTTATTATTGCTTCGTAAGTAGTGATGGATATAGAAATGATGTTGTACTTTCTTTTTATCCTAGACAGATGGCATTTTCCTGATATACAAGTTCTATCATCGAGTATCAGTTGCCCACACAAAATAATATCTTCTACTCAATCATACGGATTCGATAGTATTGGTGTGATTGCAATGATTCGTTGAATTACCTACTCTACTCACTAGAAAATTGCTACAAGCGCTTAAATAATATAGTTATTTATATTTTTTAGATATAAGAATGAATGTTACTCATAAACTGTATTTTATAAACAGGTACGAGAGACATTCTAGATAATATAGTGATAACAGTGGCAGAAATGTTTTTTTTTCTATATCATTATGAAAAACGTTGGGTAGTACGAAGGAAATAGAAGACTATAAGTACATGCAGATTGTTAATGTCAATGATTGATTGAGTATTGCATCCTTATATAGTGTGGTTTGAAAGTGACAGTAAAGTATAATAAAGAAACAATCAGTTTATTCATATTAAAATCATTTTTTAGATTGTATTGATAATAATTAGTAAGATTTCGATTTACCAATATTTACTGCATAAAGCGTTGTCTTTTGAACAAGTTTTTTTAATTTTATTTAACTAAATATTTTCAAGCAATCTTAGATCCAGATAGCAGTGACGATAGGCTAAAGGCTATTCTTTTAATGTCATGATATAATCATTTATGAAGGAAAACAAAGCAAACTGTCAAAAAAATACCATAAAAAATGGCAAAAAAAATTGTATTTGGTGAAATAAAGACTGTTTCGGTATAATCAATGAGAACGAATGTAGCACTATATTAATAAATCATTTTCGAATATAATTTATCTTGATTAAATTTACTATATTATTTATTATGACACAAACTTATAAATTATGCTAAAATTAAAATTCAATGATTTAGATTTAATTAAGTCAATCAAGCAAAAAAGTGTTCTTCAATAAAATCCCCAAACAAAATTTAAGAACATGTTAGGATTATTTACGAGAAAAAACAAATGTTCTTAACGCGTTGTAAATGTTTCTTCGTTGAAATGCATTATTCAAATTTTTCTCCTGTGTACGATTGCTTCCATGCATCGATCAAAATGTAGAAAGCTCACGGTACTTAAAAGATTGTGAAATTAGAAGTTAAATATGGGTGTGACATTGATTCAACGTTGCAATCTCAGTTTACATATGGAACACGAACTGAATGATAGTTTGTCTATACTTGCACGTCTGATTATAACTGTAACTATGACTGTATCGTCAAATGTGGGTGGCCTGGAAACTCAATGCATTTATTCGGGCTAAATCTAATGTTATACATAGATGTTGAAGTGTGACTCTGGAATTTGTTCTGTTATGCAATCACTCTAGCACATTATTATCCACAGCTGCAATGCAACATACACTTAGATAAGCGATGAGACAAAATCTCCACCGAAATCGATACCAATACATAAAAAGCTTCTTCTATTGCACGCATTCACTTTCGAAATGAATAATATAGAAAATTATTCTAGGGAGTCTGGTCTGGTTTGTTGAGAAAAGTGAAAAAACGTGCGTATATAACTAGTATGAAACGACAAGTGCTAAGAGAAGGAAAGCATCTTATTGTTCAATATTCAATATAACTTCGAGTGCCAAATGATCCGATGGATAATTGATTGATGGTAGTGCATTAGGTCCAATATCATCTTTACTTGGTAATTGTAAAATAGCCTCAGGTGTAAATCCTTTTGGGCTATAAAAAACATAATCGATCGCTTTGCATTGTTCACGTTCAGTCCCATCACGTCCCTTGTATGTCCAAGTAGTATATGATGGTTCTTTATCGCCCATCTTTGTTCTATAAGCACTTTTTAAACCAAAATTGACTAACTCAGTGTAGCAAGGCTCCTCAAAGTCTCCATTCAAATCACCAGCAAGAATCACGTGTGATGATGTAGGATATTTGGTTTTTAAATGTTCGATAATTGCTTCGGCTTGATGCAATCTCGATGCTTTAAATTCTTTCTTAGATTTAAAATGAGTTCCAATAAAAACAATTTTTTTCGATGAAGGCTTATGTTCCAGATGAAGAACAGCAAATATCTAAAGAAAATATAAATAAGTAAAGTATGTCCAAGATACAGGAAAACACTGTTATTGGTTTAAGGATATAAAAATGAAAAGGAAGAAATGAACAGGAGCGATTTCAAGGTAACATAAAGGTCAATTTTCGAGTTTCATCTTTTCATGAACTACATAAAATGATATGATACTATTCTACAGGTTTCGATAGACAGATACTGTAAGATTTCGATGTCTCAATATCAAAGATCCAAACACTAAACTGCTATTATGTGTATAATGTACAGGTAAGACTAGAAGAATACTGGAAATAGACTTCTTTAGCAACCCTGTCCAGAATTTACCCACGCTTTATTTTATGATTTGGAAAAGTGATGATATACTTGTAAAAGTAATAAATCTTATATATGTCATCTTACGTCTTAATATGATATAAAATAGTGGCTGCAATTTTATTTTGAGCGTCTTTCAATGAAACTGAACTGCTTCACTATTACCGATGAAGAAAATTGAACAGCTGAGAGAAGAAACATTCAGTTATATGCGTATTATTGTAGCTTACCGTTTTCATTGTATGGATTATTATCAGATCGAAAATAATTATGAGCATTAAAAAGTGAAAATTATTCGGTTTCTTATTGATCTGAAAATGTACTAATTATCAAGCCAATGATTTTACTCGCATCTACTATCAGTTGTAATGTATGTCACGTGTCTTAATCGGAATTCAGTGAATTTTACTTTAATTTTTCAAACCGTATTAATTAGAAATAAACTCTTGAAAATGAATACTATCACTCAGAAACAGTTTTATGCTTAGATTTGAGTATCCTTAACATATCTGCAAATACTAAAAATACTAAAAATTATTAACGGAACACTAAAATTCTAATTAACTCAATTGAAAATTGTTAACAGACTCTCAAAATGATTCGTATTCAAAAGGCTTTCTTTTCAATTTAGTTGATAGCTATTTTCTATTGCCTTGTTGATATGAAATTTCATGTTCTCAAAATATAATAACCAACCTGTTTTTCGCGTCGGCCATCGTCTGGCAATTGTTCTCCGTTACGACTGAGCTCATTAAATAAGTCAGTTTTGTAACATAAAAGTGTACCATCGGCACCCTTGAAATTTTTGGTGTCAGCTTCAAATAAGAAACATTTGGAATTGATCTTGGGCACAAAAAAGCATGTATACCTAGGATAAATTTAATCTAAGATGATTGGAAATATTTCAAATATATTTAACTACCCATATTTGGGCAATTCATTTTCTAAAAAACAATTAAATATGTCCATTTCTTCTAATGCACATAAATCTGGTCGACGAATGATAATTTGTTCAAGAATACGCCATTTCCGTTTCTCAAAATCGACTATATCATTATTGACACGTACAAAGTTGTCTTTGGTATATGAAAGAGCTATGAATAAATTCGATGTAAAATTCACGCGTAATAACATAGTTTAAGAGATTTACCTTGCGCAAGAACATTCCATTGAAGGACATGAATTGTACTTGGGCTTGATGAGATACTACCATCAAAGTCTCGCTTGAGACTCTCCGGTGTAATGTACTGTTTAATTCTATAAATATAGTGAAGAAAATTTTAAATCCATGGGATATCTTTTTTCACTCTTACTCATTTTGCATCAAACTATTCATTGCGGAACTGGCCATTATAATTTAATCAGTGAATTCAAGTCAATAATGACTTATCTAATGAAAAAGTAATAATTTTAATAAATATATTGAATTAGAGCTTAAACCGTTAATATTCAAGTCAATTTATGAAATCAATTAGTCCTAAACTTGTTTTGTTTTTAAATTTTAAAGTTTCGTTGTAGGATTTCCTCTGAAAAAAAAACATATACTTCAAATGTGGATATTTAAACTTATTTGGAAATTATTCTTCATTTAGATTTCTATGAAAAACAATTTTTAGAAATCACAGGACTCCCAACGTTTCAACAGTATGTATTGTGCACCATAAATAATAGCTGAGAAAACCTAGTAAATGGCAAAAGGTTACCCTTTTTTTTGTTATTTTTATGTTAAAAACTCACCGAGGCAGCAGCTTGCTAAAGCATATTGTTGCAAATATTCAATGGGTATTGGACATGGAAAAATGTGTGCAAAAACCCTAACGGTTAAATATTATATTGTTACTGTTTCAATTTAGTAGCATTACAAAATCAGTAAGCATATTCTGTACGAGACTTACCAAGCGAAAACAAGTTTTTGCGGCTGATAATCTCAGTAGTGACAAACTTGAAACTTGAATTCAGTTGAAAATAGAAAATTTCAACTTTTAACTTTCAACTCATAGCGACATATGTGTGAGTCACGATTCTTCAGAATGCTATTGGTTTAAAAGTTGAAAATTTCAATTTTCAATTTTCAATTGTGAATTCAAGTTTCAAGTTTGACATACATGGATAATCTAGAAAGGATTTATCAGGACACGGCGATGTATCTCTAGAACGAAAAATAAGCTGTCCTATTATTTCAGAGTAAATATTAAAATCATAAAACAAGCATTAATGCACAATTATTTACAATAAATATGTACGAATAAAAATTGATAGAATGAGGCTATTGCAATTGCAAAGAAAAAATACTTTTACGGACATGCCAAAGTATTATTCTAAAATTAAGACGTTTACTGAAAACGTCGAAGCGACTGTGAGTGAAATAATGTATTGCTGAAGAACTATTCAATGACTTCATTCCTATATGTTATTTCTGACGACAGAATGAAGAAAAAAAATGTAATCAACGAGGGGTTGATTGCTTAGCAACTGCATCAACAACGATCTGCTGCACTATTTAATACTTGTAGCATGATGCGTCTAAAATTTTCAGGCAGCACCTTAAATAACAATTTAATGCGAGGAAAACTTAAAAGTAAAAATGTATTAGAAAATGCGAGCTGTTTATTTACTTTGCGGATCAAATAAATAAAAAATAGTTGAAAATGACATTTATTTCCAGAGGTTTTTGCAAATTTTCGTCAACAACACGTACGTGTTTATTCAACATTATTGAGGAAAGACGTTTCAGACTGAATACAATGAATTCTGACAATCTGAAAGTATGTTGATTTTCTTGCTTCGAAGACGCGTTAGAAACGACAACGATGGTACACCCCGTGAACAATGGTAAACATAGGTGAAATTTGTAATAGCCAATAGTCATGGTGGCTTGATATATGATCGGATTTTTAATCAACTTGCTCGACCATTCAATTTTAAGCAAAGAGCACTAGGAAAATTCATTTATGACGAAATTTCAGTCATTAAAAATCAAATTTGAAGTTCTTTTTTATCACGAGTAGAACACCATCATTTATTTTCATTATATTTCAACTCCTTTAAAGTTCAACAGCATTTTTCTAATTGAAGCTATTCAATACTTAGCATTATCATCAAGCGGAAACTTCAAACGTAAAATAGAAGGTACATTGCATTGTTGCGCAATCCTTACTATTCTTTAACAAACAGAAATATTTTCAGTAGCAGTTCGACAGATGAAATACGATAAAGAATAATTTTTCACAAAATGTGTAATAGCCTAGTGCTAGAAAAATGTATGAGCATATTTTGTATTATAAAAACACAAGAAAAACCTGCATCCAACTGATTCAAAAAATGATTGTGTTTATATTTCATTGATTATTTTTTTGTACACTCTCGGTTGTCTATTTACTCTGCCTCGTGGTTCATATTCGGAATAAGTGAGTAAGAGACAGAATGAAAAAGTCATTACAAAAACATATATCGTACACATCCTGGGAAAATAAAATAGAACGTATTGGTTCTTCCAATATTTCATAGCGGAAGATCGTCTAATGATTACCATACTAGTAAATCGCCTGTTCAATTATACGAGTATAAAGCGATTCGGTTTTTAAATCCTTTTTAGCTGTTTCAATTAACGTTATCTTAAATAGTTCTTGTCCATCTATTATATATTTTTCATGAAAAATCAAACGAGTCCTCATCGATCATGATCGAATTCGTTTTTTTTTAGTCCTTATCAAACAGTTACAACTCGATATGCGCTCGAAATGTTTCATTCACTTGGTCATGCATTTAATAATCAATATACGACTAATGAATCTCTTCAAACAATGATGATTATCTTGACTAATCGAGATGATAAATGTTTCTATCAATTGGCTCTCAATGCACATTAATGTCTTCAAAAAAAAAACGAATTATTCGATTTAACAAGTATTTTTAACGAAAGGTGAATTTGAGTACAATACATACGATTTATTCAAGTTAGAAGAAGAAAAAAAAGTAGAATAGACGTTCGTTGAGTTAATTTCGAATGATTCTAAATCTATTTCTTTTAGGGAAAAAATCTTTTTCAATGTGATGTAAATGTTGTTCATGTTACTACATCTTGTATAAAAAGAATGCCACATGAGCGGACTCAAAGTCATCGGTTGTAAGAGCTGCATCTCTGAAAGAAATCGATGAAAAACGAAACAAATGAGTCGATTTCAGTCAGATTCATAATGTTGGGAAATATGTAGCACGTTTAGGCCTTTATTTCAGCAAGAAAACTCCGACTGGTGTGTGTATCTTTTATTTTTGATAAGCTTTCGAAACAGTTATGTATGTTTTCACTTCGTCAGATTGCACTCAATTGTACCGAAGATTTCGATCGGCGGGTAAAAACAAGAGACTATTGTGCCGCAAGTATCTATGATATCGAGCGTAACGGTTATTGTTTTACAGATGGAAATGGATTTATATCAAAAAGTTTAGCACGATTGATCACACGAAAACTTGGTTATCACATGAAAAATATAAATCATGTGTGCATACATGACACTTTCGAATCGTTTGTTTATTTTTGAAAATTTTCTTTAAACAAATATAGAATATCTATCCATCTGCTTATCAAATTCGAATGGCTAGTTGCAAAGGTCTTGTTTTTGTGTAACTAGGGTGTAGGTTGGATCAATTTTATATCAAAATTGGTCCATCCAGAGGTGGGCATCTCCATGGAAACAAGTGATCTTGGGACCCCTAAACTGTTCACGTAGTTATCAGATTATTTCAATGACTACAAGGAGCGTCCACGTAATTTTCAAAATAATTCGAAAACTACGTGGACAGTTTAGGGGTCCCAAGATGACTTGTTTCCATGCGGATTCCCACCTCTAGGTGCATGAATGAAAAAATTTGGTTCAGATAACTGGAGTTTGAATATTTGTAAAACCAGTAAACCGAGTAAGAAGATTTAAAAAAAATAAATATAGTAAAAAACAAGAAAGTGTGCTTTCAGTGCAAAGACAAGAGACAAATGATGCAAAAAGAGTTTTAGCATGTGATTCTATTAAAGTTAGAGAAAAAGAAGTCAATTTGAAATGGAACGAAGACATTTCGTGCCAGTGTCCCGGACATCCGGTAATCCGTTGAGGTGTTCGGAATTGATTTTTGTCATTAAGAACATTTACCGGAAGTACGTAACACATGTTGGTCAGGATATGGTAATTAAAAAAAATACAGGTAAATCGGAATGAAATGGTCGGCAATATATAAAATACTGTCAGGATATTGGGACGAAAATGGCCGGATGTCCGTAAACTCATTTTACCTGGAGATTGCAAGTATATTATAATACTTCTAGAGTGCGCTATATTATGGAGAATAGAAAGCCTATATAAGGGTGTGGGTGTGGGCTTGACTATTTGTTACTACATTCACAATCACATCCTTTTTTTCATGATTTTGTTCTCTGTTTCGTGTTCTTTGTTCGATTCTTCATGCTATTTCTTTTGTCTTTCTCTGTCTCCCTCTAAGTTCTTTTTCTGTATTGAAAAAGATTTATTGTGTTCACCAGAACGTTGTTCTGTTTATTATCTTTAAATACAAGCTACCGAGTCATTTGAAATCTCTCAAAAAAGTGTGCACATGAACATAGTTACGAACACCCTGCCTCTTTTCATTACGATCTTCCGGTCATTTGAAATCTCGAACGCCACGCAAATTTCAGTCTTTTGTTTTTCAAAAATACTGCTGTCCGTTACGGTCTATTGGACAAATTTCATTCCGAACACCCTGGTTGTTTTAACTTTTTATCATTCCGAAGAGCATGTATGTTTTTATATGTCGGGAAATCGTAACGAACATCTCCTCAGGCAAATCGTAATGAAAAGTTAGTGCGAAATGTTTCTTTCCCTTTGAAACTATTTTTCAAAGATGACGCTGAGAGTCCATCATCTGGTAAATAGCACGCGATAATAGATGAATGCATATTGAAATTCAACATAACGATTAGTATGAAACTTTTGTATCTACTTTGGCCGCTAATAAGAATCATCATTCAATTCTATTAAGAAAAACATCTGCTACAGTTAGCAACAAGATCTTTCGAGATATTTAGACTTGGATATTTTTGAAATTTACACATTTCAATATTAGTAACTCAACAACCAGTTTCACACCTTCAAAGAATATATCATAAATGATATCATTCTCATTAGAATAATTTTTTTCAACAAGCTAACCGTTTATTGTGTTGTCATGAATCACAATAGATGATTGATCAGAACAGACCACTCTCATTCTAGATAAGAAGTAGCATTTAAAAAAAACATAGTAGCTTTTTCACAAAGCTTGTGTTTGAAATATATGATTGAATTATTAGAGTTCGAATATACATTGCTAGAGATCTCTTTATTTGAAGAGATTTTAAACAATTGTCGCAAGTGATAATTCAATAGATTGCTTTATATTAATAATTGAAAAGCATGCTGTCGTTTTGACACACTAACTCTTTTGCTTTCAATCAATTTGATCGATTGTTTACTTCGCAAAGGCTAAAATTTGCTTAGTTCGTTCTAATTTCTTTCTCGTACTACGACGATTCGATTGAAGAAAAAAAAATGAATTTTTCTATAATATAGTTCCAACCACACTCAACAATCAAATTATTCTACTCATGTCTGATTTCGGTGTACTCGATGAGACTTTTGTTTTCATCTACAATGTAAATGATTTGAAGACAAAGAACGAACACCACATAGTCTTCAGTAAAGATATCATTTTTTTTCTCTGATATTTCAATCTGATTGTGATTTCTTCTTTTTGCAGAGATCTTCTGAAGAATAAATTACTACTATCAGTGAATGAATATCGATATATGTTTGACTGTGTATTTGAATCAGTTTTCAAGCCAGAACAATGCTTTATTCGATATCAAGTTGTTGACAAGAATGGAAAATCACTGAAAGAACCTCGATTCGAAACTGTTGTTGGACGAATTATTGTTACGAAAAATCCCTGATAAGTTTCTTATTATTTCTCTCATACTTTGAAATTAACGAACTAGATCTTGATCGATATTTTAGTACCTATGCCGGAGATATGCTGGTACTAGAAGCTGTCGATTCTTCTGAACTGTATTGTCTAACTGATGTCATCGTATTTTCGACCAAACATGAACGTAAGTAATGATGTTCTTGTTCTCTCGAACAAAAAATGATTATTGTAGTAGGATCCGATCCAAATAGAATTGCTGAATCGGATCGCGACGATGATCTTTCATGATTGGTAACTCGTTGTTGTTTTAAAGGTTCATTGGGGTCAAGAGTTGCAATTATCTCAAAAAATTAAACCACTAAATTATCAAACGATTGTACCAAATGTTCTTTTAAGCTCTAAACTTATTAACTATATTGATTTCATAAAATATTGTTATTCATTATTGGGAGCATCAAGCTATGACGAAATTTTTAATTTACATACAACTATTGTTGATAAAAATCTAGAAAATTGTGAACAACCTACGTGTCAAAAAGTAGTCATTGAACTTGCGAACATATTTTATGCTGCTAGTGAGTATACTGTACACTTATGATGGGTTATAATATGATTTCAAATCTTTGTAGTCAATGCTTCTAAAACAGACTATATTGTTGATCGAAAATGACATATGGAAATTCGAAAACGATATGGTGGACTATGTCTAGACTTTTTAATGAAAACTAGTTCATACGAATCTCAATCCACTCTTGACAAACTCTATCCACAAGCCATGGAATAGAAAACTTCAAAATTAGACAAATTCCGAAATCAAAAGAAACAGTTACAGTCTAATGCAAATACCCTTGTAAATATTTTTAACTGATTAAAATTTTTTTATTCGGCATTTGAAATATTATTCTATCGTATTTGTAGTCATCTGTACCTTTCTCGTACATTATTGTTATTTTTTTTTCGAAAAGGATAATTTAATGTGGTTCGAGTTCAAGTTCAATAGAAGTCTTTACAACCGATAAATTACCACTGAGATCTTTAGAGTTAATCAGTATTGTTTTAAATATTTCCTTTGTGTTTCCATCAATAATTACACAGATGTTTCGTATTTGTCACTTTCATCAAAAAGTAGTTCAATAGGATGCATGTGTCACACAGTTTTTCTAAATTCGATATTCGTGTTAGAAATCTTACAGTTGGTATTTCTATTTTAGCTGCCAACGAGATATATTCGTTCATATGCCGAAGTTCGTACTGTATTAAACACCGATCCGCGTTTGATTCATCAAGAATTAAGATATTTTTACGGTGATAAAGTGTCAGATGGAAAGACCATACAAAAATGGGTTAGAATTTGTAAAAATAAAAATAAAAAAAGCGAACGATCCAAACAATGGACAATTGTAACTAAGTCGCACTTCGATGTTCTTGTTTATTCAATTCTATCTCAACGTTTTTTGGATTCGTTTTTGTTCGACTTCGCTTTACTTTTCTCACCGTCTTTTTACTGTTTAAATAGTGTAATTACATGCTGTTTAGGAACATATTCTTTCTTAGTTAATACTCATGATAAATGTGTCTTCAATAGTTTTAATTGGCAATATTGCAAAATTTAATAAATTGTGAATATGCATAATGTTTTTGTCAGATAAGCTGTTTTTTTCAACAATATACTAAATATTCAAGTTTGTATCAACGAATAAAAATCCTTATAATACTGATTTCGGACTTCTATTGTTCTCCTAAGTAAAATAAAAGATATTTATCTTAAATGAGCATAGAGAAGTCATCTCTGTTGTTTATTATTAGCTCGTTGGAATCGAATGGTTTGTATCGTTTTCTTTAATCTTTATTTAGATTTATTTTTATCGAATCAATCGAATATTCTTTGAATGAATCTGAAGTTAACTATTCGCAAAGCATATTTTGTCCCCGAATATATGTTTCAGATTGTGTTGATCAATGAATCTTATTTCGAACACAAGAATAGAAATGATTCTTTTCTATGATTAGTCATACATTAAACCGGATTGGTATTCATCAAGTATGAATTAAAACTTTAGTATACCTGCTCAATTGTATCTTAGGTTAGCACCAGGGTTACCAAATCTCCTGTTTTGACCAGGGATCTCCTGATTTTGCAACTTTTCTCCTGATTTCTCCTAATTTTTGTAATGTGACGATTAGCTTCGTTTTGAACCCATAGCGATTTCCAAGAGAAAAGAACAATGCTATGGAAACGTTAAACTTATATGTGGAACGATAGTCGAAATCAAATGAGCCGTAATTTAGTTGAAGCTGAGTTGAAGATTAAAATGAGCACTCATTTTCAGTGTTGTCAGATGTCAAATTTGAAAGTTCGTACTTGTGGAGCTTTTTTCAAATGTTCAAAAAAAAGCGGAAAGATCTTTTGGGTTCGTTTTTTCATTTAAAGTACTCAGGTCGTAGAGGTACGGTGGGAAACGGTCAGAAAGCACGGGAAATCGCTAGAAAGTGGGAGCCGTATTCCAGTCAGAAATTACCGGATTTTTTTTCGTATGGATTCCGGCCAGTTTCCTTTGCTTTCCGGCTGGAAGATGACCGGAATACACCGGAAAAAATCCGTCAATTTCCGACCGCAATACTGCTTCCACGTTCCAGCGCTTTCCCGGGTTTTCCGACCAGATACGGCGATTTTTCCGGATCTTTTCGGTCGGTTCCTACGGTATCCGTCCTCCGGAATCATGGAGCTGGGTATCCAGCTCGAGAAATCCCACACCGAATCCGATAGGAACTGGATAGTATCCTACCATCCGACAGAATCTTATAAGATTCCGGGTCGAGGAATTGACGTCGGGACCACTGGTCGAAACCCATTGAACTTCCGATGACATCCAACGGTGTTTCTTTGGAATTCATAGGAATCCGACACTGAGGATCCAGTTTCGAATCCGGAACCCGAAATCCGATGATAGTTTTGTAGGGCCCGACAAAATCCGATAAGATCCTACTGGATGCGAGGCGGATCGGATGGGTTCAGATTGGTTCCCACTGTTGGATTGCTCGATTTGGGTACGTTTTACTCTAACGGATTCGAAACAAATATACTCTTTATACATATCTACAACATATATTTTAATAAAAAAAGGTGCACATCCAAGAAGGCTGCCTAATGTCAACCACGAAAATCAAAAAAATTCCGGAATTTCTTTTTCGAAATCTACAAAAAGTCGAGAAAAACTTTGAAAATTCGGAAAAACTTTCCAAACCTGGAATTTTTCCAGAAGATGTGGGGATCTGGCAACACTGTCTATTTTACTTGACCAGAACTCTATGATTATCTTTTAAATGAACCAGATCTTTCCAGAACATATATTCGCTTGTTAGATTTAAGTAGAGTCACATCGCAAAAGTGTCAAGAATTGCTTAGTAAATTGGCTAAGTAGTTTTTACTAGCTATGTATTCTAATGAACACGTTTTAATTATCTGTTTAAATGAACTTTATGAAATCAGCATTCTATTTTCAATTTTAATTCATCTACAAGGAAAATTTTCAGCATCAATCCCATTATAGGAAAAGAAGTTAATGCATCTATTAGTGAAAAATCGGAAGTTATCAGATAAAAATCATCGAATGACTGTTGAATATCAAAAAGAAAACATTCCTGATTTTTCTCCTGATTTAGGAAAAAAATTCTTCTGAAAAACTCCTGATTTTGTCAGAGAAATTCTCTGATTTCTAAAATTTGAATTTGGTAACCTTGGTTAGCACATTCTACATTGGAATAAGTTGACTAAATCATGAGTTATCGGGAATATGTGAAATACAAATCACACATAGAGAATATCTTCAGCTCTGTACTATCCATGTGTTTTCTAACGATATTATTTTCTACTGTATGTGAACGATACATAAGATCGATGATCAGTCATACATTTATGTCGTGAATAACACTATAATAAGTGGGTTCATTATTTTCATGCTTCCTTTATTTATTTTTCATGGAACTGTAATCTAGCAAACTTTATAGATAGATTAAATTAAAACCAAATTTACATGTAATACTTGAAATAATGAGTACATTGATCAAACGAATAGTATTTGTACATTTGCAAAAGTTTTTAAAAGAAAAACTCAATTATCAAACGAAAGTTTTATCTTTATTCTAATCTGATGGCATACAAAGAAGTGTAATTTTAACATGATCATGATTCCCTTGAAATAATATTTCGCATTCATCAGGAAAATGAATATAGCCATGTTTTCGTGCTCGAAGAAGAATACCGACGAGTTTATTTGAAATATTTACATAGAACTAATGATAGAATTAATATTTGATCATTTTAAATATTAAACATAAAACAACAAGTATGAATACATACATCGAAGAGTTGTTTAAATGTGATTTCATACTTCGATGTTGTCGATGAGTCATCTGTTTTTTGTCCCAAGTTTTTTATGGTTTCGCATAAATATTTAACTTCTTGTTGAATATGAGCTTGAGCAGCTAGACCTCGTTGTTCTGTACGACTACCTTTTGGTGGTCGACCATATCTAGGTAATTTTATTCAATAAAATAAAAATATATGCTCGCTATAAAATTTTCTTACTCAGGATCATCTTTTTTATAAAGTCGACAAGGTTGTACTTGAGTATTTACAGAGTAGGAATTCAACAGATAATTGGGTAGTGGTGGAGCTGTTGGCAGCATGATGAGTATATGTGTATGTCGTTCTATTCCTTTTTTGCTTCTGCCTAACGACCTATCTACAACGCGTATCGTACTTGTACACATACACAAGGACAAAGTTCTACTGGGATAGGCTGCTAGCTTGAATACATAAATATCTACGAGAAAACTAATCGATAGAATGGAACAGGAAAAAACCGATGATGTAATACTATGCAAGATAATGTTTCCTTGAGAAACTACATTGCCATACGTCCTGTTTATTTATCAGAAAAAATCTGGCTCTTTTATTTGTTTTTATTTTTTGGGATCTGAAGATAAAAGGACCGATACTGAATTAATGACATTTGGTGATAAGGAATAAAAATTATTTAATAGAAAATGAAAGAAGCGATTAAAGCATGTGACACATCAACGAAACTAGATCCCTTGACACGGATTTCAACAATCATTTTTAGACCATGCTCCCTACTTTCTCAAATGAACTTACTAAGTTTTACTGAGTTCTTGAAATCTTATTGTCTAATGAGTAATTGATTTTTCAATTTACTTCGAAATAAGTTTCATTAAATGTTTACTTCAGATCATACCTGGAAAACGTATGGAAGAAAATTGATAACAGTGATTCGAACTGCAGCAAGATATTATTCTTTCTTTACTTTCATAGTATTCTAAGAAAACATAACGCCATCAGAGTTCATACTGCATGAAAATATTCATTTTAAAAAAATGTTTGAATGTGCAAGAAAGGACGAGATAAGTTATTCATTGAAACTATTGTGAAACATTCGTTAAAAACTATTGAGCAACTTTTTAGACACAAAGTAAAAAACGTTCCTTAGAATAATTCAATTAATAAATACACTCTGAAATACCAAATATTGTCCTTCATGTTAGTATACTATTGATAATATCAACCACATTTGCGACATTTAATCCGTCTGTCTTAGATAGTTAAAAAAAGCATTTCATGAAATCATCATTTGTAATTTTTAATGATTCTTTAATTCTATAAGTTTCCATTGTGAGAAAAAAAGAATGTCGATATACGAAAATATTTTATTCGAGCAGGAAAAAAAACGTCAATAAACACACACATACAAACGGCAGGAAAATGAAGAATGCAAAAACAGAAACAATTTAGTTATGTCGTTTCTTCTTATATGACTGGTGATGTTCATACGGGCCATTTCCATAATAATCCAGTGCTACCGAATTTCCACTGCTATATGGTGGTGACGGAGAACCATATGAATATGAATGATAAGTATTGCTATAAAATAAAGAATGCATTTTGCATGTTAATATATAAGAAAAGTTAAATTTTCTTGAACATACCGACTATCAGCACTGTCTCGAAAGCCTTTAGCAAATGGATTATTATCAATTTTAAGCTGTGTAACCTATTGAATAAAATAATACGAAAAATTTTAATTAAAGAAAGTCGATAGAAACATACGTCAGTATTTTGATAAGCTGTAACAGCAATAAATTGTGTTTCAGGAAATGTAAATGTATGTTTTGGTGGGGAATTCGATTTATTGGATGATGTTGGATCAGATGAACGACCGCTTACTTCAACAATATTTAAACGTGGCATATACTTATGCATTGAATTAAGAATAAGTGTCATCTTACAAAAAAAAACGAAGACAAATGTTTTCTTATAGCTTGAATCGAGATTCTTACTTGATTTTGTGGATGACTTGTTGGTAATTGTTTATTATTTGTTAATTTTAATTTTGAAAATGAGACCTTTTCATTTTTCATCCAATGTGTACCACTATTTGGTGAATCAGGATGTAAATAAACATGATCTATTATATATGTTTATAAATTTTTATTTTTAAGACAAAAACAAAAACAAAACAATTTATTTTTACTTGTCTTTTGACATTGTTCGGCTTGTCCTGATGGTACCCATTTGCCAGAATTAAATTTCCAATGATTAACATCAATTAAAACCATATCAACATACATATTATATGTTGCTTCGGGTTTTAATCCGTAGATTTTATATTCAAGTGTTGGGAACATACGACGACCAGCTATTAGGAAATATTAAGATTAAAATCAAATTTCATTTTACATAGATCTATTAATATAGTTACTTTTCGTTATAATATTTTCAAGTGTATGTGGAGCAAATTTAAGCCATAGTGGCCGATTGACTAATTCGACTGCCATCGAATCGGATCGACAAAGACCATTTAATGGTGGCTGAAATTTTTACAAAAAAATTTGTTTAGTTCACTATTTTTTGAAAATAAAGCAATCGTTGAGATAGAATATTCACTTACATAAGGAGTTAAATAATCTCCGCCGGTGCTTGTACTACAAACGGTTTGTTCTGCAGTTGTTTGAACATAATTTGGATGTGAATGAAACATTTGATTTGATTGTAAACTTGGTATTGGAGAGAGATTATAATCATAGATCGGAGTTGATTGTTGATCGGATAGTTTTTGTGTAAATAACATATCTTCAGATGAATAAGGATGCCGATTATGATACAGAGGCAAATAAATTGATGAAGATCCTTGATTATTTGAATCTTCTTCATTTATACGAGTGTTTGTTTGCGGATGAGAATATCCAGGTGACAGTGTATAATATTGTGAGGATTCATAAAAACTGGATGTTTGAGAATGATGAAGATTATTCGATTCATCATTGAATGGAACTGGATGATAATAATAATGATGATGTTGTGGAGTATAATGTGTAGAATAATATTCTGATGGAACTTTAGTTTCATCATCTTCTTTAGTAGCAAGTGGCGTTAGCATAGTGGTGCTGTTCACGCTCTCTCTGCGACAGGTGCTAATCGACTAAGAGAAAACGATGAACAATAATGAACGGAAGTATGAATAAAATGTAGACGTCTATTTAGCAATGAGAGAGGTAGAGAGAGAAAAAAAAATAAAACGACCAATAAAAATTATGAACCAATAAAAAACGAGAAAAAACTTTTCTTCTCAGTTGAAAAATCATCAGAAGGAAAACCTACATTTTTTTCCTCCTGAAAAAGAAAAGAAGGCAACTAAAAATTGTAATATCATACATCAAACTCAGCAGGTTATCATTTAAAACTTTGATTTAAAGTGATAATTGCATTTATTTTTTCAAGTCGGATTCATTCATTATCGAACAAATGAATAGAAAAAATGTATCGCAGGAAAAAAATCTTGTTCATGTGTCAGGTGTGAATAACATTTGAAGGATTTTTTCGTTAAAAAATATATACTGTCCATATGTCAAAATATCGTCTCGATAATCAAATGAAAAATCCTTATCCATAGAAAAATAAACCACGTCATAAAAAAAAACAGTATTACTCTTTTATTCTTATAAAATAAAAGATATGAGTTAGACTTGTTCCTTTGATAAAAATGTTCCTAAGATCGTTTCTGTTGATATTTTAGGTGTTATTTTGCATCTGAAAATTACATTCATTTATATTTTCAAAGTTCTTTCCATTATCAGCTTTTACTTTCGTGATTTGCTTACATCTCTCATCATCAATTTACAAGCGGTCGGAATTGAAGATCGAAGAAGAAATGAAAGAAAATATCAAGTTGTATGGATATAATTTTTATTTTTTCAACACTCAACAAACAATATTGTTCTTTATCAATGTTCTTCCTTTAAGTTCGAAGAATTATCATTGTATATCAATTTTTTAGATTTCTTCTACAAACAAATGATCACTGATATCGTAGTCATCATATTATGTCATAGCGGGTATCAAACATCTTGTCATTATGGTGTTGTCTGATAGTTACTCTGAGACATAGGCATGGTTACGGTCTATGTTGTATATTCATTAAGCATAACTGATTGATACGGATGTATCGAGATGATTATTCATTTTGCTATCGTTAAAATTAAGCCAATATTAATTCATATTTCTCAGTACAACTTGATTGGATTTTCATTTAGAATTAGTTGAAGAATTTCAATTTATTATTTAAAACTAAAACTAAAACGATCCACTTAGATGAGAGAATGGTTTGAATATATCATAATGAATAAATGAATCTTATTCTTACTGTGATTTCATTTTCTCTGAAATAATATTCTTGTATCAGCTTAATTTGTCCCATCTTGTTTTAAAATAGATTAAATTGAGATTTGAATTTTTTATCAGCACGCGATATAGTCAGCGCATGCACGTGCTATATGAATGCTCTCTTGTGGTATGCACCTTTCATCCAGCCAACATCATGTATCACACATTCACTTATTCCTATTATACGCTTATTATCACATTCTTAAAAAGTTACCGCTGCTAGTATGGCGACATGTAGTGATAATGAAATTATGAACATTAGATTTTATTTTTGTTCTAGCCATCCCATTACCGTTTAGAATTCATGTAAGATTTGAGAGAGAGAAAAAAAAATCTTCGATCTAGCTGCTACTAATAATATTAGAATGAACAAAGAAACAAGAATTGATTCCTTTTTTTACCATATTGGCAGATTACTTAAATTGATTAGATCTAAAAATATCAATTTACTTGAGTACGAGGTAAGTTATAATGATAATGATTTTGATGGAATTATATCGACAGTTTTTAATATTTAGTTTTTACGAAATCTCGGAATTTCCGGCCTTGTTATAATTCTAAACTGATGTTCAAAATGAATTATATGTAATGGTCATCATCAGCAAGTTTACATCATTTGAGACTTTAATTCTAAATTCATAGTAATTAATTCATAGTAATGCGGATATAAACAATTCCATAACCTAATCAGATAACATAACCTAATAATTAGTACGTAGATGTAACATATATATATATATATATAACGAATATCAAGTACAAATACCAAGTGTCAATATTTAGTATTGATATTAACTACGAATATTTCTATTCATACTAATTGCAGTATTAAAGACTTGAGCTTACAAATAATAATAATGCATTACATCCATTTATACTTTATATTAATTAATTATATTAATTAGCTATTTATTACTGTATATTCGTATTTAATATCAACACTAAATATTGACACTTGGTATTTGTACTTGATATTCGTTATATATATATATATATATGTTACATCTACGTACTAATTATTAGGTTGTGTTATCGGATTAGGTTATGGAATTGTTTATATCCGCATTACTATGAATTAATTACTATGAATTTAGAATTAAAGTCTCAAATGATGTAAAATTGCTGATGATGACCGTTAAATATAATTCATTTTGAACATCAGTTTAGAATTATAACAAGGTCGAAAATTCCGAGATTTCGTAAAAACTAAATATTAAAAACTGCCGATTTAATTCCATCAAAATCATTATAATTAGATCTAATTCAAGCTGCTTTGTAGTATCATTAAATAATGATACAAAAGCTTTTGACTCAAGACTTCACTTATCACGTCGGCTCACATAAACTGAGACCACCTGAAATGAAATTCATGCTTTAGAAGACAGGAACATTGTATTTTATTTCGGTCTACATAATACTTAAAGTCTCCATCCGAAAGTAAATTATTACTTCAACAACTCTCTTGTTAGATTTCGAGATTCATTTGATAATATATTTAAATTTTTGATTACAAGCAAAACAAAATCATGACTAAGTAGTTGATTTTGAATAGAAAAGTGGAATAATATTTTACTTTTTTATTGACGATCCCATTCACTTTGAAAGACACCAATCAGAAATAGGAAAAGTTATTTTTGCAATATTTTAGTCATCCGCTACATTCATTTGTCTGCTTCTAGTCTTCGAACTTTCATCATCACAATCCATATCGAAATTAGTAGATTAATCTTATTGACCATACATTGAATGTATGGATATGAAATGCATGATTGTCTTGTTTTTATTGAAAAATAATGATCATAAAAAATTCATTCTTATGTTTTCATCAGTAAACTTCATAGTTTTCGAGAAATCTTTATAGATATCGAGGATCTGACTAAAAAATAAATATTTAAATCGAATAAATCGTGATTTCGATATCATCTTCTGCAAATACACGTTGGATCAGTCTTGATACTTGATCCCAATTAAGTTTATCTAATCCACAACCAATCCGAGGCATCGCCAAATGATGAACATTATTTTTAATACATAAATCACGCATTACATGAAGACTTGATTCTAATGTTGCCATGGTTGGCTTATGAAAATATCTTTCTTTTGTTACCAAATAGAAAATACAACGATCATCAACAGTAATATAAGCACAATTACCAACCGGAACATCTATAAAAACAAACTTATGAAACATTAAAGATACTAAATAATTATGATAAATCGAGTAAAATTTTCCAATCTGACTATGAAAGAACGCACCTTGTTTTTTAAGTTCGTCGACTTGACCAAATCTATTGCGAAATAATGTTGCAATACCTTTAGACATACACAAATCTCTTGAAACACAATTTGCAAGCGATGTATTCGATGAAGCCGAAAAAAGATCACCTTGTATTTCACGAAAGATCAGCGGCATATTGTTTTTTTTTTGATAGAATCTTAAATATGTGAAAGTCTAGCAAAATCACGAATCGATTTCTTTTCAATAATTTTAGAATATTCATTAAATTATTTCTCCCAATTGATTTTTATTTATCAAATAAAAGTATAATCGTATGTATAACGGAATTATTAAAAAAAAAATAAGCACTGTATTTTATGAAGAGATTAAACGAGAAAAAGCGCGACTCATGGAAATAAAAACAAAATTCATTAACAACGACGAATGAATAATAAATATATAGTTAAAAAGTGAACAGCACATAAATAATAAAAAAATGCTGATGATGAACGTGGACGATGAGTTAATGTTATACCTAGTTTACTATATTGAAAAAGAAGCAGAGAATTGGAATATGGTTCAATTGTTTACAAAAAATAAAATTTACCTTTTCATTTCACCGAAAAGATTGAATAATGCAGTTGGTGTATCGATTGTAGAATCTATAGTATATTATTCTAATTAGTATCTCAAATTTTTAATATAAAAAGTTCTTGCATTTATTAGCCGTTGTTAATGGGATTTCGTCATCTTTCACGTCGATGGCCATCCTAAATTTATCAAAGATAGTTTACAGAATTTCTTGGTTTCATTAAACTATTTCTATTCCGTTGAAACTCTTTGTACATAGGATAGGTCCGAATGAGGATCCTGTTTATAGAATTCTAGAAGTTTTCTCGATGTTGTCGTATATATAGATTATAGAAAAAAAATCAAACACTGAAATACAAACCTCGCACTGTGTTCATTGATAGATTCACATATAAATAGAATACTTTCTTCATAAAATATTAATTATCTAGTTATCATCAATATTCTATTTACAAGTCAAACTATTCATTAGCAGAATGGTAAGTTAAAATATTACTATGTGATGTGTTTGTAAATGTTGTGCTACGAGTTACAATTCCATTACAACAACTAAAATACTATAGAAAAGGCATAGACGTACTAATTATTTTGACATTCTTCATACGTATCTCCAAAATGTATATGGTGTAAAGAGCTCGAACCCGAAAAAGATTTTTCAAAATCGTAAATATTACTTGATAAATAAAATTTGAAATCATTACCGACAATTAACTCATAAGTTGTTGAATACATTTATTGCAAAAAAAATCCTGTTTCTATCGACTAATGACATAGTTGTAATTGCGATTCTCTGTACTCAATACGAAACTATATTTTTAACTAACCAATGATTTGATTCAGCTACTTGTTGTATAGACGCATGATGTGTTGGTGACGGTGGAGATGGTTCGACATCAATTATTGCTACTTGTGAATCTACTATAAGATAAATATTGTCTCAAAGGAAACTGTAACAGTTATTTTTTTTACTTATTTTTGTTGAATATTCCTCTTTATATGATTGATAGTCATCTTGTAAACGTTGATATTGATTATTTTTTTCTTGTAATTCTTTATTAAAATGCATGATTTGTTGATCATTGTCAAATAAACGTTTTTCCAATACATCTTTCATATTAATATATTCATTAATAGCAATTTGTTGCTGTTGAATATTCGATAATAATTTTTCATTTTCTTCATGAAAATCTTCATTACGTAGATTAAGTTCCTTTGTCAATCTTAAATGATCTTGACGAAGTTTTAAAATTGTATCTACAATTGAATCGATATCATCAACATTTTCAAGCGTATCTAGAATAGAGAAAATTAAATAAAACAAACGAAAAATACTCGAGAAAACCTTTGATTGATTGTAAAATTATTTGTAATCGTTTATTTTCATTTTCGACTATTTGTTTTTGTTCCAATGTTTCTTTTTGATTTTTATCTAAGTGATTTTTTTCATGGACTATTTGACGACATCGAGATTCATATAATTTTCTTTGTGTATCCATTTCATTCTAGAAAGAAACACTTATTAAAATTAATTTATAAGAAAACAAAAGATTAATAAATCAACTTTAATAGATTCAATTTCAAGTTTCATTGTTTCTTGTAATTCTTGTTGTGTTTGACATTCATCGGATGTTACTTGAATTTGATTGTTAGCACTACGTAACTGCTGTTCAATTTTTTCGATTTGATTTTTATAATCGATTTCTTTTCGATGAAAGTCATCAATGGTTTCATTAGTTTGTTTCAGCTATGATGATAAAAAGGTTTTGTTTTAGTGAGAAGTTTTAAAAGTTTACTTGATTCACTAATATTTCATTATTCGTTTTCATTTCTTTCATTTTATTTAACATTCTTTCACGTTGTGTTCGTAATTTTTCCAATGTTTCTTCATGTTCGAGTATTTTACTACGTTGTTCGGATATTGTCACATTCAATGAAGTTACTGTACTGTTTGTACAATCATGACTTTTTAATTTCTCTTGAAACAAGAAAATAACAAAATAAAACCATGAAATCAATATGAATTACCTTTTAAATCAGAATCCATCCGTTCAATTTCAGAAAGACGATCTAAGATTTTGTCTTCATTATCAATCGATAAACGTGTTAGAAGTTGTTGTTTGAAATTGCTCACTAAAATAAGTGATCTCTTTAAATAATATTTGATTAATTAATAATCAATATTAGTTCACAGTAGAGATTATTCGGAATAAACTCTTTTCATATTCTTCATCCTATCATACTGAATTATAAGAAAATCTTTACATCAATAACTTAAAACAGAGGAGTCTTGTGTGTTTATTCAAACTTAATTGACTCAAAATCACAATTTACCTCAATAATCATTTGTTTGAAATTAACAGTTAAATGTTTTTCTTTGTAGGGAATTTGCGATGTAGCCCAGAAGAACTTGATTTGATGTATTTTGCATCTTGGAAAATCAAACTATTCAATTTTGTTAAAATATTAAGCCGAGATTTAGTTCTGCAGCAGAAGTAAAGAATGAAATTCAGCTTCGACATTGTCATTTTCTATTTCTATTTGAGCTTGAAAGATAAGCTTCTAACAACCTTTTATCACTTCTTACCGAACACTAAATTCATCATTCTTCTATTTGATAGACCGCAGTTGTTGTAACTATCTCTTGTAGCTCTTTATCTCTCAATGTCGTTATCATTTCTTATGATGTTAAAATTGGCAGTATCGTATTTTAATATCAATTTGATTTCAGTAAGCTACGTCTACTGTTTTTATCTGTATGCAAAATTAATTAAAAGTTAAATTAATGAAAAAATTTTCTTTTAATTAAAATTAAAATTATCGCAACTAATGTATTACTTTTCTTGATGATTTGTTGGTCATGTGCAATCTTTTTTTGATATACAACGAATGCTAGATCAATATTAACATTATCATCACCAATTAGTTCACATAGATTGTCGACTTTTGCAGAATAACTTTGTAGCTTTGATGCATAATCCAAATTATTCGATGACTAAAAACAAAGAGACCATAATATCTTTTACATGTTATTGATGTTTCTTTCAAGTAGTTTTTCATACCGAATCCAGATCTAATTGGTCGATTAAAAACTTTAATCGATTATTTTCAACAAGAACTAGTCGAATATGTTTCAATATGTCAATTAAATTCATTCCATTGATATCTGTGGATACTAATTGGGAGTATTCAATAGAAAATCTATCAACTATTGCGCACAAGTCTTCCATTCGTTTTTCAAGTGATAAGTCTAAAATACAAAAAGCATTCAAATTGAATTATTCAAAAACTGAATTGTTCACCAGAAGGTACTCCGAGTTCATTCAACCTTTGTTCAATACTTGCCTTCATCAAATTGCCATCTAAATACAATGAATATACATAGTCTAAACGAATAACTTGATGACTTACTTTGAATAAGTCTTTCTTGTTGTTCTTGTAACTGAAGCAAATTTCCATTTAATTGTAGCACAGATTCAACAAGATTTTCATCATTGATATTTAATAAATCTCGAAGTTTTTGATCATTCGAGAACAAATCATCGAACTGAGCTTTAGAAGGCTATGAAAATCAAATTTGATGACAAGAATTTTTCTTATTTTATTTTAAATAATTTTACTGATTGTAATAATTCTTTGATTTTATTAATTATATCTTCTGAACGATGTACTACTTCTATGCCAAGTAATTTTTTTATTTGATTATAAAAGTCGTCGTCGTCGTCGTCGTCGTATGTTGTTTGTGATTCGACATCTACATCAAAACAAAATATCCTTACATGATTAACTAAAAAACAAAACACAGTAAAACCTTGTTTTTCTTGAATAGGTTGATTTAATAATTCTTGAAGATTACTATGATCTTCTTGATAATTTTGAAATAAATTTAAAATATCTTCATCTCTATTCAATTGTGTTGTGTCGAAGAGGTTTTGACGAAAATCGACGAGCGATGTAAGTAAATGTTGAATTTGTTTTGTATTCGATTCTATTTATGAAATAGAAAAAATAAGGTTGTCACAAGGTTAACAAAATCTTGATGAACTAGTGTCTCCGATGGTCACTGCAAAGATTTTAGCATGCATTAACATCTTTTGTCAAGAATGAGAGTGAGTAAGAACTGGGGAGTAATTATTGATCTTGTGTGTGGAATATTTGTTAGAAAGAATACCTTCATTTTTATCGATATTCGGCAGAAATTGTTCGATTATTTCTTTGATATCATTTTGTGATTGTTTCTCATTTTGAATTGATTCATTTAATTGTTGTTCTAGATTTTCAATAGTATTTTCTGCATTTTTCTGTAAAATAAAATTATGAGTGAAGAAAAATATAAACTTGAAAATAACTTTACCATCAATTTTAATTTGTTAATTAGTTCATTAGATGTTTCATCGGTCCAATGATTTTCATGGGAATATATCTGATTGATAATTGATTGATAATCATGAATACGTTGTAGCATAGATATACTATCGTTTTTTACAGATAATTGATTGGAGAGAGCGTGAGAAAAATCAGTAGTTGACTTTAGAGATGAATAAATAAGGTCAAATATTATTTTTTCTGAAAAAGAACTTTTAACATTAGGCATAAAATCAATATATATATATTCATACATACCATTGTCTGTGTCTAATTCTAGCAAAGAAGTGATTTTTGTTAATTGTGCTTTTCGTTGATTCATTTCTTCTTTTAATTCATCAACTTGTCTTGTAAGCTCATTGATTCTTAATTGTTGATCTTGATTAAGATTTTCATTTGTCACTGGTTGATAGTTTTCATAGATAGATTTATATTCACGTATATATCGAAGAATATCTTCATTAGATGTTACTGGCGTTTCAGCAGAAAGTTCATGTCGAAAATCAGCATCTGCTTGAAGTATCGATCGAATACGATTCAATTGAGTAACTAAAAGATATGAAATAATAATTACCTTTTCGTTCAAAATTTCTTTCTAACCTTCATTGGTGTCTTGATCAATTGATTTATTATAGAATGTTGCTACAATTTCATCGATTTGTTTGTGTCGTTCAGCTTTCTCTTTAATGTGTTCGTCTAATTGATTATTGAGCTGTTCAAGAGTTTGAATGCGTTGATGTAATTCTGTTCCAACCTTGAAATGTAAAAAAAAAAGAAACAAGAAAATATATAAATCCACTCTTAGAGCAAACGTACGAACATGTACTGCTTCACTACAACGATCCATTAAAAGTCTTGAATAACTTAACTCATTATTATCATCATTATTTAAATGTAAATATTCTTTTAATTCATCTTGTTGTTGTTGAAAATCAAAATAATGATGTAAAACATGTTTTATAAGTTCATAGTCAGTAAAATCATGGCTGTTATTAATTTTTCTACGTAAGTATTCAATACATTCACGTTTATTAACTAAATCTTTAATTAAATCATCATTATTAATGTCTGTTAACTGAAGTAATGAACGAATGTTTTGTAATTCTTTACTATCACTTGACAATGTTTCTTTCAAACGCACGAGACTATTTAAATGAGTTAATAATTCAAATAGAATATCATCACTATCAATCAAATCAGAAATATTTTCTGTTATAAGACTTTTCTGAAGAAGATCATGAAATTTTACACGTTCATTTTTATGATATTGCTCAAAAATGACTTGTGGAGATTCATTCGATGACCCATTATTATCACCAAGACGACCAACGATTAGCTCAGATAATTGTCTATCAAAAATAATTTGAGAATGAAGATCATTAATTGAGATGCTTTCTGATGACTTTCCAAATTCATTAAATAATAATAGGCATTGTTGACATGAAATATTTTCGTGTATTTTTCGTTCTTCTTTATCCTTTTTTTCTTGTTTAATATGTTGTTTAAGCTGAGTAACGATATCGTCCAGAGTGTTTAATTTTTCATCTTTTTCGTATAATTCTTGTTTCAAATGTTCATTCAATTCTTCTCGTTCATCGATCTCATTAGTTAAACGATTTATACGATTGCGCTTTTCATGAAGATCATTTTGAGTTTCGGAACAAACATTTTCAAGTGTTGCTATACGATGTAATGCACTATCTAATTCACGATTCAGACGAACTATTATTTCTTGTGAATTTAGAATTTGTGATTCAAGACCAGCTAATCGAGCATTTTCCGAACCGACTGCAGATTCTTCAGTTTCCATAAAAGCCGAAGCCATCATGTGATGTTAAAAAGGAATCTAAAACAATATACTTTTCTGTGAATTTCGTTTATCGAGAAAAAAAATGTTTGTTAAATCCTTTTCGAAATTAAAATCTTAAAAAAAAGTATGATGTTTTTTCCTGATGCCAAAATAAATATTTGTAGAAAATTTTCTCAAGGCTATCATGTGTGCAATAATAATAATAGTAATGTTCACGCATTCTTTTAACAGTTGTTCCAATGACTTTCATCGCATGATATGGTGACACTAAAAGCTCGTTGTCTCCACTGTTAAAATGTTATATTCTCTGAAAATTTAATGCCTTTAAATAATTATAAACATTATCTTTAAATAATAAAACACTCTTAAGTGTGTAGCATCTACTGAACGAATAAAATAGCTTGAAATAATTTGTTCGATTTGATCATAGTACTAGAAAAAGATTATTTTCGCCAAATATTGAATGTAGTTAAAACAAAATTTTTCCTTTCGTTACAACAAAAAGTACAAGGTTGCCGATAGAAAACGATTGAGATCGGCTCTGTTTGATGATGCATAAAAATTATGTATAATAGCAACTACAGGGGTTGAAGTCAATAACCAATCGAATTTTAGAATAAAATCTAAGGTGTCACTAGTATTGATCGGTAAATATTGGTAGTGATAAACTAAGCTTCAATTATTGAGAAATCAACTCAAAAAAGATAAAAATGCATTAGAAATTTAATCAAATTTTATTTGGCTGATAAACAGCAATGATAGATATATACTTTATTAAAATTTAAGACAGAAAATCTTTCAATTACAAATGGAATCAATTCTACTAGAAAAGAACTAAGTTAAAATTTCTTTCAGTATAGTATTTCGTCGCTGCTTGAAATCTTCTCGAAGTCGATTAGAAATTTGTTTTCCTTTAAATTCGTCGGTTTTCTGACACAACAGTTTCCTGAAAATTAGAGATTAAAAGTAAAAGAATAAAAACACCAGAACTCATATAGACATTCAATGAATGTCGCTTCGTCGTTGAAACCCATCGATTTGATGGGCGATCGAATGTATTCGAAGTCAACGGCATTGTTTCTTTCATTCAAATTCTGTGTACTCGTTTTACATCATTGAATATCAGGAACTAAGATAAAGTAGTTTTTGTGAAAAAATGATTTAGAAATTCATAAGGCACTTCATTTAATTGCTTTCTTAGAATTAACAAACGTTGAACACTTCAGCCCAGTGTTTTCAATGGAAATCTAAAGCAAAATGTACTGTACACTCTGTATTATATAAGCAAAGTGTACGTGCACATTTTGTTTTCGTCGGCAAAAATGTACCAGTGTACGAAAACCTGACTTTTCACAATCTAAAAAGCTAAAGAAATTGGTAGTTTTTTTTCTCTATTCAGTCCATCATAGAATTGAAACGAAGAGATCACATTTTACCATCATCATTTAAAGATAATTTGTAATTTAATATTACTTACAGCTTTTAAGGGTCAGAAATCAAAATGTAAAATGTTTTAGCAATGTCTACACTGTACACTTGCTATTGGAAACACTGCTTCAGTCGTGCCTGCAATCCATAATTTACCTATATTTAGTAATTAGAAATTACTATTTTTTTCTCCTATTCAGCTATTATAATCAATTTTAATAACTATGAAAACAGTGCTCAAGACTTCATACGCATTATCTTGATTTGATGAACGATAGCTATATATTCATAAATTTATCATAGATGTCGCCCATTTTCCATCTTTTTATCATCGAAAAAAAATAAACAACAACAAGCGTTCTAAACTAACAATTCAGTAAAATATTTTTCCCATGTAAAAAAATGGCTCAATCAAAAGTCATAGACAATAGTTTTATGCATTATTTTTTCATAGATTTAGATTTCATACACTATATCTCTGTCGAAGCAACCAGCAATGAATGAAAATGGAGCTTTGACGAAACGTATCGTGAAGGTATATTTATAAGATCTCCCTCAGTTCAATCATAGATTTTTCTCTTTCTAGGAAAGTGCTAGACTACAACAGGAGCCAGTACCGGGTATCATTGCCATACCAGATGATCATAATGCTCGTTATTTCAAAGTTATCATTGATGGTCCAAGTGAGGTATGAATATCAATATAAAAAGAAAGCATATTGACAGTTCAACAATCGTCATTTTACTTTAGAGTCCTTATGAAGGTGGAAAATTTAAAGTAGAATTATTTTTACCCGATGAATATCCAATGGCTCCACCCAAAGTGCGTTTTATGACGAAACTTTATCATCCAAATATTGATAAATTAGGTCGTATTTGTTTAGATATTCTCAAAGGTAAAATAGTTTATTAGCTAGATTAATTTTATTTTCATCAATTGATTGTTTTATTTATAGAAAAATGGAGTCCAGCCTTACAAATTCGTACTGTTCTTTTATCTATTCAGGCTTTGTTAAGTGCACCTAATCCAGATGATTTTTTGGATGCTGATGTTGCTGAAAAATGGAAAGCTGATGAAAAAGGAGCAAAAGCTATAGGTAAAATGAAAATAATTGCTTCTCTTCTTTATCCACAACTTATAATAATATAGACTAGAGTCAAGATAGATATCAAATCTATAATATATTTAAATATAAAATTATATGACATTAGAGAAAAGAATTTTATATGTTATGCTTGACAACTATCAAAATTATAGGAGAAAATTTCTGGTTGTAAACTATTACAGACTGAAAATTAGTTCATCATAAACGAATCGAAGAGATCTGATCATTGTTTGATATAGCTAGTGGAGAGTACCTGTTGTGATCTTAACAATAGATTTTTTGATCTTCATGAAAATATATGTCGTTCCTTCCGATTACCAAACATAGATAAAGTACAATCCCCTTGAACACACACAGACACACACCAACAATTGAATATGCATAATAATATTTAAAAATCATGATTAGTTATAATCCGATTCTAAGAAATTATTCATACATAGTTAGATAATGCTATAAAAGAAATTCGTATATTCTGAATTAAGCTTTTTTTTATTACTATTTTAGCTCGTGATTGGACGCAAAAATATGCACATGACGTCTAGAAAACATACATGTTGAACTTATTTGGATCACATTGCATCGTACATATTTTCGAAATATTAGGATGGTGAACTTTTTTTTCATATTTTCTTTACATGAGTGTCTATAGTTTCTTTTTCTTTCGTCTTGTCATCGTGTTCCTTTTCATTTCTTCATCAAAAAAAAAACAAACTAAAATGTATGTTTTAACAAATAACATTATATTTGTAGGTAATAACTGCACGTGATGTTCTTCATTCTTTAAAGAAAAAAACTTTCTTGATATCTACTTATTTTCTTTTCTTCAATTATGATGATGAATGACTTTGTATGAGAACGTCAATAAAAACAAAAACGTACAGATCATCAATGGATATAAAAGCATTATCATTTTTTCATACTCGAAAAACATACATAAAATTTATCGCAAAACTCAAACAGACATATGATTAGTCACGACATTATTATAGTCTAAAAATAACAGGAAATATAATTGAATAACATTTTATTTATGTGATCATGAAACAATCAAAGAGTTGATAATTATTGAGTTCAATGTGATTGTATGGATGAAACTTGCAACCAGTCATTTTCTTTGTTATGCGTTTTCCGCTTGATTGCTCCTTCTAAAGGACACATAGTTCTTGATATTATTGTATCACACTTACTACTGAATAAATCATACACTGAATGTTTAATACGTTTCGTATTTATTATTCTTGATTGATTACAGTCAAATTTTATTTTATTATATCTTTAATATTATTATGATAATTAAAAACTGTTAGTCATGGCAATGATTTTTGGTCAAGTAATATTTCTAAAAGTACATCGTATTATTCAATTTCTTATTTGCTTACTTTTTATTATTTTAATCTTAACTATTTATTCACCATGGCTATTAAAATTCACAAATGCAAAAAAGATCTATGATAATGCATTGTCTAAACAAACACTTAATGATATTTTTCCGAAACAATTAGGTTTTGGTCGATCTGATTTAGCTAAATATATTCATCTAGATTTAAAAGGTGCACCACCAAAGGCAAACAAATTTTATGATTCATTTTTTAATTTTCTTCAAAATTTACAAATGGGAGTAAAAGGTGTTCTTATTGAATATGAAGATACACTTCCATTACACGGAAATCTTGAAAATGTAAGTAAAAACAAAAATTTAGAACTATTCTAGAATCTTGTATGACATTAGACTAAACTACCTCAGTGTATGATTTAAGTGTGGCTTTTTTAGGCTATTGTGACTTATATAAAATTCAATGCTATCACGAGAAATAACTATTTTAGTTGATATTTTTAATAGATAAGTTTTAGAGTTCATGAAGTTGAAAAATTGAGCATAAAGAATTATTTTATTAAAAGATTTCCTATCATGCTGCTTATACCAAGTCGGATATTGCATTAATACAAGAAGCAGGAAAAAAGCACCGAATTGACATCATTCCACTTATTCAAACATTTGGTCATTTGGAATGGATACTTAAATTAGAGCGATTCAAATCATATCGTGACGATCTCAGCTTACCCACGGTTATTTCACCGTGCATCAATGAAACTTACATTTTACTCGAAGGTTAAATTTTAATTTTATAAACAATTCTTCGTCGAACTTTTAAATTATTTAGATCTTTTACAGCAAACACTTGATATGCATCCTAATAGCAATATAATTCACATTGGCTGTGATGAAGTTAGTCTAAAATATTCTAATCCTGCATGTAACGAAGCATCTACGAGTATATCTGAACAATATGTTAAGTAAGCATGAAACAATGACTAATGAAAGAAATCTATTGATTATTTTAAAGTCATATACAGCGTATTGTTCATATTGTTCATAAAATTCGACCTGAATGTCGTATACTTATTTGGGATGATATTCTTCGAGCTGATCAATTTGTTAGCAATAAAAGATTGGTAAGACTTAACAAGAAAGATATTCTACTAAATATATCAATATGCTTCTTTTTTCAATATTACAGAGTATTTTCTTACGAATTCTCTGGTTTTACTGAAGTTTAAAAAAGAATATCTATTGTAATTTTGAATGCAGATTTATCGACTTGATTCGTTTTTAGATAGATTCTAATTGGTCTGCTTTGTTTTTTTGTATATTCGACATTCCTATCTATAATCGTAGGATAGGATAGATAAAGTATAAAAAAGTTCTCTCAGTTAGAACACCAATAAAGAAAATTAGCTGACTTTACATCTCGAACTGATATTAAAATACTAGTTAGGTGAAACATGAAAATTGTGTTTATAAAGTAGGGGTATCAATTTACAGTTTATTTTATTTAAATTTAACTTTGTGACAAGTTAATTTAATTTAAAATTAAATTCTATAACGTTAAATTTAAAATTAATTTAAATTTTTCTCATACAAAAATTTATTTCTCGATTTAATAATTTTTTTTAAATTTTAAATTTAAATTTAATAAATTGTTTGGATGGATGCACATCATTGCTACGAGGAAAATACGTGGCTTTAATAGTAGTAAATACTAAATGAGAGGAAGACCTAGTATTTCAAGTTAATATTTGTTCATAATAGTCAAAATGTCTCTACAGATTATGCAGGATCCGTCATCTTTCTTCTTCAAAATACTGGGATACTCATAAAAATATATTTAATAGCAAAATTCGTAGAAAAATGACTAGCTTTAACTTTAGAAAACAGAAAACATACTCAAATTTGACTTTAAATAGTAGCAATCAATTAAAAAACTATGTTTATCTACTAGTTTTCAAAGTTCAACTAATTTGAATTTCAAATAATTTTATTTAAATTTAAATAATACAAAATTTAAAATTTAATTAAATTTAAATTTAACTTTTCATTTAAAAAAAATTTTATTCATTTTAAAATTAAATTTTTGAAAATTTATTTCTCAATTTAATAAATTTTTTTAAATTAAAAATGTGACACCCCTATTATAAAGAGACAATAAAATTATTAAAGTCCAAAATTATAACTATGCGACTGATCTATCGATCAACAACTTGAAGGCACCACGAGAAGTTGTGACGCAGACAATAGCCTATCTCAGATGGATTAATTGATTGAGAAATTCTATTGACTATGAATAAATTGATCCAATCAAAATAATTAAATAAACAATACTATCTTAGCCGCTAGCAGCAATAACTCTTTATTGTATATTTAAATTTAAATATGCACTAATAAAAAAAAAACTCCTAGATATGCGGCACTGGATATGATAAATATAGAACAGCGAAGTCACTCAAATTCGTAAGTCGGCGTAAGAAAAATTTTGTGCGTATGAAATGTTGAAATAAAATTACAATCATTATAGCTATCAGATTTGTCTAACTATAAATGAATGAATGAATGAATGAATGAATGAATGAAAAACAGATTAAAAATCAAGTTGATGTTGAAATGTGTTTCTTCAAGGAGATTCTTGCAAAATATATCTGGTTAAAGCTTTCATTTATAGATATGTTTTAGTTATTTGAATGTGATGAACTTTATTAAAGAAATATCTCTCGGAAATCAATAGAATATATATGTCTTTAGCTCAATCAACTGAAAGGTCTTGTTGAACCTGTTTCATGGAATTATTTTACAGAATTTGATAATAATTACAAATTTTCATCGGCATGGAAAACCTTCCCAAAATTCTTTACGAACACTTGGATTGCAAGTGCATTTAAAGGTGGTCTTCATCGTTTTTCTATGAAGACAAATACCAGTCATCATGTCTTAAATAATCGTGAATGGCTCAGTTTTATAGAATCATCCACTTTTCAAAAAGATTCCTTATCAGCTGTTATACTTACGGGTTGGTCAAGATTTGATCATTTTATGCCATTATGTGATTTATTACCAACTGCTTATCCATCACTTCTACACAGTTTATTTATGTTTAATACGGGTCAATATATTGTCGATGATTCAATTTATAATTGTAATGATCTAATAGTATCAGTGAATAAAGATGCCCGATTATGTGAATCATTACCAGGTAAAACCCTATGAAATATATAGATATACTAGAAATTTTTTATTTAGGCCTTTCAATTTGGTCAGGTATTTCATCGTTGTCTGTGCTTCTTCGGAAAATTCAAAACCGTCTAAAAATTTTGAATACTATTGCGCCACCATTTAATAGAAAACATTCATTTATACGTCGTCATGAAATGCATTCGCGTTTATCTGAATTAAAATTTTTAGAAAAAGATTTAGCCACAACTAAACAGATACTAAATCGCCGTTTAATGGAACTCTATTCAGAAGATGTTATCGAAGAATGGTTTGAACTGTATTTAACACCAGCCGAAAATGAAATCAATACGATATTTGTTGAATTTGCACTTGTAGACAATATAACTACATGGGAACGACGACCACTAGGTCACTAGAAAAATATGTTCACGTTGTTTGTTTTATAGAAGCAGAATTTTCATAATCATTTACTTTCTTGGTTCGATTATTTTAGTTTTGATAATCGATGCTATTTTTACAATACTTTGCTTTCAAGCATTAGAGATTCTAAAAATTAATAAATTAGACTATAGGAAATAAAATCGATTAAAAACTGAAATCAATAACAACGTAAGTATCATAACTCATTTTGTTTTCTTAACGACAACTTTCTATTATATAAATATGGCTTATTTCAATATAGGCAAGATTAAAAATCAAAACAAAATCATATTTTATATTGAAAACTATATGAATTGTCAAATATAATCTTGAATTCGTTAAGAAATCTTCAAAATATTCAAGTGGTATAGAATACGAAAAATAGAAAGTGGGTGTGCTATTCATGCACATCGACATCGAAGCATTTTAAAAAGCATTTTGAAAAATATCGAATTTTAGAATTTTATATTTAAAATTAATACCTGGAAGATAAAGATTCTTTCAAAAGAGCAACATCGCATTATATATCGATTCATAACCGAAAGCATAACCTATCCATTACTCTATATCTTCAAAAACTTTTTAAAGTCTCATTCATGGAAGAACATTAGGACAACAATTTTTTTCCAAACGAATTTTCAACATTCATTAGTGCATTGAAAAACGAGGAGTGCAGCATGGTTTATATTTTATCACGTCAATCTGTTTTTTAAATAATTAACTAATTATTATACTAATTCTTATTAATTTATAACTGTATCACAATTTTTAATAAAAATTTGTATGCAATTCTGATTTAATTTTTGTGAATAAATGTTTGATTCATTCATAGTTAGTTGACGATGTAAATCGCATCAATACTCACATTCACACTTGAATACTTTGGCTCATGTTTATTGAACGTACCTACCAGGCTTGAATGACGTGTGAAAAGTAAAACACACACATATGATGTTGTCCGTTTGAAGAAACACGCCTTTGCGACAGATTGGAAAATTCCAACAGAGAATTCGATTATTTTTTACACGAAGGATGAAATATATTCAGTAGAAAAATTCATTTATTGCACGTAGATGCCTTCTAATTTCGACAATATATTTAGTAGCTTTTATAATGAACTTGAAGATTTTGTTCTTGTCTGGTTAGATACACGCAACTCAAAAACAGTGGAAACCGAAAAAACGCATACTGAGGTTGCTACGCATCAGTCAAAATTGTGGATACTCATTGGTTTCACACGCCTATTTAACTACGCGCACGATTTTCGTATGCTTATCGAATCTTTCAAAGCCGAAATGATCTTTCTTATTGTTTGTGGTTATTTGAATCAATCTCTTGTACCAATGGTCCATTGATTACAGCAACTTGAAACTATTTATATATTTTGCATCTATCAACAGAAGTATACTGCTCGGGTAAAGTCATACGAAAAAATTCGTCCTATCTACGCAACAACGAATGAGTTGTTAACTGTTTTGGTTAGCGATGTGTCTTTGCACGCAAAAGAATTGACTCCTTTGAGCATATTTAGTGTAAATCTAAGTACAGAGGTTTCGATACTTTCAGTTAAGAATGAAAAGAAATGCTGTATGTGGTTTCATTTACTTCTGCAAATACTTCGTCGTATGCTATCAGATGAAAGTGCACGTAGTGATATGCAAAATGAATGTAAACGAACATATCGTGGAAATGAGAGCATGCTAACAAGAATCGATGATTGTTTTCCAAAATTACACGAGAAAGTTGTATTCTTTTGGTATACAAAGGATTCATTTATTTAATGGTTATTTAATAAAGCATTTCGAACAGAAAATATTGATATCATTTTCAAATTTTGATTTTTTTATCGTTAATCTTCACCATAAACTCAAAGAACTTTATGGACCATTTACTGGTACCTTACGGAATGGTCCATCAATTTCAGCTGCTGAACTTCAGCTATTAAAAGAGAAAAAGATAAACTTGTTTCTGTAGATACATTTTTTTCTACGGTACAATCATTAAAATATGCAGTAGATTTTAGCGAAGAAAGACACGTGCTACCTCTTTTGGAGAATGGGATAAAAATGGCCTAGCAGATCAATACTATCGAATGATATTAAGGGTGCTATCGTCCCGTCCGATCATAAAATCACCGGGAAAATTTGGCATAACATTAAAGTGATCGCTATGGAGAATGGCGGTTTTCATCAAGCAGTCTGTTACTTCAAAACAGCTCTTCGCTTACGAGAACCAATAGAAACTTTGGATCCAGCTGAAACATATTCGAATATCACAATGCTACATGATATGACGGGAAAAAATAACATTAGCGATGCAATTTAATGAAAAATCATTAAAAAATTCGTTAACGTCGTTTAACACATGATCATGCAGTTGTCGCGTTAGCATACAATAATATAGAATTGGTTTACTTTCATCGGTGCGACTGTGAGAAAACTCTTCACTATTACGAACAAACACGTTTAATCGAGTCTGTTGCTCTTGGTTCGCCAGATCACTTTGATCATGCCACAATTCTAAACAACATTGGACTTGTACATTTCGAACAAGGCCACTATAAATTAGTACTTCGCTTCTAGAGGCTGCACTAGACTAGCCATACATGAACGTTCATTACTGACGCAACATCCCCCGTTTTCTGACAGCTATAATAATATTGATTCGGTTCTAGAACAGCTCGGTAAGCTAAATTAAGCATTAGTGATGTTTGAGAAAACACTTGAAATACATCTTGCAGCTCAGTTACTTAAACATCCAGAAATCGCTCAATCTTATAATAATCTTGCAAATGTTCTTGGTACGCTGGCTAGATTTGATGAAGCTTTAAAAAAGCTATTTTAAAGCTCTTAAGAACACCAACGATAAATCACCAAGAGCTATGCATACAAAAGACTTGCATTTACACAGCATTGGTGAACAGTATCATGTTGAATATAACTTCGTTGACGCAACAAAATACCATCAAGATGCATTTAGAATACGACTGCAACATTTTTACACGGAAGAACGATCCAGATTTAACTATGAGCGACAAAAGCATCGTTTTGCTCTTCTATGATCAGGATCAATTCGACAAAAGCATTGCATTATCTATTTCAAGCACTTAGAATTTATCGTGAAGTATACCAACCAGAAAATTCTAGAATAGCCTCGTCATTGCTCAATATTGAACTTGCCTATTGTAGAGAAAATCGAAATGAAATTTCGCTTAATTATATGCAACAAGCATTTAATATTCAACTACGAGTATTATCACATGGACACGAGAAAATTGAGAAAATGCAAGAGAAAGTCATTTCTATTAAAACAAAATTAAGAAATAGAAGTAGCCAGAAAAAGAAATCAGCCAAACATCGTTTAAACTAGAATCACAATTTTGAATTTTAAGTAAGTCACGAGCAATTTGTAAAACTAAAACCTTAAGATCCCAGTCTCGTGCAAAAGTTAAATTTTCTTGCATTAGAGATGCAAAAGAATCTCAAAATCGACTAAATTTCAAATATGCTGCTAATCTAAGATATTGGTAGGAGCTTTGTTTATGAATATCGGCGTGAGAAAGTGTGACAATGAGGACTGATCAACTCTCTTTGTATATATAGATATATTCATATAGTCGCAAAATAATCACATATACGTCTCACACTCATGCTTTTCCTTTGCTAAACTGAACTATTTCTCTCCTTTCTTATACTGATAAACTGTTGCATCAAATCAACTCTATATGTACACAGTAGTTGATTTTCATCTCAATCCTTATGATTACGACACACATCTGGTGAGAAACAATCAGATAAAATATTCGAACCTTGCCATTTGTTGAAGCCTCGTCGAATTCATCAGTATTACTTAAAACAGCTGTATTTTTCTGCCTTTCAAAGATAAAAGGTTATTCAGTTATAAATATTGATAATTGTTTGCCCGCGAATAATAGTTTATAAAAAATTTAAAAAGCCTTTTTCGAATGCCATGAATAATTTTGTTTAAATTCCATTGCGCTTCATAGCTATTTGAAAAAAAGAATTTCAAAATAAAGTAAGTAGATCATTAAAACTATTTTTTTATCTTAATAGTAACTGCACTAAATATTCTACGAAAAAATCTACCTAATCAAGTACCAATAATTTTGTTAACGAGAAAATTTTCAACGAAAAACTCGTGCAGATGATAGCAAAAGTATCGAAGAGTTTTGCGCATAATTTAAGTATACAAGCTGAAAACTGCATTGTCTAAATGAGTATTTCTCCTCGAGGGAAATTACATAGAAAACAAACAAGTCTCTAAAAGTTGATTTCATTAATTCCCTTGTGTGCGAGCAAATAAATCAACTCTATGACAAGAAATTGCAATAATATGACGATAGAATAAGTGTGCGTGTATCTCTATACATACTAATTGGGCCACTGTAAAATAAAAGCACGACTCTTTCTTGAATTCTGATTGAAGTTTTTTAATGAATCAATTAGTTTATATCTACTTGAGACAAAAAGAAACTCCAGCTTCATAATGCCTAAAATTGAACATATTGAACTGTTCAATAATCCAAATAAATCCATGCACTGACTGAATGAATGCTATAGATACTAATTTTCAATAAAATTTCATTCTGAGACTACTATAGTAATGACAAATCATGACCATTAGAGTTAGGATAACAATTGATTTGAATTGAGCTTTCTCTCTAGATTATAATTTGAAAATGAGGTAAAATGCAGAAAATATACAATAAAACACGATAGGAATCAAAAATAAAACTATGTTTTAAAAATCCTTCCTGGAAAACAAAACTTGAATTATTAATGAGATATACATTTGTTTCATTTGTCGCGACTATTATTATCGAGAGTTAGAACGAAGAGAGATGAAGAAAAATAATTTAAAAGTCATCTGAGACGATATCATTACTTTAAGTTATTGAGGCATGAAAATCAACCGTGATGAATCGCGTTGGTCTCATCATTTTAAATCTATTTTAAAACAATGATATGCATATTCATTTATGGTAACATATTAAGAATTTATTAACCGAACGCTGCTCCTTTTACAGATATAATGTAATAAGATACTTTAAGAATTACTATGATATAGTTAGCATCCCTGTCAATCGGATGGATGAATATTAATCTGTATTATCATGGGTTTTGTTACTTCTTTCTATTCATATAAACGTTCACATTCAATCGTGCACTCTCAAACAAGTCTTCTGAAACTAGCTGTTGCAGATTTGTTATGGAATTAACAATAAAAACTAAAATTAATGTGTATAAAAATCACTTTTCGTTAACTATTTGTTTCATTATGCGTCAAGCTATGAAACATATCAATACAATAATCGTCTATGTGACAAAATTAGAAATAAACCGACCATAACTATTAAATAGATTATTTCAATAAATATTTCCTCTTTAATATAGTTGAGCTAATAATTACTTAAAATATTTCTTTTCATCTAAAACACAATCTGTTGAAAGTTAGTATAATCGAAATTTTCAAAGACTGAAATGATCAATTTATATCGGTTTCACTAATTAAGCAGATCTACCATTGGCTAAAATTCTTAGTAGAATACACAAGAGTAATCATAAAAACTCGAGAAAATTATAACAAAGCAGAATCTTTTACTTTTACAACATATCATCATGAATATATTTGAAATCTGAAATTGTTTATAGCCAATTTGATGTCGTATATAAATAACTTCTCGTTCTAAAAATATAAACTTCTTTCTTATAAAGTTTTAATAGAATTAAATGAAAGACTATTGAAGAAGTCTACCCAAAAATAGATAGAATAAAATGGTCGCCGTATGATTAGCACGAGTAGCTACATTCATATTTCATATTGTTCTCCCACCGGCACTGTACTAACAGCTTTTGTTTTCTTATCATGGCTCAAACATTTTTAGTACTATACTCTTCAATTTCAATTCAATATTTATTGATTAATAATTATTAAATTCTTTTTTTTTTATAAAACAACTACGTTGGTAAATTTGCTCACAACTTCAGTACTTTAGTTGATAGAGAAAAAGAAAGAACAATACTTAGTTGCGCAAAAACTGCCGATAGTAATTATGTTGTTTAAAAATAAATTTACAGAATCCAATTTAGAATTCAGTTTGACGCAAGATAACCTGTCGTTTTATTTATGAGATAATTTAAAACAACGGCACAGTTCATTATATCATCAGTATTGAAAAGAAAAGACTAAATAATTCATAATTAATCTTATTAGTGATAAAGTGGACGATGAGCCTGTCTATTTACGTTGCAAGCATGCAAAAAGCTTTGATGCATTTTATCAAAGAAAAACTATTATTCAGAAACTAATGGAAAATTTCTATCATTTGGTAGAGCAATAGGAAATTCTTTTCTCTAAATTTATTGAATAGTTGATGTTGCACCTTTATTTATATCATATAAGAAACGTTGCTCATGGTTCATGAATGTTATTACTGATGGTTTTTTTTCTGCTGCTCTTTTCTTTATTGTTTCATCACCCTAGTGATGATTTTAGTAACGCTTATTATTTTTTCTCACATTTTTCGATTCATTCGAGTGTATAAATTAAATAAGGACATGAATCTTGTTTTTCTTCTTTCTCATTATGATATATTTATATATATTTTGAAGTATAAGCAATAATAGAACATGTAAGATTTAATAGAGCTATATTAATAATGGCCACTAATAATAGTGAAAGAGATCATTTTTATTTTATTACACCAAATATACTTTAAAATCTAATTACTTCTTTTTCTAATAGGAATACGTGATAATATGTGATGAAAATAAGATGATTCTAGACATAGAACAAACGAATAGAATATGTAGAATAACTTTAATGATACAAGCGATCTTACATAATAAAAATGGAAGAAAATTATCAGGTTAATAAGATACTCTGCTTTCTTGAACTTATTTTGATATTAATGATGACCAATTATAAAAATGCTCGTCACCTGGCCGTGAAGATTTCTCTCGTTTTTTTCTTTTTGCGTGGATTCATAATAATTGTATGTTTCGATGAAAACTGTTAGCGAGGATTCCAAAAATAAATGTTAGTCAGTGACGTTAATTGTAGATCTTTTGTCAAAATTTTAAATTAAAATGCCATCTTTATGTCCAATCTACTTGCATCGACTCTGAGTTTAAGCGTCATCAGGTTGTCAACACGATTCACACATCATGTTATTCGCTATTAGTATCATTAAAAACGACATTACTCCGACTATTCTATCTTATAAAAAAATCGGCCCAATATAAAAGCTTGAATTGAATTAGGGAAAAAATACGCGAACGAACTAAATAAATGAATAAGTCTCGAATCTTGTGTTAGAAAATAAAAAGCCTTATTGGACAAGCTTTTAGAAAAAAGTGTTGATTTTTCTTTTAAATAATAAACATTTACATATGAATAAATGTTCGCCTGAAGTTCCCATAGAAAAATTTACTTATATCCCATTGCTTTCTGTAGCATACATTATATTCTATTTTCTTGTCCTTATTTATTTTGTTTTCTGTACATTAATCATAAAATCAAAGTAATACAATGCTCTTTTCGAAAATATAACCGAGTAGAGAAGTTTTTGAAATTGTTTTTCTTGTATTAATAAATGTTATTATTTTCTCGTTTTGTTTTTTAATGTGAGACCAATTCTAAATTACAAATTAAAAACATGAGTATTTCTCTATAAAAACAGTTTCCCTTGGAGTATTAATAAGACAGCTTCGACTACACATAGAACAGCAATAAAAACTTTTTGAATATTTTTATTTTCTATAAATCAAATACATGAATATTCAAAGTCTCTAGTCATCAAAAAGAAACAGATCAATGACAAGAAATGCCATTCAGAATGAACATCATTAATTTTAAGAAAGATGAATCTTTCTTTTCTACGGAACCAATCATTCATGATGTTACTATAGAGTTTCATCTAAAACGAATAATACCAGACGTATTGATTCATACGTGAGACATCATACATCTACAGATAGATAAACATTGTGTATGTCCTTGAGAATAAATTATAAAACTTATTATTTCAAACATAGTAAAAAAGATAATGATCGTTTTTGAAGCCAACTAACTAGTAGATTTTGTGGATGCTTCTTCTCCTTCTTCCTTCGTCGTCTTCTTCATCTTCTTCTTTTGATAAATATATACTTAAAATATTTCTCTATTGTTCAAGACATTTTTTTTCGGTAGAGATTACCATAAAATATAAATCAATATTTATTTCTTGTTTATTTTTCTCTGTTGAGATTTTCATAGCATGCGTTAAGTCAGCCATTCATGGATGTTGAATACGTCATTATCGATGCATTTCTTGTTTGCTTGAAAATGTAAGTTCTATCAATCACAAAAATATTTTTTTACAAAGATATTATTGATTATCTCTTATGCTAGTATATGAGCGAGCTAAACCAAAAGAAAAAACAACTAATATGTATATATATATATATATTGGAGTAACATTTGATTTATGTAAATACATCTAATTAAGTGAGGAAAAAGATTAAAGATCCGAAAGAAAATAACGTAACATGCCGTTTAATATAGAATGTCTTCCAGGCACTATTGAAATAATCGTATTCTCCTTCACTGGTGAAGTCTCTTTTTTTCGATGTGTGCAAGATGATGAGCCACGGCCATCATGTCCTTGTCGTTTACTCAAATATTATATGTATGACGAATAACGATGCTTTCCTCTTTCTTTCTCTCGTTATTTTTATTAATAATAAGATCAATTCAAATGCAGAAGCAGAAAAGAAAATGAGTATTCTTGATTTTATTAGCGTCGCCTCTGTCGAGATTCATGTTCATACATTCTGTTCTTTTACTTCTAGTTGTTCCGATCTATCACCATATATTTATCGGATGTGAAATCGTCGTCATCGAGTTTGGTTTTTGACACAAATAATATTTGTGCTATTATCCCGATGCCGTCGTTTCTACTCGATTTAGTGACTTACTCATTAAGAATTCACAGACGATTATGCTTGATTATGTTAGCCAACGGTCCTTACCGACCATATCAAAACCAATACAATTTGTTCGTATAATTTCCATCGCTTTTATGTTTCTTAGCTCAATGTGTTTATGTTTTCATGGCTTTGATTCACAATCATTTGCAAAACCATCATTACACGAAGTTTTTAAAGCTCGCAGTGCACATCAGACAAAAAGATCACTACGTATTATATATTTTCGTGAATTCGACATGACTATTGATGAAAATCGTTTAAAAAATGATGTTAAAAATCTTACAGAATCATATGAAATCGATTTAAAAATCAAAGTCTTTAATCAATCAACATTATTATTGAGTGAAAAATTATGTTCATTGATAGCCCAAGAAAAACGTGATACAATAATAATAGCAGATCTATACACTAAAGAAATTGATTTGATATCTCGATCATTGAAAATGCCAACTATTGCTACTACAAACAGATATCAAATCGTTCAAGGCAAACAGGTATGATTTCACATAGAACAAAAATCTTCTATCGAAATTAACTAATTCTTTTCTTTAGCATAACCCGTATTTATTTAAATTAATGCCAGATGCTGTAGAAGAAGCAAAGGCAGTAGCGTATGCTTTAGATACGCGTTCAGTTTATACTCGAATAGGTATTATTAAAAATCTTTCTTTTCTTTTTTCTTAATGATTTATCGTTTAAAATTGTATTCCTTTTCTTTTGTGTTTTAGCTTTAATTTATGATATCTCAATTGATATGGTTGAATATCGTTTATCATATCTTCGTCTTACTAAACAACATATTATTTATCGAGCACATTTACCGCGTATATCACTTTTATATGATTTGAATCATCGAGCAGCAAAGATTATTGCTGATTTAAAAGAAATAAAAATTGATCTTATTTTGTGTATAATGTCAACGGAACGTGAATTACAATTTATTCGTTTAATAAAAAAAATGAATAGTGCATCAGAAATGAATTTATTATTAAATAAAACAAGTTGGTGGTTCGCTTCACGTCTTGGTGACATACATAATTCAGCGTATCTTCCAAAAATTTACACGGCAAACGAAGATCGTCGAAGATTATTAGGTCAATTTGAAAGTTCAAGTATAAAAGTTTTATTACATGCTGTTATAAGAACATATATTCGTATACCAATATCATCACTATCTATTGGTGCAGGTAATTGTGCTACTCAACAAAATACAAATCAATTAAGAAAGACAGATTTGTTTATTAAGTAAGTAAAATATATTTTATGTTAGAAATCTTATTTTCAAAATCAATCGAATTTATACTTTGATTCACACGATCAAGACGAATGATTTTAGTTTAGGTTAAACAAACATCATTGTCTGACGTTTTCAAAGTAGGAAGCCTTGTAGACTAGTTGTGCAACTGCCATGCTTGCGTGGTTACATAACTCGATGCCTAGCCAACGTTCGCGATAGCATGAATACATCACGAAGAATACCTGCTCGCATAATTATATAGTTAGTAGAGTGACGAGCGCAAGTGACTGAATGCTAATAATTCGTGTCAAGTTGACCTTGTTCTCAAAATTAAAGCTATCATAATTATAACGAAGATGCCTGTCAATTGAATCTGTTAAAATTCAGAGACATTCTTTTTTTCTTGTAGTAAATCTTGGAATCTATGTTTTGTTTCTAAACGCTTACATATGAACAAAAATGGAAAACGGAAAATGGAAAAAATACATATACTACGAAAGAATATAAACTAAAACCAGATAAAGCCTGGACATGCATATCATTTTATAAAATGTTCGCTTGCATTTTAATCTATCTAGTAATCTTTCTTTCCTCACTCATCAGATTTGAATCTACATTATATTTGCTTTTCTGATAACATAGCTTGAAAGTTGATGGGAGTGGCGTATGAGAGTATTTGAGAGCTCTCAATCAAATGCATTGATTACTCATGAAGTAGATGTAGAAGTGATATTTTCGTAGTGCTAAGATGCATGACATATTGGATCTACTTCTTGAATATGTATTTAGTAGTACTATAATGTCACTAATAATTAAGTATGATGTCATACTGCCTTGAGGATTTTCAAAAATTGTGCCTCGAATAGTTTTCATATACAGGTGAATATTATATGCATTCGATTTTTAAAGATTATTTACAAATTTTACTGAATGGAGTTGTGAGATTCGAATTGGTTCTGGCGTTGATCCAATTCTATTTGAACCTGATACTCTTGTATGGCGTGTTCCGACAATCTTCTGGGTAAATGTTTAATCATCTCTTTCCATACCTTGAATATCATATTTCTTTACAAAGGTTCATACAGAACATACATGTCAGGGCATGCTATTCCGCGTATTCTATTCAACAAATAATAATGCTGAACAATTATTTCGTTCATGTCGTCCTATAAGTGTATCATCCCGTAAAAGTTCCACATCAACACAGTCTGATAATTCAAGTACAGTGATATCATCATCAAATGCTCTTGTTGATATAAAAACTTATCATCAAATGTTTGGTAAATTATCACATGATTCAAAAACTGATTGTCGATATGTTCATATTCAAACACCATTACAAACACCAGTTATTGTTGGTGTCGTTGAACCACCATATATATTCATATCAGACGCTGAAATTTCATCAGAATTTCATTGTAATTATGGTATACATTGTTATCAAATCGATCCATTAGGGATTAATTTTACAACCGATGCACTTTTTTTCCATTCAAAAATGACTACGAAACCACATTGTTGTTATGGAATATCGATTAATCTTTTGCTACGTTTTGAAGATTCAAAATTAGTTATACCATTAAAAGCAACAAAATTGTTCGTATTTTTGGATAAACCAAATAAATGGTTAGCATTAACACAAACATTACAAAATCGTCGAGCACACTTATCAATATCAGCAATACCATATGAATCTTTTTTAGCACGTGCAATTGATTTAAGTCCACCATTTTATCATTCATCATATGCTATTCTAACTGTACCAACAACAACAGGACCATCGTTAGGCGCTTTTTTACAGCCATTTTCGTGGACAACATGGTGTATGATATTTTTAGTATTAAATGTTACTGCTTTATTTGAAGTTTTTTTTGAATGGCATAGTCCATATGGGTAAAAAAAAGAGAAATTTGTTTTTCTAAATTAAACTTTTTTATTTTTAGTCTAACACCAAGAGGTCGTCGGCGACATAAAATATTTAGTTTAGCATCAGCGTTAACACTTGGTTGGTCAGTTATTTTTTCACATACATTTAAAACGAAATCTCCAAAATGTTGGTCTAATCGATTTTTAGGCAATGTAAATTCTGCAATAGGAGATTTGGAAAAAGAAAAGGAAATATACTAACGTCTCTTTTTTAAATTAGGTGTGGGGTGGATTCGGTATTGTATTCATTGCTATTTATACTGCTAAACTAGCTGCATTTATGGTTGATACTGGTCGAACACATAGTGCGAGTACTATTCAAGGCATACTTGTAAGTCTGAAATAAATAAATAAATATTTGAGATTGATTACCGAACACATCATATTCTACATTAATATTAATTTTGTAGCTTTTATGATTAGATACAAAACTTGTTTGAACATTCTTATAGTAGAGCAATAGATTTCAGTATATCCGTGTTTTATATTAGAAAAATCTATAGAGATAATTTTGTCTTTCAAGTCGACCTATGAACGAGACTCTGATAATATTCTTTCGGTATAAGAATGAAAAACGTTACATGATCTCAATTGCGTCAAAGCTTCGTTCCAAAATCAAAATAATCCTGTGTATTCCATCCACATTGAAATCTTATCTATAGAATTTTTACGAGTACATTTCCTTGAAATATAGAGATTTTTCGAAGCAGCTGTTTTAAGAGAGAAATTTCATGTATGATTTTATTTTACTTTCTGACAATCGCCAAAGGATTTATATTATTCTTTAGATTTGTTTTCTGATAAACTAATAACAAATACATTTGATTCATTAAGAAAAATTTCAATTGAGATATGTATTATTACGCCATGTCTTTGAGAGAAATTTTCCTAGCAATTAGAAGAAACCTTCAAGAAATATTCTCTTTTTCTAAAATTATCGAATTTTTAAGTTATATTTTTACAGACGGAAGAATAATAGAAAATTACATTTTGTTTTAATGACTCATAGTGCAAAAAATTCTTTCCGGTTAACATAAAGTCATCTAGCTACTGATTACGAATTTTCTTTTCGTTTGCCGAATAGTATTGCTGCCAATGAGCATTTGTGAAGTGAAACGTTGATTGAACACTTTCCGATAGTCAACCATGCTTTTTTTGTTTTTCATTGACTGTCAAATAAAGCATTTGAACAAATAGCACATGAAAAATATCAGTATCTTTATTTCTCAATTAAGGATGATTGCCGTAGCATGCCTCGATGTACTGTCGGTGTTGTTGCAAATACAAGTGATGAAGAATATTTAAAAAGATTTCATTCAAATACACTTTATCGTCATATTCAATATGTATCATCTTATGGTCAAGGTATTGATTTACTCCGTAGTCATGTCATAACATATCTTCTTATGGATCATTCAATGGCAAGATATTATTTAACACGTGACGTTTTCAAATTGATTCGTATGAGTGACGATAACTTTGGTACATTTGGTTTATCATTAGCCTTTTCTAAATTTGAAACAGACTTAAAAGAAAATATAACAAATATTTTATTATCTTATGTTGATAAAGGTAAAGTAAAATGAATTAAAATGTATTTTTTTAAGTATATAAAAACTTCAGGCATTATACAACGTCTACATGATGATTGGTATGTGTATGAAAATTGTGAAACTAAACTATTAAATGAGGTAATTATTCTTGATAAAAAAAAATACTAGAAATCAAATAGAATTAAAAGTAATCAGATATATTCTATCTGATCACTGATCTCTGATTAGAAATGTAATTTTGACGGTGTAATGCTCTTACACACAATTTTGACCCCAAAGCTTGCGTATATATAATACTCAAAAAGTTTCATAGACTGCATCTTCTAGAATGTTATTCATGAAGAGAAAAGTTAATGTCTTGAAATATCTCAAAGAAAGTTTCTTCAGCAATGCTAAATATTTTAGAAGGAACTCAGTCTAGTGGCAATCTGTGTATACAATTATAAAATTTTAGATGAAAAATAAAAAGTGAATATTTTTCTAAAACGTGATGAGTTCCGTAATGCTATAGAAATCGTGAGCCTTTCAAAAATTCTCTTAAAACACTATGCAGTAACCACATGCGAGTGAGATATCGTCGATAGCTAAAAAAAAGAATCTAAAAAGAATTCCTCGTTGATTCTCAAAATTTAGTTATGTTCGATACAACGCAGATATTCTATCAACTATTTATTTTTGATCTTTACATGCATGCCTAAACTAATACATTACTCTATGCAATACTGGCGATAACGTTGTATCTTTTATTCGCAAAATAATAATCATTTTCTCTCTTCCTTTTAGAATCGAGTTTTATCTGTTGATCGATTTCTTGGTGTTTTTATACTCTTAATAGCTGGTATGCTAGTTGGATTCTTGATACTTCTACTAGAATGGTTGATATTTAAATTTGCTATACCATATTGGCGAAAACGACAGTGGCCTGGCTGGCTATTCTTGTCTCAAGTAAACAAGAAAGACATAAAAATTCAGGTTATCAGTTTTTCTTTTCTTTCAGCGAATGTACGCCGTATTAAATGTATCAAATGATCTATATAACAAAACTTATGCTACACAAAAATATAATTCATTTACACTTATTGGAGAACGGTTTGTCGTTAATATTTTGTATTCCTATAATAATATCTCGTTATTTTTAAAAACAATAGGCTTCATAATTACTCTACTCGACGTGATAGTTTAGATTTGCATGTTGTTGATGTTCCAAAATTATTAACGACAACCTATCAATTGAAAGAACGAATAAAAATTATGAATCAACAAGAGCAACAAATGACGTGTATTTCTCCGAATGGTGATTTACGATCGAAAAAAGAAAACTATGAAAAAGTTTTTATTCAAAGACGTATCAGAGAACTTGAACAAGAATTAAAACATTTGAGATCACAATTAATACCCAATTCATCACCAGATGACCTGTAAACTTATGTTTTATATATTATTGGTGCTATATGCCTATTGAGAATTGTACGTGTTTAAATATAAATCAAAAGTTCTAAACAACGAAATATTGTAAACAAAGTTAATCGAACAGCTTTTGTATGACGTCACTGAATTTTATTTTTTTCTTGTTATAATAAATCAACAGAAAAACAGTTTTTTTTCAACAATGTTATTATATGAAATTCGATTTTGAAAGAGATTAATTCCGTGTTAATTTGTATGAAAAGATAGCAATGGAAATAGAATAAAAAAAGACATTAACTCAATTCAACACGTACTAATTATGTAAAACTCTTAGTATTACTGATGAAAAACATTTGACTAAAAAGGGAAAAAATCAGATGTTCAGCTATTTGTAAAAATTATCTGATGGATCTCGATAACTGTAAAGCATCAGTGGCTTCACATTGTAAGATATATTTTTTAACGTTTGTCTTAAGATCAAATATCAAAAACAAACTGTAAAATTAAGTTGGTGGTTATTCGTGTCTCAGAAAAGCAAAACATAGAATGATGTCTGTATGATATATTCATTATTTATATGCTGTCTCTTTTTTTTTTCTTATCAGTTGTAGCAATGTTCACAGGTTTTACAAGTTTCCATTCAATGTTGATATCTAATAAAATAAATTCTCATGGTTATTCATGAAGAATCATTCTTTACAACTTCTAGAAACCAAAAGCATCAGAAAAAGATAAGTTCGGCTTCAACACATTTATTCGATAGACTTTCTAAACATATTATACAGGCACTCTGTTTTAGAAAATAATTTGCAACCTATAAGTTTCACAAGCACGAAGGTAGGGCAAAAATGGTGACTTAAAAAATGACATATTTTACTGAATTGTCCATTTTCATGAGGCGGCTAGAGAAATCAGGCTATGTCTAACATAATCAATTCATCTGTTAGATTAACTTGGACGAAAAAACGGAAAAGTTCTATTGATTCAAACGTATTTTCTTAGGAATAGAATGTTTGTTTTGTTTTTGATCTATAAAAAATATTTTCTTAAATCACGTGTTTAAAATTTCTTCGTTTTCAAAATTTTACAAAACAATTCTTTTTCTATTTGCATTACACTTGAAAAAAGCTATTGAGTGATCAGAACAAAATGTAAACATCTGATTTATTCTGTTGCAAGACACCCTACAACAACACCTGCACTTCAAGAAACGAGAAAATTTCACAACAAAAACAAAAAAAAGGAAAAAATATCGTTTGTTCTCAGCGTTCTTGTCACAATAGTCTGGTTGAAAATTAAGCAGCAAGACACTAAGCATGAGTTTGGAAGCACAATTCTATGAAGCTCGACGTCGTCAAAATTTCATTGAACGCCGTCAATCATTTCATACTCTCAACGACCTAATCAAACAAGAGCAAAAGTCTGAATATGGGTCTTTGCATATCCCTGTTCGTCTAATTCGTACAGATGAAAAAGATGGACGATACACATGTGTACCAATGCATCGTACTAAATTGAATACTAGTGATCAATCGATATATCAACGAAATCGAGATATTTATCCGTAAGTATTTTGTAAACAATAATTTCTTCTTTCGTTGTTTTATACAATGAATAGTAGACGACCACCACCATTAACCAATCGAATAAAACGAGCTGTTCAACATGCTAAACTTCGTCATCGATTTTCTGTATGTTATAGTTTAGAAAATGCAATGAATACTTATTGATTTTCATTTCAGTCAATTGAATACCTTCAACAATGGTGATGAGCAGACAAAAATTACGAAACGGACTAAATAAAATTCTTCTTCCTTTTGTTTTAATTATATTTAAAATTTAGTAATTATAAATGAATGAATAAACAATAATAAATTCTTCGAAAAGGTTTTTTTCTTTATTTATCTAAAACAGATAAATTTGAAAAGTTCACTTCTCTAAACCCTCGATTAAATGTTCTTCTATCTACATATATAATTTCCCGACGATTCAATCTACAAAATAATGATCCACACGTGGACAAGACATTTCTTTTCTTAACTGTCTAATACGCGCTCTATATGGGAGAGTGATAATGAATCTTTCTCTTCTTCTCTCGTGTTCGAGAATAATTTAATTCAGTTCGTTTTTTTTATATACATCGAGCACATACCAATATCTCTAGCAGCATTAAATCGTATTCAATATGTCAATCAGTAAGTGCAAAAGTCATTACTATAAGAAATAAAATCCTATTTTAGGTTCGTATCAATCTATGATGAATAATAATCTAACTAATTTATCAACCGGTTTATCAGTATCAAATTCTTCATCAGTTTCAACTGGTGGTAGTAGTAATCCACCAATGTCATTGGCTGCTGCTAATGTTGTACGTGGTATAATGGAAAAAGTTTTATCAACACCGCCTATGGGTTCTGGTTTAAATGGAGGAATGTCATCATCGAATGTTGCTGCTGCTCGATTATTTAATGAACTGGACTATTTATCATCACCAGGACTTGATTCTGATTTTGGCGATACATCACCATTACTTTGTGCCGGTTCATCGAATTTAAATAATCAATATTTTCGTTTAGCTATCAATAGTAATAATGATAATAATTATAATAAAGAACAACAACATTGTCATCATGGAAATTTTCTTACACGGTACGAATTTATTATTTTTGCTTTTTTTGTTTTGTTTTCAAAATGAATTTTTTATTCTAGAAATTGTTTATCACAAAATAATCGTACAATGAATAGTCCATTTTCACATCAACAATTTACTGATTTAACAAATCTAATTGACTATTCATCAGCATCATCAAATTCTATGACGACATCTCATGATCATATGAATATGTTTTCGGATACAGATGATGCGAGTGATTTAAATGGAAATAAAAAATTTATTGCTAAACGAGCACAAATAGGTGAGAAGGATTTTGCATGTTAAAAAGAAAATTTTGGATTTTATTGTTTTTCCTTCTCAGATATGACTAAGCAAGTAACCGATGCTCGTGCCTTATATTTTATGTTAGGCATTAAAATGAAATGTAAGTTTTGTTTTGAAAATGGCGAGTCATTTGAAGTCTATCGATCTCATATGTTACGTAATGGTGCCGGAACAATACTTTGTCCAATACTACGTGCTTATGTTTGTCCAAAATGTGGTGCTACTGGTGATTTAGCACATACATTACGGTATTGTCCATTACATCAATCACCGGGCAATACACAATTACTTAGTAGTGTTTTTGATTAAATGTTTAGTGTGTTTGAATGATTCTATAGGAACTCTAGTGTTTATTTTTTCGGTGTGCCATTCAAATATTTTCTTCGATACTCTATTTGTTATATACGTACTTTAATGTAGATCTGATATATATATATATATATATTAGTTTTGCCACTGCTAATGTGTTAGTGTCTTTCCGCATATCTCAAATTAATAATAATTTACTTCTATATTAATACTTCTTTCTCTTGTCACTTGATATTATTAATGTTGATTGATATAAAGTCCACAAAAAAAATTGCATAGTGGCTAGTTTTTCTCTCCTCTTCTTTTTTTTTGTTCCGTTGTACATGTGTATGTTTTATGTTTGAGAGACAGCTATGTGTCTATGTACAAGTCTATAAGTGTGTGGTTTCTCTTTTTTTTGTTTGTTCTTGTGTTATTGTCTCGATTTGAGACAAAAATTGTTGCAGTACGTTTTTTGTTTTATTTCATGAAAAAAAGAGTCAGATGAAAAGAAGAAACAGAACATGATTGATAATAAAATAAATGAAGAATGATTACATGAATATGTTAAGATTCTATTCGTTCGAAATTTATCTCATGAGGGAATAGTATGCAGTGATTCAGGGAATTCAATTCCATGTTTTTGTGTATTAATAAAAGATTGATAGATTCGAAAATTCTTCTGATGATGCGATCAACCCATAGTTTCAGCTCGTAGAGATATTGTAGTCTCAGTAGAATGTCGAATTTTGATTCGGAAATCGATTAACACTGAAACTATGTTTCCAAACATCAAACAATTTAAATAGTTGATGTAGAGAGTTCATTTTTTTTCTGCCACTTAGCCTACGTATGTGTTGGGGAAATCTTCAAGTTAAAATTCGAAAATATAATTCTGCAGATAATCATTTTTTTCTAGTCTACAAAATTTGCTACTATAGAAAAAAAATAAGAGTGTTCTGTCATGAAATGAATCTATTAATTCGAATTCTGTTAATATTGTATATTTTTGTAAAAATAATCAACGATTATTCTAATGAAGTCCAGTATTTAATGTTCTCACAATGACTGTATACATGATTAACTGTACTTTTCATCAGAAAAAAAAACAAATATACTGCACCTATATATCTATCTATCTACTCCTATCTATTAGGTGAATTCCAGCCATGGATGAAGAACGCAATTAAATTATCATTGTTTGAATTTAAGTAATATAAAACTTATATTGATGACTTATTGTTCTACCGGATATTTCTTCTGTGATGAGTTCCGAGTTTTAGTCAAATAGAAACGATCGATGACATAACCGGACATTCAATATTCAGTTTAACATTTTGAATAAATGATTTTTCTGCAAGCTATATTATACATCATGAAAACACTCGGAATCATCTTCAGTTTCATTTGATTTGGAATCTAAAAAACCAGATCGTGACTATCTTATCTTTCAATCTAAATAGATTCTTGATATTATTTACAGATTAAGAAAACAGAAAACTCGAAATATTTCTTAACATTTTTCACGTATACGAATTATTATAACATTCTTGAAATATTACAATTTGTTTCCGGATTCAGTTCAGAATGAAAAATCTTTTAATAATGTAAACATCGCTTTAGTGTATATCTATTGTTCACCGACGCTCCTACACTTCAACCTATATTTGTTCGAAACATTAGTAGTGCTATTCACTCTTGATTTTTACTTTTATATCCATTATGATTTTGATTGAATAATCAATCGAGATCGAATTAAAATCAATGTGTTTAGTGAAAAAACAATTAAAATAACATAATCTATTTGAATTGCCAATTAGAGATAAACTAGCAGTAAATAAAAAAATATCATTATTTCTAATCAGATCTAAAAGTGATCTATTTTAATTTCATATCTATCTACAAAATTCCTGTCCAATACATGATTCTTTTCATCTCAGTGAACATATTTCCAATTCAATTGTTATCATGTCAAATATAAATTCGATTGCTACATCATCAAATAACGACATACATCATTCTATCAAGTCGATTACCACCCATGAAATTGTGGCACACACACACCATGCATCTTTCATATTAATTAGCTTTCACTGTTACAGACTAAACTTTGTCGGACATAGATGAATGATAGTGTAAATCAATAGAGAAAAAATTTTCTTTTGTAACTTAAACATAAAATAATACATTCAAAAAACATCTTTATGTTATTCCCATAAGAATATTTGTTTTCTATTTGTTAGCGAAATGACGTCAATATTTTTATTGTCTATTACAAAAATAAAAAAGCACACACATACACTCGAACATGATTAAGGTAAATTGTCAATACGAATATAAGAAATGCACAACAGCAACAGCAACAGCAACAAAAGAAAACACATTGTGAATACAATGGAATGAGCAAGAAAAATATTTTACAAATTATACATGTACTAAAGGTAATTGTTTCGATGATGGAAGTGAATATTTACTTCCATTGATTTTTGTATGCTTATATGAATAATTTATTCCATAAGCATCTTGTCCATTATGTTCACCATAATGATACTGATGATGTTCATCGGTAGCATTACAACATAGACATCGACAAAAAAATCTCTTCCATGTTAAGATAGTTTTACTATTTAAATTAATCCATAAACCTGTTGTTATGCCAACAATTAATAAGAAGAAATATTTTGCCATATAAATTGTAAAGTTTGGTTGAATAATCGATGATGAATGCGATAGATTAAGACAATCATTACAAAGTGAATTTTCTTCCCATGCTGCGCGATAACGAAGTTCATAAAAATAAATACCAATAACCTGCATACAAGAAATAGAAAACAAATCGTCTAATGTTATTTTTTCTTTTGCATACTTACAAAAGTTGCTGGTACAGTATAAAGAATTGAATAAAGTCCGATTCGAACCATTAATTTTTCTAATTTACTTGTCTTTGTTCGATCTTGAATTTTCATAACATTTCTTATACGCATTAAACTTATTAAACCACCTAAGAGAAATATTGTTCCGATTGTTAAACATGTTATTAATGGTATAATAACGAAACGACGTAACATTGATGAGTCTGTATGTCCAACATAGCATATTCCACTTATTGAATCACCATCGATTCCTTTTAACATCAATATAGTTATTGTTTGTATACATGGTACAAGCCAAGCAACAAGATGATAATGAAGTGAATAATGAGCAATAGCTTCGGATGACCATTTAAAGCCGGCAGCAAGAAACCATGTTAAGGTCAATATAACCCACCAAATCGATGAAGCCATACCAAAGAAATATATTAAAACAAAAACAAAGGTACAGTTTGAAGGTCCTGATACATGAACAAGTTGAACATAAGCTTGTTGATCGTCCTAGAATCAAAGAAAAAAATATGAATGTTGTTTTAAACTAGTTAAATTGTCGAAATTTTTAAATTAAAACTTCTTGTAGAAACAAGCGTTAAAGAGAATAATTGATTTTAGATCTTCTAACTCTTCTTATCTTAAAATACAATGATGATAATAATATCTCACGTTATATCACATAGATGCTATAAATCGTACTTATGAAAATATATTTGTTGTGTTAGCTTTCAAAGTGAAATTTAGAAATCAATTTTACCGACGTTCTCAACAAAGATTTTTTCTCACATTATTGAATGTTTTTCAAGGTTATATATTTTTTTACCGGATTTTCTAATCGACACGCAACATTCTTATGTCCCAATACTAATCGTAATAGATAACCACATGAAATAAAAAAATAACACAATGCCAAAAATATAATTGGTCGCTGTGGATATTTAAATCTTGTAATATCGATGAAAAATGTCAATATAACAAAAGCACATGATATTGCACATAATAAACTTAAAAAAGCTAACCATTGATTCATCATTGACTTTGATTGTTCATCAGAAAAGTATGGCGAATAGCATGGCAGACTACATTCTTTCTTTGATTCATCGTCATGAAGGCGACGATAACCTAATGATGTATTACAGTGGCAACATGCTAACGATGGTGTTGCTACTGCTACTGATGCAGATGATGGTAGTGGTGATGGACGAGAATTAATCAATAATTTTGATGAAGGCTTCGATTGTACTTCATGTTTTTTTGGATCCATACAAATAGAATTTTCACTACTTGATGGATATTGTTCACATTTTAATGCATCGGGCCATAGAAAACCATATCGTATATAATATGGTTCACATGGTACACGAACACGTTCACAAACCTAATGAATATTGAATTGCGAAAAATAAAAAAGATTTGTAAATAAAATTGATATCTTACTTCGCGACATGGTTGTATTGTTTCGAAATAATTTGTTAGACATAATGGCATATAGATTGAACAAAGTAAAAAGCGCAGTTCCGATGAACATCCCACAGCAATTAAAGCTGTAAATTGATTGATCTAAATTAACAAGGTTTATTTTTGTCTTTTCATTTTGTCTGATCAGAGAAGTTCGGTTATTTGACACGTTCAGTCATTTTGCACTCATTCATTATACTTTATGAACTAATATTTGAACTATTTCTCAACGGAAGCCTTTCAACAGTCGTCAAAATTCTTTCGGCCCCTTCGTTTATTGTTGTTTATTGACACAATAATTTGCCATTGTAATGATATCATAATATACATTTTTTTGTTTATTTGTCAGATCATTTATAAGGTCAGACAAACGTCAAGCTAAGACTTCGCCGCTGGGTCACAATAGAATACCAGATATTCATTTATGTTTTACACCTATCTATAGAAATCGATTAACACATTGTAGGAGGGCAAAAGTGCAATGATTTCTTATCACTACATATGACATCAATAATTATCGATGTATATATATATAATGACATAGTTCAGCCTTGAAATTTAATCGAGATAATTATATAAAAACTAAATGGACATCTGTCATCGCACGAATAAAAACAATAGAAATATTGTTGCTTTTTTTCTTTCTTTGTTTCTTACCACAAGTGCAACATCTTTTTGATCTTGATGATTAAATTTATTCGGTAAATCTGTTTCATTATAGCCAATATTTTTACATTCATGATAAGTTATTGCTTGACACTGTTGTCCACCAGCTTTAATTGAAATAATTTTTATTATTAAAACAAGAACAAGAAGAACTAGTTGTTCAAGTTTTTGATGCATGATATCGTTATATATTATAAAATGTGTTTGTATGTATGTATCGATATATAAATGAAGGTAAAGAGAACGGCAGAGAAAGAGAGAGAGAAACAGAGAAAAATAATCTAGAAGAGTAGAAACAAAAAAAAGAAAGAAAAAAGAAAAAATTCTCTTTTCTGCAACAGCTGAATGTATGAACTGTCACTGTTCAATTTGACACAGCGGAAAAGAAAATAGGCATGTCACCAATTAGATGACGCGATACCTTAGACATACTAAAATTATAGAAATGAACATGGGAAACAAAACAAAAAGTATTCGTGACATAAATATACAGCCAAATCGGATTTCCATACTGCTATGCACATACAAATAAAATATGATGTGTGCTCTGAAGATAGTTAATTAAATGAACATCAATTTTTATTATTGTGCATATTCGACTGAAACAAATAAAAAGAAGAACAAGGCTAATTCTTCTTTAGAACTATTATATATTTGCTGTGGTCAAAATTAAAATTCAGTCAAATTTTTATTTTGACCACAACTTATTTATATGCATATAGAAATTCTTCTTCATCATCTATTTTACTTACATATACTTGAGTAATTATCTTCTCATCGTGCTAAGATCAATAAAGACGATGGATCCACATGCATGAACGCATGCATCCACTACTTAAAATGGCATCTTCGCTACAATAAACGGGAGAAAAAATGGAGCGAACATTCAAAGAAAACCAGAAATATTGTGAAGAAAAAGAGCTTACTATCAACAAATAATAATGAGAACAGAAACAACTCCGATGGGGATCAATAATGTGACAAGGATATTCACTCTATTTCGTCATAAACTATCGTAAAATTTTTCTATTCTGTTCGTTAGAGAAAAAAAATTCCGAGTGCGAATACTAATTAGGAACTCGGTTGGTGTCTGTCTGACATATTATTCCTTTGTTGCTCTTAAACAAAATGTTCAAATAAACAAAGCATCTCAACATGTTGCAAGATAGAAAAAAAAAGAACAAGACTAACTCGAACTCACTAGTCAGATTTAGATATTCATCGGTTAAAGACAGCAATAGCCAACTGAGAGCATAAGAAAGATCGAGGTTACATAATCATACACGAGAAGCGTGATGATGGCGTGCGTATACACTTCTTATATATAAAGAAAGAGAGAGATAGACAGAAAAAGAGATGAGAGAGGAGGTCAGGAGACGCTCGATCGTACAAAAAAAGAAGAGGAAAATGAGCAGTAACATTCATGCACGCGCCAAGCCCGTGAGAGTAGAAACGCAATCATCAACAATAAAAAAAAGAAGAGAAAATTGATTTCTTTAAAAAGTTGAATGCAACATATAGAAAAAGAAAGTAATTAGAAGACCTATTCATTCATGTCTGAAATCATATCTTAGATGTAATGATGTGAAAAACGTTTTATTGATAATAAAATAAAGCATCGACCTTTTAACATAAATATATATATTCTCGATTACATTGGATATTCATTATTTTTTTGTTTTGATGTCAAGATTTGTCTAACATTATTCATTCTATTATAGTATTTAACCTGTTCAATGAAGTAAACGAGCTGAATGAAATGAAAACATCGTGCAATTGACATATCAAACTCTGTTCGAACATCACATTACAATGTCAATCTATCTATCTATCTAGCTAGCTCGATGGTTTTTGTTCTATTTGTTAATGATCAAATTGTACTTCGTGCGTGTACGTGTCAAACCAACTAATTTCAACGATGTATGAATTGAACTCATCATTTTCCATAGAAACTAGGTATGAAGGAGAAAAGAATAGGGTTTGATAACAGTCAAGTATTTCTTACTTGTATTGTAGTTAACTATATGTGTATATAAACGATACCTCTAGATTGTCATTTAATAGATGGAAGAGGAAAAAAAAAGAGAACAAGAAAAATAACGAATGGATAGATGATCTTTATTATTCAATGTTCGATTAACACAACTCGACAGTTTGTCTTTTGCTTCATAGAATTTGAACTTATTTTTGTTCGATGAAGTATATCAACAAAAATAAGGTGATGATTAGAATGATTAAAATTTAAAAAAGAACGACCTAGACGTATGAGAGAAAGGAAAATCGATAGTGAGATGATGGCTAGACCCTTAAGTAGTATTGAGTAAGAGAGAATAGAATAGAATAGTGTTGACGATGCCCACTCAAATGACCCCGAGAGCTACTCATCTTAATGGACGACCACCTACCATTCATCAACACATACGTCTAGTGTTTCCTGCTCTTTCGTGCAGCACGAGAGAAGAATGAAACTACTTAAAGTTTAAAGAGCGAAAAAAAAATCTTGCATGTTCTGTCTTTCACCTGTATGCATAGATTGACTAGAAGCGAAAATGAAAGAAACAAATGAGAACAGGATTATAGAATAGATTGAAGTGATCTAACTCTTTCTATTTTTTTCTTTATGCGTGTGTTGATCTTAAGGGACTGACTTATTGTTTGTAAAGAATAGGAGAGAGTACACGAATGAATTCTGTCATGAAGTTAGTTTTTCATCTAACAAGTAACAAATAACAATCAACAAAAGGAAAATTTTCTAATCCTTTGTTTTATGTACTGAAATACTTGAACAATCATGTCTTCTGTCACATATAAAATAGTGTCAACTTATAAAGCTATAAAAAAAATGAAAATGAGAAGAGCCACTTCATATCCAAGTGGAAGAATTAGCTTTTAGACATAATCAAAATCCTGATTTATAATTGTTCTTTAGCTTAACTAAATCCAAAACCAAGAAAAGAATCAATTAGGATATACGTAGAAGTCAACTGCTGTTTTTCTTCTTCATTGTATAATAAATAAACTTAACTAATGATTGTTATTTTGTTTCGCAACCAACTAATAGATCAATTAGTTAACCTTGAAATAACACGTGAAATCTTCGAACGGCAGCTGTTATACTTCTTTTTATGTTTTTTCTATTATGTCTTTTGTTAGCTGTTTTACTATTGCTAACAAGGACATGGATAATCATATTACAGTAAGTTTAATGCCTATAGATTATCATCAATAGTTCTGTTTCTACAATAAAAATATAGAAAAAAAGAAAAATATATGAAACACATAAACGACTGTTCATGGTCGATTATGCCATCGGCATTAGAGACATGTCTACTCTTTCTTTCTTTCTTTCTTTCTGTCTTTTTTTAATAATGTCGATGGATACATGAAAACGCCTTGCAGGCATATCACTTAAAATAAACGGCGAATTTCCTGCATGAATTTTATGTAATTTTGTCTGACGAGATAACTTAGTCTTACATATTATTATTCGCTCTTGCATAACCATTATACTTTTATCTGGAGAAGTGTCCTTTTTTTTCAATATAATGAAACAATTAAGGCGAATAATTGTTTAACTTGCTCTTAAAGTTTATTATTGTCTTCGGATATTCCAGAATTTTTATGTCTATAGATGCACTTCTATGATTGAGTTATGAAAATAATCGATTTCGTTCAAGTGATGGATTAGGTTCTTTTTACTTTATGTGTGAAGTATTGACATTAGAGATTGTTTCATCAAAGTGAGATGATAAACTAAAATAGCTTATTATCAATATTGAAGTTTTCAGTGAAAATCTAACAAGCGTTTTTAGAGATTAAAATTTATAGATATACCATCTATTGATTATAAAAGTTTATTTCTTGTTAAATTGAAAAATTGTTTAATTTATTCGAGGCTATATAAAGAAACCATTGGACTGATAATACAATTAAATTTAACAATATATAATCAGACTTTGAACATTATCGAATAATATTGGCCCTTTGTTTTCGAAAGTGTTGTATCGGTGAACATTGACAAACAAAAAAAGAATCTTAAATCGTGCTTGTTTTTATTTGTAAGATACCAGTAGGGCAGTTTTTTTTGTTGATTACGAAAGTATGTCTTTCGTAAAAATAACAATATTTGTCTTCGATTTCTTTAAATTAAATTCAACCATTCTTTTTAGTTAATAGAAAAAGTCAATAATTTTACTTTTAACTTATCTTTCTACTAAATCAAACGATTCTTTTTGTTTTTCAAAAAAAAAGAAAAACATCGTCTTTAAAATTTATCTCTCTATTCATCAAAATAAATCTATAGATGAATCATCAGATATGTTTATTTAACAAAATGACAATGATCGGATATAATTTTTAACATATACATCTATCAGTTTATATCATCCATATCTGATGATGATTCAACGACAGTTATATCAACATTATGATCATCATAGCGCGATGATATATTACTCCGACTATTACTTGATCGACTTGTTGGTTTCGATGGTTTTAATGAACGTTGAACATCATCAATTTTATCAAGTAGACCTGGATTACGGCGACAAAGAAGACGTACATCGTCTGCGTTGATAGTTGTTCGTTTACCATGTCTAAAAAGACGGACATTTCAATTAAAACAAATAGTGGACAGAAAAGAATTGGTCTTACTTTGAAAATACATCAAGATCTTGACAAAATGTTTCTATTTGTTGAAATGTTACGTCACCAACTGCAGCTACAACTTGTTTGTCTACAGTAATATTTGATTGTATTTGCAGTTGATCACAAATTTTACCGCATGCTGCATGAAGTGCTGCTTTTAATCGCTAAAGACAAAGAAAAACAGAATGGTCATGCTATTTTGATTGTTGAAATAGATAAGATTTTCATCAATAAATCTATTTCAAAACAACTATCCATTATCTTACGAAGGGAATCAGTTTAAAATACAAGATCTGTCGGCTAAGTATTTTTCTAACCTTGACAACGCCTTAGATGAAGTTTTTATCTCACTGTACCATAACCTTACCCTAGTCAAGAGACCAACAGTGATCAATAACAAAAGAAAGTATCACTTGAAGGACACGTAATATAAGCCTTTTCCATACTTTGTATGTTATTTTGATGAGTTTTTCTATTGGACTTTGTAGAAAATAAAATAAAATATAGATCCAAAGAACGTATTGATAGGATTAAATGACACCTTTGAATTAGACAGTAAAATATTTCTTTTGAATTTCCACATGGTGAAACACACACGGATTCATATTCAATTCATGAAAATTTTTCTTTATCTTTGAACTTTTCCTTTTCTCAATCAGATAAAATTTCTACGAAACATTTATGGTACACGCACCAAAATAGGATTTTGTATAAGTCGTTCATCGTCTAAATCAGCCATAATCTAAAAATGTCATAAACTTACCTATAGAATGATCCAAAATAAAATCACTTTCATTTCTCTCTCTCTCTGCCGGTCCAGGATTTGTTTGTTTTTAATAAATAATAATAGAATAAAGAATCGCAAAAGAAAACCAACAACATCAGACAACAACAACAACAACAACAACAAAATGACTCAACAAACAGGCCTTTTTGACGATAATAACTACGTAATAAAAGTGACGTATAATCCGACAAAAAACTGTATACACTTTTAAAAAGCTCATAGAAAATCGCACATATTATCAATGGATTTTTGAAAAAAAAGCCGTATGTTCGGAAAAGACAAGAGAGATAAATGATATAAAATATATACACACAGTGAAAATAAGAGATACATTTTTCATAATATGTTTATGTTGGTACTTTATCAACATCCTCTCGTTGTTTACCATCTATTTTTTGTCCTTTCAGTTTTTTTGCTTTTTTCTTTTGTCCATTACTTGATGCTAATTGAAAACCTTCATCATCACCACCACTACCACTATTATCATTACATGATGTTGGTGCCATAACTAATTCAATTAAACGTTCATTATCCAAGTCAGGCTGAATTTCAAAAATAAAAAAGCAAATTATATTACTATTAAAAATATTTATCAACCTCAGCGTTAGCTAATTGTTTTCGTTTTAAAAGAAAATCATTGGTAAATTCTTTAGCTTTACTAACTGTTCCTATATAAGGTTGTATATATTCGATAATTTCACCAGCATTATCAATATCTTTTAATAACTGAACAAGCGTTGGTACTTGAACAATGAAAAGCAAAAAGTGTTTTAGAAAATTAGAAATAAAAAAGAATGTTTCTCTTTTATCTACCATCAACGTCTTTGAAATTATCTTTAAATTGAGCTTGAGTCCATCGTGATAGAGCATCTTGTGTGCGTGTTGTATTAAATATATTTTTTGTTTCGCTTTCATTTTTTCTTGTGTCATCATTCGTTGAAATTATTTTTTCAGATGTTATTGTTGGTAAAGACGGCGTAGGTTTTATTTCGGTCCATGGGGCTCTATTTGTAATTTAAATAAAATAAAGTCAAAATCATATACATAATAGCTCATAAATAACTAGATAATAGATGCACACGCAATATATTCGTAGCAGTTTAATCAACTGGTTTGTTCTTTTTTATTGTTGTCCACAATAGAAAACTTCAGAAAATTTTTTGTTATAGAGAAGCTCTGAATCGATACAAGTTTTTAACTCACACTATCAACGGAAAGTATTTCTTCGGTAATATTAACTATTCTTCAGACTGTAGATCTCATTAATTTTAGAATGCACATCAAATCAAATATGTAGACTAACCTAATTAAGATCGGTTGAATTCAAGACAAAGCTATAATTCATAATAGCTCGTTTCACAATAAGTTCAATATTTCAAGAATAGAATGAGCTTACGATTTATTCAATTTATCATTGTGTAATATATGCGAAAATTTAATTGCATGCTTCAATCAAATTCAATTCATAACCTGAATAGTCAGATTAAAAGACTAGCTACTGATAAATTTGTCGATTCTTAAGCTTCTTTTCTTCTCGACTTAGAAGACTCTTAGTGGTAAGGGTTACCGATGAGCATCACTACTCTTTCAATTAATCGACTCATATTCTTATTTCTAAGGCAAGTGAGAGACGAAGAATTGTGAATTTACGATCTTTATCAATTATATTACTCATCTAGACCTTTAAAAATGATCGACTGAGATACTCCTATTCACTAGCGCTTGTTCTATACAGTATTTATGCAACAGTTTTCTTATGAAAAAAAGCAACTTTGATGTATCCTCTATTTGCGAGAAAAAAATCAACTAGAAAATACTGAATTATATTTTATATTGTAAAAATCTAGTTAATCTAACATGATTATCAAAAGAACACAAATAAAGCTGAATTTCTCTGAATTTCTTCAAGAGCAAAATATTCAATTTACAATCAGAAAAATAAATAAATTACTTCAAAGAGCTAAGCAAAAGAGCGTGATAATTTATTTAGTAAAATACTAAGTTGTTGAAAACAATATGCCAATCAATCTTTATTTGAAATAGTATTTAAAAACGCGATGCTAAGAGTTTGATTAACTCTTCGAATATTTTATTCACACAAATTAATCAAAGAAAGAGTTTATGTAGTTTTTACTTAATATCTGGTCTATTGGATTATGTCATGGTATTGCAGTGAAAGAAATATCTGTTAAATGAATACACTTGATAATCTACAGTATAGTCGATACATACGATGATTTATTGTTATTTGTCATTATAGGTTTATTTGATGATGAAGAATTTTGATTAGCCCAGAATAATCCTGATGGCGACTGTTGAGATGAAATAGGTTGTTGTTGTTGTTGTTGAACATTGCTTGGCCATGTGGGAGCAGATGTTAGTGAATGGCCAGATGTGATATGATGTGATTGTTGTAATTGTATGGCATCGTTCTAGAATCAATCACAAAATAGATACGTAATCGAATTTTGATACACATTTTTTTCCTCACCTGTGTTTCTTGTTGTGATCGTTGAGTATCTTGTAGTAATGTATTAGAAACCTTGTTAGGTGTATTCCATGATGTTGATTGTTGGCTAGTAGCTGATCGAGATTTAGGCTATAGAAAAACACAAGAAAATAGAAATAGATTCAAATTTGAAATTATTTTCATTTTGTTGCTCTTTCTAATACACAGAGACGATTAAACATCGATTAATAGGTTAGGTAAAAGAAAAAGCATGAATTAATCACAATACAACATACATGAATATTTAAAAGAGAAAGTACCGCATTCGTTGCCTGTTGATTATAAGCTGCTATAGATGATGATGATTCAGTAAACGTATTCTCATTGGTATCATAATCCGACATTATATGACTTGATGTCGATGGAACATTACTATTACCACTATTGGTAACGGCAAATAATGTTTGAGCCCATGAACTCGTTTTATTGGCTGATGATGATGACGATGGAGCGAAATTTGGTATAGGTAAAGTCTGAGATTTAGCCTAGTTAAATAGAAACTAATTAGGTAAAAGTTATAAATAAATTTCGAATCAAATAAACTATTTGAAAAATGAATTCATTTTTTTCTAAAAGCTTAGTTTGATTCTACTATTTATTTATATCTTTCAGGAATGAGATTTGAAGTAATTCAAGTCGCATCTAGTAAGCAAAATATGATGCGCACATACGTAAATATTAAAAGTAATCTCGAAGTTTAAAAATATTTTTTTGTTTCCTACTATTTCGAATCATGAAATTCGAAACGTTTCAGTTGAGATTATAGTACTAACAATTTTCAATTGTTACTTCCGAAAATCATGCTTTAGAAAAAGTTGACTAATGAGAACATAGTACTTCATTCATTGTAGCCTATAAAAAATACTTCACGGTAATAATACCTAAAATCTAAAAAAGAGTTGCCCTCTTAGGATCTCGAAGCTAAGAAGTTACCAGATTGATTTACTTTTTTCCGAAAGCTCATAGAAAACAATCATTTTCAACTTTATCTAGACTAACTCACACTTCCTTATCAGTTCACTGTAACGTTGAGCTGTATTTCGAATAGTTCTTTTGTATGTATAAAGTCAAAATACAAATCCCATCGCTAGAAACTGTCAGCATTTGGGTTCAATACATTACACTTCAGACTTTATGAAAATGTAAAATGTAAAATCTACAATTATTTTAATCCTTTCCTAGCCTATGTTACACTCAACACTAGAATTCGTCACAAGTCATATTTTTCGTGTCCTAAATTGGGACTATGTGTTTCATTTCGCACGGAAAACCAAGCACTACTTCATTATATTCATTCAATAACGCACTAATGGAACAAAACCATTGAATTCGAGCATCATTTTAATGACAACACAATCATAAAAGGTAAAGAAATGATGAAGAAAATAAAATCATTTTCTCAATTGTTTTTTCTTAGCTTTTGACATACGTATTGATGAGCAAAAGCAGCTGCTTCTCGCGAACGTCTGTCTTGTTCTTGTTTTTGAAGTTCAGTAAGATTATATAATTGAGCTGATTCAGTAGTTTGTGATGGAAGTCGATTCCAATTGTTTGCCTCAGGTACCTTATACATTGATGGTTGTGGTTGTTCTCGATATTTTTCTTGATATCGACGAATATTTTCTGCTCTAGAAAATTTTAAGAAAAATACAGATACTTTCTTTTCATTATTCTCTTTTTCTATATAAATAATTATTTTTACTGTTGTGCTTCAATATTAGCTTGCTGCTCTTTTTGGTAGGGAATTGATTGTTGAAATGTTAAAAATGGATCGATATCCATTGTTGATTGTTTTTTACTGTCCATCGGCTTTGCTAATTGATCAAAAATCATTTGTCTATTATTATTTATTTCGTGTTTTTTACGTAATTCTTGTTGTTCGAATTGACGTCTTTCGTCTTCTTCATGTTGTAAACGTATTTGTTCAGCTTGTTGAAATAATTTCAGACGTTCAAATTCGATTTCACGTCTTTGTTGTTCAATGCGACGTTCTTCATCAATTTTTTCTTGTTGTTGTTTACCATGTGTTTGCATTGCTTGAGATAAACGTGTCATTAAATCATTCGATTGTTGTTGTGCTAATGATATATTTGAAGGAAAATATGATGAATTATTGTTTGATGATGATGATTGAGATGAAAGATTACGTAATGAACGTTGCACTTCATCATATACAAGAGGATTGGATTGTTGTTGATTTGTTGATGAAAAACTTCGTTGTAATTGTTGTTGTTGAAAAATTCTAACAGGATCATTGGCCAGATTTGATGAAAACATTGACGATAAGGATGATTGTTGAGAATTAAAATATGCTGCTGGTAATTGAGATGACATATTCGATGAAGATGATATTGGTTTTCTCTCATTTGTTGATACTGGCATTGATGTTTGTCTAGAGATTAAAAATAAAAAGATTCATTATTCTTTCTGAATTATTAAATTTAGATGTTCTATCGTTTTGTGTAAAGAGAATACTTTTAAAATTTCTAATTAATAGAACAGATCGTAGAAGATTATCTGATTAGCGTCAATATACAGTGACTTCCTGGGAGATTTTATGAATATTCTATTTGTAAAAAAGGTTCATATCATATAGAAACCATTTCTGAACAAGATAGAATCGTTTCGATGTCATTCTAATCTATATTCAGAGAACCAAAAACTCCAGATCACAGAAGTCTAAAATGCGTTTTTATATTATTCCCAAGGAGGAACAAACTGATTTTGGAAGTTGAAATCAACTTGAAATCACTTGAAATCATTTGAAATCACACGAAATCATCCGTAATCACTTGAAATCGCTTGAAATCAAAAACTCCATATGAAATCATGAAATCAGTTTGTTCCCCCTTGATTATTCCTATAAAGATTTATATGAACTTATTACATTTTACATTGCGTGGGATCTTTTATAAACTAAGTAATGGCAGACCATGGAAAAACTTGTAGACATACTGTTTTATTCAGAAATATTTTCTTCGTTCTCTTAGATATTTTTGAACAATATTTTTTTATAGAAACTACAATAGTGATTTTCCTGTAAGTTTCGTTATCCAGTGTCTTACGATATTTATTGTATCGAAAGCATTATTCTTATAACTTTGTGATCGATTATATACTGCAAATGTTCAACTCCTTATGTTTGAGAATACTTTTCCGCATTATTCAAGTTATTTTTGTTTTACATTAAAAATTCCATTCAACTAGTCGATCAAGATGTACTTCTAATGAAGAATCAAGTGATCTATTGAATATAAGAATAGTTTCATACAAAGAAAAAAATATATATACAAAGTTTTTCTCAGTCTCGGTTGGATGAAAATATGAAAAATGATATAGCTGGTATTACTCATCACAAGAAGATTATTTTACTGTTACCGATGTAGGATAGATTTCTTCACCTACTTCTTCAGAAACGCAATAAGAAACTAGATCGTACATTATAAACAGATACTATTTCTATGAAGATTGTGATTATTTTTCTTAATCAGTTATGACCCATAGGAAGATTCAAGTCTATACCGTGACTATGCTAGAGGACCTTAATTCTTCTATCATTCCAACAGGTATGAAATGTAAACGAGACATTTTCTATTTCGATCAATCTACTATCATAACTTCTTGAAAAGGTTCTTTCCACATGAGAGCTGTCATGCTGATAAAACAAGTGACTTTAAAAGATCAAATAATAATCTCGATGGTCTTTAAATAAATTAGATCGAAGGATTTTTTCCTTACAATGTATTCTGAAAGCAAATATTAATCAATGTTGGTAGAAATGATATAGCTTATTAATCAATCAGAATTTGAAAATTAGTCTTCATTCTTGAAATTCGCATACAAGAAAACCTTTCATAGTAACAAATTTACCTATTGAACATCGTTGAATGTTGCACATTTTGTCTCAGTTGGGATTGTTGCATGAGATAATCTTCGATATAGGCATTATTTGTTGTTGCTGATGATGGGAGATGAAATTTTTGTGGTTCAGGTCCCATTGATTGTTGTTGTTGTTGTTTTTGTACAGGTGTAGATGGTAGTGATGAAACATCAGTACGAAACGGTAAACGGCCTAATTCTTTTGTTAACTGTTGTATAGTTGAAAAGTGTGCTTCACCCAAACGTTTGACAGGCAAATTAACAGTAAAATATCCGGCAGCAAACCAACGTTCCATATCGGCTGATGAAAAAGGACCTTGTACTGTACTTTGAGGATCTTTATAATACCATTGTTTATCATCAATGTTGGCCGATGTTCGCTGCTGTGAAATAATAGGCACATTCGATGGGGTTGGCTCTATTGAAATAAGACGAGGCGTTGGATTCGCAGATATTGGTGGTGAATAATCATGATCCTAGAAAGAATTTAATAGAGAATTTATTATTCTATTGGCTTGAATTATTTATATACTTCAGCAAGAGTTGCTTCAACAACAGTTTTTGCCACATCACTATGATCATAATCATCATCCCATGACGGAAGAAAATGTTGCACGGGAGGTGTTGGTTGAGAAACTAAAGTTTGCAAGAAAAGACAAAACAACAGAAAAATCAATCATAGAATTCCATAGAAAACAATTTTTACTAATAGGTTCAGGTGCAACAGAAGCATTAACAACTGTTGTATCTACTTTTGATGTTGGTTTTTCAGGTTGAATTTCTTCTTTCTGTCTGGATGAATCCTTTAAATTAAAAATAAATTTGAATGAAATAACAAAACAAGCAATAAAAGTAATATTTACAGAATTATGTTGTGATAATGATTCATCAGATGCTGATTGTGATTGTGCTTTAAATTGTTCATTACTATTATTTTGTTGAATGGATGATGATCTAGTAAATGTTCCATCTTGTTCAAATGTTGCATTACTTAATTGATTATCATCATTATTGTCATCCATCCATTCAGGCATCCCTAAATCATACCAGGTTTCTTTCAATTAAATAAAAAACTAACGTTGCTAAAAAGGAAATTTATATAGCACAAGTGACTAGTAACTTTTTAACCTGACTAACTAAATCTAATCGATTCATGATGAAGGACAATTATTAAATTATTCTTACGATCTCGCTTAGGTTGCTGACGACGTGAATTAAAATCACGATCAGATGTCGATGAATTCGTTCGCCATCCACTACGTTGTTGATTTGATTCATAACTATTCAATTGGCCTTAGAAGAAAAATAAATTAGATCTGGCATGAGAAGAAGAAAAATTCTTGTTGTAATACTAGGTCGATCGTCATTAGAATTCCATTTCTCATTTGATTTTGTGCGTTGCTCCATTGATCCACTACCACCGCCACGTTTGGTTTGTCCCCCCCGAGCTGTCCATGAACTTGAACCATTAACTGTTGTTGATGTATCTTCATATTGTTGATTATTTTCATCGTCATCCCCTCGTGATCGACGCCAAACTTCTGATGTTTGCCGTGTACTTATACCACCACCACGACGAAATGTTTGTGATTGTTCCCTAGAAGAAACGATTATAATATATGCATGTTCAATACAATGAAAATTTATCAAGATGAGACAAGTCTGATTTATTTATTACAGAAAGATTGAGAAAAATAAAAATTCAACAAGAGCTAAATAGGGGGCTAATATACATATATCATATATATTCTTGATAGATTGTTTTATCCTTACTCTGTATATTTATGTCATTTAATTTTTGTATATAAGAAGAAAATATAATCACAGGGCAACATGTCATAAATAATTGCACTTTTTCAATTTGAATTATCACAAGTAATATGATACGTTATTCATTAAGTATCCAATAAGTATTATTATTTTTAAATATACGAACTATCGCTTATGAACAAACAAGTAACAACTGTTTACTTCGACTCATCCATTCGATAGAATGCTGACTAAATTGCGATATCGGCCTGTTCTCATGGGCAATCCATATTTATGGAAAACTTAATCTTAAGAAATCTGTTCCAGGCCAAGTTTCTGTATAGAACTACAGCTACTGTTTCGTTGTAAAGAAGACGTAAGATTAACCAATCTACAGTTAGATAGAACACTAGACCGAAAAACTTACCGATCATCAAAAGATCGTACTCGATTTGTAAATGATCCACCACGAGATTGATAGTTCCCACGTGACCATGAAGACGAAGTCGACGATGCTGATGGTTCATCACCAGTATTTTCATTTTCACCGTTATCATCTGAATTATTATTATTATTATTATTGTTACTACTAGCACGATTTGGTCCATAATTATGATCACGTCCACCGCGACCTCTTGAACCACCTCGGCCATTTGATACTGAACCACCACCACCACCTCGATTACTTCGCGTATCTTGTTGTGATTGTTGAGAATTATGTCCAGCACGACCAGCACCACCCGGTGTTCGACCAGATATATAGCTTGATAATGCATTCATTTTAGCCTAATATAAAATACATTCCTTTAGTTTTATTTATTTTACAATAACAACAAGAAAATACTTACAGTTTCTTCTGAAGTGGGTGGAGTTAGTGATAAAGGATCCATTATATTTGGACGAAAAACACTTTCAACATCTTTTAAATTTTCCATGATTTCATTTTTTACAGTTTCACTTAAACGTTCAGAAACATTAACACGTAATGCTAATATTTCATCTTTCGAATAACGATATTTTGTTGCCGAAAACTTAAAAATATTTCCACTTCCACTGGACGATGGCGCCGGCGTTGCTGGATCAGGTGTTGATAATGCTCGAAGCCTATGAATAGAAGAAGAAAAAAATAACATGAACTTTCTGTCTCAATAAATAGACATGTTCACCAACCATTCTGGTCCAAAATTTAATGGCTGCGTAGCATGCTGAGCGACAGTAGATGAAGCCATTTTTTTTCAATTTTCAAAGCAAAACAAAATAAAATATAGTCAATTTAAAATCGATAACAGTGAGCAAAATCTGAAATAATCGTTAATATAGAAAATAAACAAATCAATAATCATCAAATAAGAAATTCAATTTACTGAGATTATTTATTACAAACAATAAATAATAAAAGAATGAAAAGTTTGAGAAAAAGTTGAATCGAAAAACATTATTATTATTCTTTATCTTGGTATTGTTTTGCATGTCATTTATTTTATTTATTATTTAAGAGAAAGAAATATATGAAGATTCCACAGTTTACTTCGAACGATCAAAAAAATAACAACGGATTTTATTTGGTCGAATAGAAATAAGAAAACAACGAAAAGACAAAAAAAAAGTATGTATGTATAAGTGAAAGATAGTGTCGGTGACTGAACGAAAGGTGTCGCCATTTAACAGCCATAGATCTTTTTACTATTGAATTGTTGATAAAAAAAAATCGATATTCTATAATTTAGATCAATTTTCCATATAATATTATTACCTTTTTTCTGTAGTAAACAGATTTTATATAGGAAAAAAACTTTAACTAAATATATATTTGATAATTGATATTAGTTATTGATAAAAATATCAAGTTAAATATATACAAGTAAAAAAATTAATTATTAAAAAGGAAAATCACTCAACTTGACAATTAAGTATCATGATGATCAATAATTTGAGTATTTTCAACCTATAAATAGAAAAAGTCTAATGCTTTTAGTTATTAGAATGTCAACAAAACTCTAGACCAGGAAAAAACAAAAGACAAAATATGAACAACATGCGATTTCAAATCGAAAAGAAAACCTTCTAATTTGAACATTTTTCGATTTCAATGTTCAATGCTTTCGCAATAAATGCAGATAAACTTAGAAAACTAACATGTCTTTTTTTGGCTTGCTTAAAATAATAAGTGCACCTTGCAAGAAATTTTTATGATAGTGTCAAATTTGACTCCTTCGTTTTTAATATTCAAGTATATGAAAATAATTATCCATGTATGAGACTATTTAGATAAACTTTTTAAAAAAACCACACATGAATATATCAAAATTCAAATAATAAAATTATAAGAATTGCATATTTTATAGTAACTATCATTACATTGATCAACTAGTAAAATATACGAAGTAGATATTGACATCATAGTTGGTCCAATGACAAAATCTTCAGCAGTCTGTGCTCAACTGAAATTTTCGCTACTGATGTTTTTCAAGTTAGCTAACGGTTGTTTTTTTCATCGTTGGTATGATTGAATAGCGAATGATTAGGACAATTAATACTTATTGTAAAGATTTTAATAAATTTATAGAATAAAATGCTGGAAACTATTGAAATTATAATTATTTGAATTGATCACCTAATGTTGAAAGCAATGGAAAACATAGTATTCATCGATGAGCATTACTTATATTTATAACATATGTAACAAAAAAACAACATAGTTCAATTTTTAATTTATTTTAAAAATATTGAAATAATACATAGTTAAACGAAACTATAAATAGTTCGTACCAGTTTTAAGACAAAGAAAATCCATGATAGCAAGCGGCTTTACGCACGAAATCTTTACAGAGTATATTTATCTTTGAGAAGTACTCTTGTCTAGTAATGATGATAAAGTTAAAAATGGCGTAAAGAATGGGATGTTTCAATATTCTTGAGAGTGATTAAATAAAACTAATCGATAGACACAAAAGTTCTACAATATTTAATTTCACATTGAAGAGATTGTTTTTTTTCTTTTTTTGAATAATTTATCGACTATTTTTGATCTATTAAATAGATTTTACATTGTATCAATTCAAATAAAACAAATTTTCAACTGAAAAAAGAAAGTTTTATTAGTAACTGAAAAATTTTCCAAGTTCCTTCAACATTACTACTATGCATATCTGTTATTTTCATTTTTTGCTCAATTGAAACTTTTCTTTGATAATAACTTTTAATTGACAGATTTCATAAAGGAAGCTTAACCATTGATGAGTTACTTTTGCCTTAAGACTATTATATCACGCAGAACTTAGTGATCTATAAATCGCTTGAAAGGATTTCAGACTCATAGTTTACTGTCATACAAAAAGACTGTTCTACGCTAGACTTTGAATAATTGCTGTCCGTTTACTTTCGGAAAACTTGTATCCGTAAGTTGATTTAAAATTGAGCTCAATTGTGACTTTTCTCTTAAAGCATGAATATGGTTCAAATGTCATCGTAGCATCACATCATCAAGATAGACTAAATAGAACATCACCTCCAATATAATCAGCGTTATTATATTTCATTTAACATAATCTGTCGCTATAAAAAGAAATAAACAACATAAATAAATAAATTTAGAATTTGTTTCTCAAATTTAAATTATACTATCATAGAATTGCCATTGATCATTAGCTTTCATATATATTTATTAATTTTTTTCATGAAATTTAGTCATGGATCAATAGTAAACTGATTTCATCTAAAAACTGATTCAATCATTTATGTCCATCGATATTTTTCACACAAAATCAGCAAAAATAAACTATACAATTTATCATTATAATTAATCAAATATATTTATATCTATTGATTTAGTGAATGTCATCATGGAGTGTAAATATATGATTAGAATTGAATATTATTCAGATTCATTTTATATTTAAATTGATAAGGTCTTTTCTTATTCAAATGACCCAATTGCATTTGATAATATCTCTTGAGAATTCTTTCTATTGCCTTTGGGTCTATCATAATCACCATCATCATCATCGTCGTCGTTATTGTGTGACAATAGGTAATCTCTTGGAATATATATATATATTTTTTTTTTTCTTTTTTTTGATAAGAAATCAATTGTGTATAGTCGAAATCAATTATTATCATTCTATGGTGTGATGATGACGATGAAGTAATCAACAAACAGAAAAGTTCATTCGAGCAGAAAATTGATCATATTATACAGGTAGAAGAAATAGGTAAATCTTCGCCTAAAACAATCAACATAGCGTGTCGTTAATTGTAGTAATAATATTTGAGTTTTCGTTTTTCTTTCCCTATGCAGTCGGTCTCTTACCTTTTTATTAATCTCGTCGCGTGTGTCTAACTGCTTGCTCTATAAGCACAAAATTGATCGTCATTATGTTCACGATGAATTATTACAGACGAGAAAGAATAAAAATAAGCAATGATGATGACGTCTCTCAGCAATTATACGATAACATAGACTGACCTTTTTTGTTCTTTTTTTAATGTGACTAAATAGATGATAAAGAAACAAAGCAATATCTATAAAGTATATATTGAAATACTTAGCTAATTCATTGAATTATATTTGTATAAATGAAAAGAAGAAAAAGAGAAAAAAAACAAATCATAGCAACACAATAGGAAATTCTCTCTGTATACATAAAGTTTCAAAAGAAGAGAAGAAAAAACTTTATGTTTTTATACACCTTGAGGCCATACAAGATGGTTTTTTGCATGATTTGTTGTTCCAATAATGGCACTCATATATTCTTTGGCTTTGATACGTAAATGAGCAAAAGAATCAGCATTATTATTTGTGTCATTTAGAGCCTCATTGGGATCGGAACAGAATGAACCATATGGATGATGTAGTGGTGCTGTTGGATAGGATGGTGCTGGATAAAGTGTTGATACATTACAGTTTGTTGGAAAAAATGGCATATCACCATGATTATTTGAACCATTGTTATTGGAACAATATGATGAATTCGATGTTGAAAATGGTGTAACAAGCCATGGATCCATTGATAATGTTGATGGCACCGATGATGAACACGATGGAGATGACGAAGATGCATTTGTAATATTTCTAGATGTTACTGGAAAACTTGACATCGGAAAATCTGGATTGATATTTAATGTATTTGTTTCTGCTTTTTCTTGTCGACGCCATTTAGCACGACGATTTTGAAACCTAAAATAAAATTATGTTTAAGCTTTATCTGCATTCATTTTAATTCGATAGTTTTTGGATTATGTGATTAATTCTATTTTTTGAAATGCTTTGTAAAGTTAGAAGATCATGACATTTCTTACCATACTTGTACTCGTACTTCAGGTAAACTAATTTTGCCTGCTAATTCTTCTCGATTGTATACATCGGGATAATCTAAAAAAAAACAAAATCAGACAAATCTAATGGAAAGATTAGAATGACTTACGAGATTTTTCAAATGCTCGCTCCAGTTCATGCAGCTGAAATGTTGTAAAGGTCGTACGATTTCGACGATGTTTTTTTTTTGAACTATGTTGATTATTTGTTGAACAATGGTCATTACTATCATTGTCATCGTCTAAATCGGCGAGATCATCTTCTGAATTTCCATTACTTTTACTATTACTTAATGCATCTGTTTCATCACTAATACGACGAGCAGATTTTACAACTTTGAAAAGTAAAACAAAGAAATAAGAAGAATTTTGATTTTCTGTTTCTTTATGTACAATGAAACACTTACTATCAGGATAATGTTCATTTGAAGTTCGTTTCTTACTTCGATGATGAAATTCTAATTGTGATGGTATAAGATGGGACGAAAATGGATGCTGTTGTTGTTGTTGTTGCTGATAATGATTATCATTATTTCGAATACCCAAAATGGCTTCAATTGAATGAATTGCTTTCAAATTATTTGGATCTAATAAATCATCACTTGTTGTTGCTATCATAGGTATTGAATGCGCTGTTGTTTTAGTTTTGCCACTTTTCATTCTAGATAATTTCTTTCTTCTAGTATGAAAATAGTCGTAATAATAATGATGGTTTTCTTTTCTCTATACCGTTTTATTCTTTATTAGTCTGTTGTTTTTTTAAATTTATTTAATGAATAATCTAATAATGACCGCGGTGAATAGGTTAGTTATGTATGACGATGAAGAATATAAAGAACGTGAAATGAGCAGAAAGAGAGAAGAAGCAAAACACTAATCAATAACGTCACTCTTTTTTCTTTACTTGTTCTTTCTGGTTATTTTCTCTCTCTCTCTCTCGTTATTTTTCTATTCGTCAAAAAAGCGACGACAGGACGAATAATAGTAAAGGTGGTGAATGTAATTATAGCCTAATATGACCAATGAATAAGATGTAGCCAATCAATTTAGTTCATTAGTATGGCTTTGAAAAAAATCGACCGATTTATTCCAGAAAAAACGACGAAAGAGGTTTAACAATACTTAAATCTTCTATAAGAGATTTAATACAAGTACAATAGAATCTTATTTCATCATCTTTTTTCTTCTTCTTCTTATATCTGTACCCGTAAGCATTTTGAAATGGATCAAAAACACAAAATTTTGTCAAGATAACTCATATTTTCAATGATTACATTATATTTTGTCATGCTTTTATTTTATAATTGTTTCATACAAGAAATAAGAATTAAATTATAAGAAACTATTCCTATAGACAGTCCTAACTATGATACATTTAGTAAGATATGTGATTTTATGTCAATTAAAATTGAACACAGAGTATGGTATTAATTAAGATTTCTTTCTGAGTATTCCTTATGAATAACTTCTAATGCATTCTAAAATGTTTGTTAGATACTTTTTATTGAAATATTCATATTTATTGACATTATTAGCCAAATTTTAATTACAGAAATAATGAGTATACTTGTGTTTATTCTAATACGTAAACGACTAGCGTGACATTTCTATTCGTGGCTGTAAACAAATGATTTTGAGTTTTCTTTTTTCCTGACATTTGTTTTCTTTGGGAAGAAGTCAGAATGTGAGGAAAATCTGTAGTTATTATGTTTTTTTTTTTACATTGAAAATAGAATTATAAAGACCAATAGAAATTATATTAAAAAGTACTTAATAGAGTTTAAATAAAGTATTCAAATAAGAGACTATTAATAATCTCAAGTTGAATACACAACCTTGTCATTTACAGTTAATTTATAATGAATATCATGATTTTCTATCATTCTAGGTAGGCAGGTAGTCATTTATTTTGATCGCAACATTACACGTCGTGTTAGATGGATTCATGAATCAAAGTCATTTCGTGCTAAATGACTTATTGCAATATATCAATACTTCCACTAAATATTATTTTGTATTGATTTCCATAAGTAAAAGTATTAGAATTTCAATGACACGGTGAAAAAAAGAAATTTTTAAACGATTCTTTTTATACAATCACATATCTCTGGAGAAAAATGAAATAAATTTAAATATCTCTCTGGATGCAGTAATATCTTTATTCCATAAAAAATGTTCCCTGATGATCACTTAAGTAAAATAGATAGATAATACATCATCATGATTTGATTGTCTGTATTTAATTTTGATCAAATTAGTCGTTCTTTCTTTCTTTCTTTTTCTCTCAATGACCAAATTAGACTTCTTTTCAAATAGAGAAATACAAGTAGACCAGCATTCTTAAACACCGTTACATCTGCCATCATACATAGAGATTGAGTGGGTGACTTTTCTCTTTTGATGTGGCATATTCTATTCGTTCTATTCTAATTAGCGGTTTCTGTAACGACAGCAGAAGCAACTCACTTTTCTTATTTTTTTCTCTTCTCTAGTGCCCGCTGTGAAAAGTCAATTAGCTTGAACGAGTCTTCGAAATTAACTCACTTCTTTCATCGTCAAAAGGAGGACGTAAAAAAATCAAATGGCATGAGGACGAACCAACGAAGACAGAAAAAAAGAATCTTGTCTTTGTCAATTACCCTCATCATTAAGTTAGTTCACATCTTTTGAAAAATTAATATAAAGCTTTTCTCACCTGATTATGCTATCTATAGCGTTAATCATGACATGAAAATAAAAGAATTTCATCAACATGCAACCTACCTACATAATCTGTTCATTGAATAAGAAAAATATTTTCGGACTATGCTCATGCTTTTTTTTCCCTTTGCTTATTTCTAACCCATAAGAATAGAAAGAAGACTCATATGTATGTCTGCTTGAACGAATTTTTAATTAAATGGCAAAGAAGAAAAAAAACGAGTGTAAAGTCTATTGGTTCATTTAATCATTAGCCATTTTGTTACTTTTCTACTGTCAACGATAATTTCCTGACATGATGTGTGATTTTATATCTTGGTTAATAATAGAGCGAAACAAGAAGATTAAATTCACTACTCTAATCGAATATTCACTTTCTCTTACTTAGCGATTTGCTAACAGAATTAACCACGAAAAGTCTTTCAATGACAGTGCACATAGATGTGTGATCCCTCTCTCGCTGACTCTCCATTCACTCCCATAATGATCACACATACATATGTATATGTGTGTTGGGGTCAATTATCATCAAATTGACATGTTGTCTTCATATACTTATTTCCTTATAATCATTGTCAAAGTGAAAAGATCAGATGATATTTATGGCCTTTTTATCGAATTATGTCACTAAAGATGGTCATGATGTGAGAATGGGTTTTTTCTTCTTCTTTACTTTTGAATTTCAAAAGGTCGAAGATTTTTATCGGCTGTCAATTGTTTTTATGAAGAGACATTTGATTGAAGAAAAGAAAAAAAGGAGCAACTCAATTAAATTGAATTGATTGAAGAACTTCTATGGTACAGACAGGTACTTCAAAGAAACACACTTAGTTGTTTTTTGTTAAATCGAATTTGGTAGTAAACATAAGCTCACGTCAGTGGGATTTTTTAAAAATCGAATGAACAATTACCTTTCGTTACAGACTTTCCATACCAAAATAAATTATTAAAATAATATTACGAAATTCAGAATTATAAGTATTCTCTACAAATTGTTTTCTTGGAATTTGAATATTTATTTTACGCGATATACCGACAAGCAGACAACGAATACGATAAATACTTATGACAAAGGAAAAAATATCATCCAAGACTATCTACATTGATTGGATAGTTTTAAAATCTGAATATATTTTTCGACGGGGAATATCTGTTATCAAAGATTGATTTAACTCACGTTAAACTGAATTATCAATTCGGACTAATGAAAGTCTAAGAGAATTTCGATTTGAATATTTTATGATTTTAAAGGAAAACATGAATTTATTGTTACAAGCTCTGAATGAAATAAAAATAGTACAACACGAAAATTAACGAAGTGTTACAAACATATTTTAAGGGCATGCAATTGCTTGAACGTATGCTGTCATTAATATTCTTTTAAGGGAAACAAAAATTAATTTCATTTAAATAGTTTAATCAGTTGGTTGTTACTATTGATTGTCGGTGCGATTTATAAATTGCTGGTAGAGAATAACGCATTTGAATATCTTGTAATGTAGCAGTGCTTATTTGGCTGATTTCGGAGTCTCTTTTACGAAAACTCGATACAGATGACATTCGACGAGATGAAGCATGTGACATTTTACGTTGTGCACATCCTAAACGTTGAAAAGCAGGATTCATATTGATCAAACGTGGATACATAGGTATGAATGGTCGTCGATAAGATAGTGATATTTGTGGTTCCATTAAGTGTAACATTTGTTCTGGTTGAGTAAAAGATTGTTTGGCGTGATCGGACGGTGAAGGTTTTCGAAGAGGAGGAAGAGATAATGTGCTTGTATTAGTTTCAGGAATTGAATTTACTAAAATGTTGAAAAATAAATTTTATCAAAAAAAGAAAAGATGCAAAAATCTTTCATAATATTTACATGTATTATTTGACTTTGCTTCGATCTTATTTTTTTTAAACATTCGTAATGTTGCAACTGTTTTCCAATCATCCGATTGTTTTGCTGCATTAATTTTTGTTTCTAATAAATTGAAATTTTCTGATGAATCTACTAATAATGATGATGAAAAACTCATTCTTGCACTCCGATTTGATTTTATCGATGAGTTTGATTTATTAGTTTTTGGTCTTTCTTTTTGCACTGGTATTTCTCTTGACATGAATACTGTTGATCGACATGCTTGAGAAAGAAAATTAAATATTTTATTATAACCTAGTTTTTTTGCCAACTCTTCTGGAGTATTATTATGAGAATCTTTGATATCAAATCGTATTCGGTAACGTAGAAGATAATTGATAATTGCGTGAACCAAAAGTTCGTTACCATGTTCAACAGCGTAATGTAATGAACATGAACCTGATTGATCACGTTCAAGTATATTAATATCACCTGGATATGAATTTAGTAGATAAAGTGCTTCTTCAGTACAATTAAGATGTGTAGTCCAATTAAAAACGTTTTTATGGTGATTATCAAATAAATGTATATCAAGATTATGCTTCTCAATTAGATATCGGAATATTTGAATGCGTCTTTTTGCTAATAATGGATCTTGTTGTTGTAGGATGAACATTAGAAAGTTTTTTCCAAGTGTATTTCGCACATGAATATTATAACCATGCTTAATGAGATTAATAATTTTATTCAATTGACATTGCTCAACAGCTTTAACAAGTTGCTTGTCAGATTTGAAGGCCATTTGCTTTAATTGAAAAATAGAATGATGCTATTGAATAAAAAAATTCAGATGATTTTAAATAATAAGATGCTTTCGTCAGAATAATGAAGAAAAACATGAAGCTGTAGAAAAAGAGCAAACTGTACAGAGGTGCGGAGTCAATCATATTAACAACTTCATTACTATTTATTATTCATTGTTATATATGTTACTATATTAAGATCTATAAGTAAACAAAAAAGAAGTTTCTTATACTGATTCTATATTACAATGAATAATAATCACAGGCGTGTATTCTATTTTATGTAATTATGTTAGAAAATGACGTGATTCTTGAATAAAAAGAAAAAGAAAAATCAACAAAATTCTACTATGAATTCATTTTTCTCAAACATATTCTTCTGTCTTTTACTTCATATTTGCTCAAAAACAAAAGAAAAATTTGGTGATAGAACTCAAATTTGGTTTGCATCAATTAAAATTTCATCAAGTAAACACCACGACAAGCTTTTCCTTGTTTGACCGGAGATTCACTCAAGGAAATTTTTTCTTGCCTTGAGAAAGTAAAGTCTAAGTAGTTTTAGCAGCAATAAAATCATCCCACTCAAAACAATTCCCGTTGTTTTTCAAAACTATTGAATTTGAGTCATGTAGCATGAAAACAATATTTCAAGTCTTTGTGTTTGTTATTGTTGTGAATTATTGATGACTTTTTTTCTTTGTATTTCACATGTCATTTACAATGTCAAATATCAATTGATGTCATACATCTGTTCTGATTGAACTAACAATCATTCTTTTTTCTATTAACAACTCCTTTAGTAGGTGATGAAAGGCTCCTGTAATAATCAAATAGAGAATCGAATTTTAGTTGAAGATATATTTATTTATTTTTGTTCCTTTCATTCATCAGAATGAATTTCAAATAAATAAAATCTGAAGACAACTCGACGAATTTCTCTCGTGTATATGATTGTGTATAGTAAACCATGTAACGACATCTATAGTTAAAATGATCAACTATTTTGATTTCACGTTTTACAGCTCTGTGATTTGATGAATTCTCTTTTTTTTTATCAAGTGGCTTCTAAAAAGTTTTGAACAAGGACAAGTTTTTTCCTATTGAGTCCGTTTCTATATCAACGTATAGATCCTATGGTTTTTTTTGTGACTCATCATTAAATTCAGTCTTTGTTGGATAATAGGAAATTCAATAGGTTCAGATTGTCAATTCATGTAAATGCCCCAACCCGATCGTATTCTTTTAGTTGTTTCGATTCTTGAAGGTATTTAAATCTATATAGAATTTTAATCTTGATAAAAAATACTTCATGTTTAAGGTCGAAATTTTCCAAGTCAACCATCAAGTCAATTAACTGTTGATGCAAAATTTGATGGTGAAATTCTAACAACAGATCCTGTTGATTTCACGTCAACACCGGATATTAATCAAGAATTAGCTTGGGAACTTGATAAAAAAACTTTTCAACAACATAAATTACAACGTAGTGTTATTAAATGTAATGCATATGCAACAGCATTGTCTGGACAACGTGAAAGTCTTGGCTATTTTATGATTGATATTCGCCCATTAAATACAGCTCAAGTAATTATCGTTTTTTTTGAACACAATAAATTCACTTAAATGAGAATATATTCTTAGAAAATTCGTTGGCATCATTTATTACAAACTAAATATCCAAAATTAAAATCAGAATTTAGTATTTGTGCATACATTGAAGATGATCAATCGACGAGAAGCGCATCAGCAACATCAAAAACTAGTATGAAAAAGAAAACAAGATTATTTAATAATTTATATTCATTGAAATCTGTTCAAGGTAAAACACCATCAACTACAGGCATATCATCCGCTTCATCAGCAAGTCGTTCAAAACATCTTCAACCAGTTCTTCTTGAAGATAAAGGTTATTATCAATTAGGCGCTGATGTTTCATCAGCTGAAATATTTGGTTTATCAATAACAATACGTTCCGCAAAAAATCTCATACATGTAAGAATAAAGAAATAATTATTAAAACGAAGTCGAATTCAAACTTCAATGAATATTTAACCCTCTTGTCTTGTTATATTCATACATTAAAATGTTTTCCATCACTTGAATTTCAATTTTCATAATTAATCGATTCTCTATATGATATTTTTTTACTCTGTTAGACTAAAAATATAAAACAAAAGACAATATGTGATTGAAAGTCGTTCAAAATCGGTCACACACACACACCTCAATCAAAATAATTGTATACTGTAACTTTTTTAACAGAAAGACAGTTTTAAAAAAATGTAACTCTTTGGTCAAAAGTAGAAAATACGAGATATTTAATCGTCACATGTGCTAATAGTTTCATGATTTTAAGTAAAATCAAAGTGTATTAGTTCAAGTACCCCTGATTCGACCTAGTGACGCGTAATATAAGGTTTCCACTTATCCTATAACATAAAATAAGCAACGTGTTCTGGCCATGATTCTATTTGAATTTCATATAACAACATTGATTTGGACTCTTTGTATATGACTATTTACGAATTTGTTTGAACATATGTTTACTTTTTCAAACATACTGTTTATATAGAAGAATAGGAGTGAAAAACAAGTTGGATCATGATTGAGTGATACGTTGCTTTTGAGAACAAGCTACAGAGATGAAAAAACGAAGTAAGTCTACGAAAAAAATGAATAGATGCAAAAGATGATGAATTATCAATGAGATAAATAAGTATTATTGTGGTCGCTAAAATATTCAAACATAAAATCACAATTAAGATGTTTGCCATTAAAATTACGTTTAATTCCAATGTCATTAATAAAGACCAAATTAATCCTTAACAAATTGAATTTGAATTTAAGAAGCAGAAAGATACCAACTAATATCTTGTTTTTTATTGAAAACATTTGCTTGTTCCAATTCTGTCCTGAAAATTTTCAATTTTAAAGTACTCAAACTTATCCTAAGACGTTTTTGGTTCGTTCTTCTTTCACTTCAATATAGCCGAATGAATTTTATCATGATGAATATCTATGTAGTATCTTGTAAGAGAAATAGAAATCTTCTAACAATTGCACAATCTGACCTTGCAAGGTAAATCTGTATATGTCTATCTGATAGATTGAATGCATAGCAGACAACATGTGACCTGTAAAAGAATAACTTTTATTTTCGTTAAAAATTACAATTCAATCGATAGAATCCATCTTGAGAAATTATAAAAATATAACAACAGAATTAGTTAAATATGTAATCGATTTGAACTTCACTATATATTTCCAAAATTTTAGCTTCTGCCGTCAAGTACTGCATTAAATACTCAACATGGATATTGCTTTTATTATTCACTTTTTGGTAATAAAGTAACAACAGAACAATTTCATGATTTAATTCAACCACAATTCTATCCTGAACGTGCTAGTGTCCGTATCCGTTCATCAATTCAATTACTTCGATCTTATTTTGAAACAATGCGCCCGATTGAATTTAGTTTGCGGTCTGGAAATGATATAATAGGTCAAACACATATACCATTACATAAAATTGTTAAACCATTACAACAAAAATCAGGAATGGAGAGATCATTTGATGAATTAACAGAAGAATTTCATCTTCGACTTGCTCCATCAAGTGGCAATGAAAAAATAAAACCTAGTGAAGATGAAAATTCACAAGCGACTGTTAAAGTTGAAATTAAGTTATCACGAGAAATACCAATAAGTGAACAAAAACCAAATAATGATAAACAACAACGATTAAAATCAAATAGTGCCAATCAAAATCTAACTTCAAATACTTCAGTTGTTGACAATGAACTTAGGTAACAATAATTTTTACCATGACTCTCATTTGTTCAAGAGATATCTTTTTTTTGTATCAGCTAGTCTGTAGATTGCGAAAAGATTGAGAATATCTAACAATTTTAATCATTTTACGTTTTGTTTTCTTATCCTATAACTTGTTGAACCTTTTTCATATTCTCTAAAGCGAAAAAAGAAATTAATGTGATTTATTGTGCTATAGCTGCTTTTTGTTTCTGCGAACTCCTGATATGAACACTTGTATCATTTTGTTACCAGCAATATAGTTGTCTAACGAAGAAGACAAAGAATAGTCATTACGTCTGATAGCAAAATAGTTGTCTACTTCGCATTGATAAGTCAGGATTAGAGCTATTTTATGGACCACCAACTCAGTGTCTAATGAATGAGAAAAGTTTAGAAACTCAGGTGTTTTGAGTTTTTTTCTTAGTAGTAATAGCTAAAACGGACGAGAGAAAAAATTTAACTACTAGACTTGACGTACTTGGAAAAGTAATAGCCCAGTTCTCATTAGCTTGTTTAACTAGACATATTCAAAACGTTTTTCAGTGAATTATGACCAAGGGCGAAAAGGCGAGACTTCCGTACTTCAAAACAAATTGAAATACGACGAAAGTACAAGGAAAATATGTGAGGTAGGCGAGTCTTGCTTTTCCCCCTTGAGCAGAAACACATTACTACAACGAGGCATATTCTGATAGAATTCATATTTTAAAGTGGCGACAAACCTAGATTTTAAGACTTCTGAATAAAAACGGATTCAGTGCAATCATTATTCAAAGATATCCTGTTCAGTAGTTATGCCAATACTGTAGATCGCTAACCAAAATGACAAAAATATTTTAATTTTCATTACTTGTAGTATTTCACAACACGTTCAACAAATCTCTATCAATAACCATGCTACAACAGATGACCATGTTTCGTCACCAATTTTCCATGGTACAAGTGATCAACATCTCTCTCATCATTATTGTTTATCAATTGATTTGAAATCTCTTCGTAATCTACGTTTGTCGCATTCAACATATTTATATTGCCGTTATGTTTATCCATTTCTTGGTACTTCAACACCAATTTTAACTCATCCGCCATTACATATGCCATATACATCATCAACACCACCCAATGAACACTTACTACCGCATGGATTGTGTATATTTAATTTTGCTGTTGACACCGAACAGTTAACATCCCATTTTCATCGTGAACCATTGACTGTTGAAGTTTATTGTCGTGATCAAGACCGTAGTGAACGTAAAGACGAATTATTTGGTCTTGTTCGTTTACAATTAGACAGTGTTTTAAAAGTTGAAAAGCAACGTTGTTCATCCAATGTTAATGGAATTCTCGGCTGGAGACAAACATGGACTCAAACTTTACCCGTCATTGGAGCTAACACTGAGTAAGAGATCTATTAGAATTATATTTAAAATAAATAGAATATTATAGAAAATCTGGCGAATTATTGGTTACAGTCATACTGGAGGATCTTGGCACACTTCATCTGAATTCTTCTACAACATCTAGACCTCCATCTGTTCCACCGGTATGATTTGTGGGAGATTTTTAATCAATTGATTTACTTTTCAACCGAAATCATTTACGTAAAGATGATGCATACGAAGCTATAAAACCGCGTTACTGTGAATTTAAAAATCCTCATGCATGTTTTTATTAACTATTTTTAATGAACCAGAACTAGACAAGATTTGCTCTATTGTTTAGAGTAACAGTATGCGAACTTTTCTTGTATAGGGTGTGAGAAAAAATCTTTCTTTCAAAATTTTGCATCTCATTTTAAGCCCAAATTTTGATTGATTTTCTACTTGAAACAAAAATTATAAATCTTTTGTTGTCTTCCCTCAGTAGATTTCTTTGAGGGTAAACTATAAGATGATTAGATAAACATATATGAGCTACTGGTTTCTTCTTCTTTCTTTTTTTTTCTAGCATAATCTACATCTTGATGCAGTTTTTCAACGTCCACATGATGATGCACACTTGCAAGCAGCATATGAATTACAATTATGGAAAGAAAGCAAAGAACTTGAATTTGAAAAACATGTTCGTATTCCTAATATCATAAATGTCGTTTATTTTATTTTTTGAATATTTAAATAGCTACGTGAAGTCGAAGCAAAAAAACTATACGAATTAATGGAAGCATTTAAAGAAAAAGATCGAGAGCGTGAATCATTACTACAAAAAAAGGTTTATTCAATAGAATTCGACATACTGTAATTATATATATATATATTGGGATTTTGTTTTGTGTTTTTTAGATGAAAGAATATGGTGAATTAGAGAAACAAATGAAAAAAGCGTTAACAGATATTGAAAAACGAGAAAAACATTTAAATGTTAAAGAGCAAGAAGTAAATGATCGATTGTTTTTCTTCATTAATATTTCAACATTGTTTTTTTCATTGATTATAGATTCAACGTATGCAAGTTGATTTAAAACGTGATTATGATAATAAATATATAGAAATACGTGAAGCATCAAAACGTTTACAAGAACAGTCAGAACATCACATAACACTTGAAAAGTAAATAGAATTTTGATCTTCTTCTCGTACTTATCGAGAAACGTAGTGTCAATCGGGTATAAAAAAATATTTTCTTGAATATCAATCAGTAAAATGAAGACGAATCTATCCTTCTATTTTACCCGTATCTAATTGAGTTTCCAACATAGTGTAAGGAAAATTTAACTACGAAATTTTAATTTAAAATCAATATTATTATATTTTATAAGTTTTCATTCAGTTTAACTGATAATATTGAGTTTTAAGCTGAAATGACTAGTAAAATTAATCAGAGTTACAGTAGAACGTAGGAATACCGTATGTTCTTTTAAGAATTGTATTGCCACCATTTATCATAATAATCAGCTAAAAATTAGTTTGAACAATGTTCTTTTAGTAGAAACAGTTCTTTTTATAATTAATCGAATCCAATAATATTTTGCTCGTTTTGAATAAATAGACTTCAAACACCTAGATCTATTCAAAAGACTCGAAGAGTTCCAATTTTTTTAAGAAAAAAAGTTATTCTAAGCTTGTGACTAAACTATCCTTGACAAAAGTCGATTTTCTTTTTTGATACATCAGTCATATCAACGGTATCTGTTAAATAAAATCGTATTAATAAGAAACGAGAATATTTTATTGTTTTATTTTAGGAGCAAAAATCAAGCACTCGATGATGAAATCATACGTTTAAAACGTTCCGTTGCTGAATGGGAAAAACGTTATCGTGAGAAAGAACAAGACTTTTTTTCTTATAAAGAAAAACAACGTAGCGCACCAGAAATTAAACTTCAATCTGAAATAAATATGCTCACACTTGAAAAAGTAAATTTTCTTATTTTAAAAAATAATACCTATGTTTTCATTTTTACTAGAATGAACTTCAACGTAAATTAGATGCGTCAGTGATATCAGGTGAACGTTACAAACAACAATGGCTTAAAGCATTAAAAGAATATCAACGTCTTAAACAACGTGAACAGGATCAATCAAAATTTCAACTTCAAAAGCAACAACAAGAACTAGAACATATGCGATTAAGGTAAATAGAAAGGAAAATAATTGATAAACAAATTTATTTATATATATATCTGGTTTTTTTCTCATAAAGATACTTAGCTGCTGAAGAAAGTGAAATTATGAAAAGTGATCATAAACAATTAGAGAATATTAAAAATGAATTGAATAAGTAAGAATAAAAAAGTTCAGTTTTTTCCTTCATTTTAAATATAATCTTTTTATTCTTTATTCAATAAGATTAAAAGAAGTTTCATCGACACCAACAGTGACTGGCACTCTTCAATCGCATGTATCTGATGATAATGATCATTTAGAGCAAGTTGATCAACAGCTCGGTGTTTTAATTGAACATCGAGATACATTATTACAAACAGGAACATATTCTCACAATGATGCTTTAATTCAAGAACTTGAACGACGAATACAAGAAGCAATGAAACGCAAGAGTAGTGGTAGTCGTTATCAGTAGTTTTTGTCGTGTGAATATCTTTTAGCAGTTAATTAATTTGTGTATACAAGACTTGGTAGATTTGCGTTTTTTTCTTCTCTTCTTAATAAAATATAATATTCGACTAATAATTTTATTATTCATTTTTTTTATTGATGATTGGAACATAAATGTCTGAGATTTACAATACTTTTGTGGAAGAATTGATATTCAAAATAAAGAACAAGTACGACGATTACTTGATGGTCTGAATAAAAGTGATTGTATAAATATTATTTTGTAATTCTTAATGAATTACTTCCTTGGTCATTTTAATGACATTGCAATAGTTTTTATGGTTCATAATGACAAATCAATATCCATAAATGTTTAGGCTTTATGTAATATAATACAGACGAACCATTTAACAAACGATCTTATGGTACTTATGTTTCAAAAGTTTAAAATAAATCTGACATCATAATACATCACTAACTATTTCGTGTGTTTCTAAAAAGCAAACAGATTTTATCATCGAGCTCAGCATTCAAATAGTAAACACTTGATTGATTCCATTCGAAATACACGTACATAATGACTGGATTTAATTGTCGACAATTCATGTACGTGATTATTCACTATCCATTATCATCGCCTCGCTTTTTCTTTAAATGCTTCCATTAATTCGTATAGTTTTTTTGCTTCGACTTCACGTAGCTATTTAAATATTCAAAAAATAAAATAAACGACATTTATGATATTAGGAATACGAACAT